AAGCCTTTTCTTATGTGGCTGGCTGACAGTATTTATGAAAAAGTGGGTGAAACGTTCCTTTACAAGCCGCTGCATCTGAGGTCTGAAACAAGGCTTGCTGACCCATCAGTTATTGATAGTGCAAATCTCAGAGCCAGATCTCACTTCCTCCTGCTCAAAACCACAGGTGATCTACTGAGGGTGAGCCCCTCGCACATCAAAGTTGCTAATTCAACACAGATTCAAGAGATACACAGGTCAAAGGCAAGAAAGGGTTTCAAACCATCAAAACACAAATAAATAAAACAGCTTTTTTGCTTTTTTAGTTAATGAGGCTTTTTATTTTCAACACACAACCTTGTATACGTGCTCACAGCCATCAAAATTGGCACCCGTTGCTGGAGCAAAATAAGAAGGCACTACAGATCCTCCTCCTGACACAAATCCATTTTCCTCATCTTAATCCATCTGCTTTTCAAAACAAGAACCCATCGTCCGCTCCCACTCCACCAGGCCCCATTGAGATTAAATCTTCCTTTACAATCGAGCAGCGCGAGGCCCTAAAGAAAAGGTGCCCCAAATGAACACCAGCACCCAGTTACGAGCATCTCGCCTCTCCAGGGGGAGAAGCAAAGAAAGCCACCATCTGTGATTTAGTCATGCTCATGCCAGGGCCAATGATGAAGCAGCAGCGTGTGATGATGAACGTGAATGCGGCTCTATTCAACACTGGCAGAACGCACAAGCCCAAGTTGGGTGGAGGAAGAAGCATAAGGGGCACTTGTACCAAGCGCTGAAGGTGAGATGAGAAAGATGAAAGGGAGGAATCAAGGATAATCCGCTGGGAAATTCTGCTATGTAAAAAGATCATGGATGAGGCAAACAGCTGTCAGGGAACATGTGGAGGTGCAGCGTAACGTCAGAGCAAAACAAAAGCTTAATGAGCTCTTACACAATGCACTATGTGATCTCTGACAGAGACAAGCCTTAATTAGGGGTGCATCAGTAGATGAAATCATAAATCCAGTGTCACGGCTTCTCATTAGGGCATGTGTACACCGAAGAGTTTTACACTGCAATAATGCAAACGATGTTCTAAAAACACACAGATGTAAGCACTTCTCCATAGAGCTGCACGATTCCGGCTAATATGAGAATAACAATTTTTTTTGCTTTCACTTTCACTGCAGAGTACGATATCATACTTTCCGCACGGCTCACAAACGACCGCTTTGCACTAAACTGAATGTTATTTACAGCCAATGCCAGTTATTTTCGCTAAAGTAGACATCATTGGCGGGCACACGCGCATACTCTCAGTAGTAACCTAACAGCACGTCAGCTTGTGCGTGATTTCGCAACCGCAGATACGTCATTACATTAGGACAGAAATAACAAACATTTTTGGGTTGATTTTACCTTATACATGCAGTATGTGACACTTCAAACACCATTTGGGTGTCATTTCATCATTTAGTGAGCCACATATATAAAACAATGTAAAAACTTGTGCAAATGCCTTTACACTTCTCTTTTGAGCTTGAAAACATAATTGGCTGAATTGTAGAAAAGCAGAATTAAGACTGTGTGTGTGTGTGTGTGTGTGTGTGTGTGTGTGTGTGTGTAGGAGAGAAGGGGGTTTTTCTTTTGCGATCTACTTCTTCAGCTGTAGCTTCAGCTATACGCTTCTTCAGCACATTGCCTTAATATGTTAAAGTAGCTCATTCATTGACAAAAATCAAATAAACGATCAGCTTAGGGGGAAAAACACTTCGGTGGACACACCTTGTAATTGCAACTTTTTATTTAGCAGTGTCTTTTTCCTTAAATTTAAACATTTATCACTGCAATATTGCTTTATTTCTTGAAATTGAACCTTTGATTCTCAAAACTGCAACTTCAATTCACTATGTTAAAAACTGGGGTCAGTAATTGCAGCCATGCCTGGGAAACTTTCAAGGTGTACTCAAGCCCTTGTATTTGAATATGATTAAGGGGTCGATTGTACCATACACGTTTTTTTGCGTTGAAAGGCGCATCTTTTGAATGGTTTACTAATGACGTTTTTCATGCTGCTTACGCGCCCCGTGTTTTAACCACCCGCTGCGCCTTGCGTTTTTGCCGTTGCACGCTTGCAGTTGAAAAATAGTCAACTCTGCGCGGAAAAATCTTGTTACATTACTCGCGTCTTTTTTATTCTCCAATCAAATGAAAGCAGAGGCGGGGTTTCTATTAAGGTGACACCAGTGTTTATGTTGTCAAGATGACTATAGAGACTTTTGAAGACAGAGGAGAGACTACTGGTTCCTGTTTTCAGTAATCTCAAAGTCCCTTTAAGGCAAGTCATTTCACTCGGGGGCTATCTTTGAAACGCCTCTCGGGCAATATGCTCGGGCATTCTGTCTGAATGAGGAAACATTAAATTTTCCAAAACTACTTGCCAAGCTTACAATTACATTTCATATTACAAATCACCAATAAAATTAAACAACCACTGTCTATTTACTTTTATTTCTAAATGTTCGTATCACACAAAATCTGCAGAAACTCATGTCTGCTCCGAGCCCCTCCCCCAGAGAATTGTCATTCTATAGCGATCGCTGATTGGCTACTGTACTAGAAGGCGGGCTTTATTTACCATATGGCGATTGCTGATTGGCTCCTGTACTAGAAAGCAGGGCTTCATTCACAATTTTGGCAGTTACACTTTTCCCCATTTAAAAGTATACGAGTGACATGTCTTGTGTATTCTATAGTCTTAGGTTATCTGGAGCTGTATGACTTCACAAATCAGGACAAGAGAATTAAAAATGAGATATAGTTTAAGTAGTCAGAATTGAGTTTGTCTTTCTCCAGATGCCCACACTGCTGAGTTTGCCGATCAAACATAATCAATTTCAAAAGTAAATTAAGCCCCACTCTCATCTTCAGCTAGACGTGAACATTTGGACCAAATGCCCACAGATCAATTCTCCACCCACTCCCTAGACACAATCAAATTGATAATGAAGACATATGACAAGCAACAAAACACCAACTCTTATGCTCTATGTGGTGTTAGCAAGCTGAGTCTTCTGTTTGTGTGTGTGAGGGGTGAGGGGGGACATCCTGAAGGACCTTGCCACTCTTGGGTGTTGGAGGCGGTAGGATTTTAAGGGCCTACTCACACTATGCCATCCGTACCGTGCCCAGGCCCGTTTCCCGGATCGTTTGAGAAGTGTGAGTGCGCTGAATCGGGCTCAAGCACGGTTCACTTGGCCGGCCCTGGCCCGGTTGGAAGAGGTGTGCCTGAGCGCGGTACACTTGGGCTTTGGCGCGGTACGCTTGTGTGTGAGCGCGAAACGCGCCAAAGCCCGAAACCGAAAGCGAGACGTGACTTTTAAGGGACTGTTTGATATGGATTTATTAATCATTCTTACTGTTCAGTGAACGCAAACTGCCGTAGTTTATTAAAGACGAGAACTCCTCACAGCACGCCAGCTGCGCGCCTTCAGCAGACCTCCTCATTCCTGCAGCACGAGAGCTTTGATTGTTTATGAGCGCCAAAAGTGGCGGATCTGTTCGGTAAAATATCTGACTGTGTGTCCCCGCATCCCTAAGGACTGTTTGGCGAAATATTTGACTGCATGTCACTGCATAACAAACGACTGAAAGGATATAACTAGAGAAATCTCCACTGTGCTGCTAAATGAGAGCGTATGGCAAGCCGTTTTAACATTTAAACCTTGTTCTGACTATCCATAAATATATTTAGAGATATAATTATATATTTTGACAAGTCATTATTATAATTCGACTTGTCAGAATAACAATTAGAGATATCTACAATTGCAAATGTACTAGTACGAAATCAGATTGGAGATACCTGCAAATATATTATGACTAGTCATATTCCTCCATTGACTTCCATTGAAAAATATTTGCAGATATCTCTGAGTTTTGACTCGTCAAAAATCCAATTCAAGATATCTACAACTGTAATTCGACTATTAGTAAATTAATTAGAGATATCTTCAAATATATTTGTAAATATCTCTAAATATTACGAATTAAAGACATCTGTATGACTAGTAAAAACTCAGTTAGAGATATCTCTAATTACAATTGTGACGAGTCAAAACTCAGTTAGAGATATCTGCAAATATTTTTCAATGGAAGTCAATGGAGGAATATGACTAGTCATAATATATTTGCAGATATCTCCAATCTGATTTCGTACTAGTACATTTGCAATTGTAGATATCTCTAATTGTTATTCTGACTAGTCGAATTATAATTATGACTAGTCAAAATATAATTAGAGATATCTCTAAATATATTTATGGAGTCAGAACAAAGATTTAAATGCTAAAAAGGCTTGCCATAGAGAGCGCTTCTGAACAGCGCAGCAGCGATGACGTAAGCGTGCCGTGGCCCGGTATGGTGTGAGCGCGGGCCGTCGGGGGAGACGGGAGGGGGGACAAGCGTGCTTTGGCCCGGTTCGAGGCAACTGTACCTAGTGTGAGTACGGCCTAAGGCTCGTTTCACAGCCACACTGCCAGGAAATCAAGCGTGCTTCACACAGACAAAGAGCACGGAGAGAGCCCAAGCAAGTAAGGCCTCTTCCTGCCGAGCCCTTCTCTCATCTAGGGCAGAGATATGGAGCGCGAATGTGAAGTGTAACCAAGGAACAATGCGCAAGAAGCCGTTTTGTCAGCTTGCCAAGAAGAATCCCCCGGAACGGATCCTGAGAAGAAAAGGAACTGGCCAACACCTTAAACTTCACACTGGATTATTGCCTTTGTAATAATCAACAGTGTTCTAAACACAAAGCTTGCTCTCTGAGGGTGACATTTACAATCAAATTCAAACTTTCAGTCTAACCCAGTTTATTTGACAAACAATATTCTTGACTATACCATTTTTAATTTAAACCAAAATCTTGTTCTAGGTACATCGCTGCTCACAAATCTCCAACATTAAACAGGTAAAATTATTAAATGTCAAAAATATGGTGTATTAGAAAGTCAAAGTATAAAGTTAATCTGTTAATTTAAGGCAAACAGCCAGACAGTCACCTTAAAAGGTAGGCTTTCTCCCACGTTGTATCCTCTTAAAGCCGGATTTGCTTTCTATTTACTGAACTATCCACCTGCTTTTTTTAGGCATGGCACTGGATGAGGACAATCAGGATTGAAAATAAACAGGTGAGTTACATGAAACATCAGAAATCACCACTTCGAGTTTTTAGCACTGTTTACACTAGGGCTGTGTGACAAACCGCATACGATTAGCTATTTTCTATCCACCTGGCTGATGCGACGGCAGTTATATAGCGTTAGACTGCACACCACACACCAGCTGACTAGTGGAAAGGAGATAGAGTAATGAAGCCAATGATAATATTAAAATTGTTGGGAGGCCATGTGGGCAAATTTGGCCAGAATGCCAGGGTTAAACCCCTACTCTTTACCAGGACATCCTGGTATTTTTAACGATCACAGAGAGTCAGGACCTCGGTTTGACATCTCATCTGAAAGATGGCACTCAATGAGCAATATAGAGTCCCATCACTATACTAGGGCATTAGATCCCAAACTAAGCGCAGGTTAAGTGCCCTCTGCTGGCCTCACTAACACCTCTTCCGTAAGCAACCTAGCTTTCCCATGTGGTCTCCCATCCAGGTACTGATCGGGCACAGCCCTGCTTAGCTTTGGTGGGCGACCATGTGAGAGTTACAGAGAGCTAGCTGCCAGCTACCCGAAAATAAATCAGATATGAGACAATGCGACTATCATGTAAACAGGCAGATTTTTTCCATTCCATTTTGTACATCATTAAACTTGTGACAATGTGGTACTTCTCCACGGTTAAATGATGTAGAAGGAAGAGCAAGTGTGAAGACGCCAATGTGGTAAACAATAACAACAAAGGAAACATGAAGGAGGAAAGTGGTCAGTTGCCACAATTTGCTCCCACTAGACCTGAGATCTCTCTTGTACTCACAAATTCTTCTGAATGATGGAGGACACCATATATAAGTCATCGCAAGCTGCGATGATGGCCCCTTCCCTACTCCTCTGCGAACTTCGGATATTTCGCAGAGATAAAAGCAAGACAATTTCTTCCATTGTGGCTTGTGTAGCACAGATGCTAGAACCATAGTGTAAACACATGAATCGGATATAGGTCACAATTAGAAGAACGTGCAAACAGACAGGCAAAAAAAATCAGATATAGGCAACAAATCGGAATTGGGCATCAATATCTGACCGTGTAAACGTGACCAAAGAGAACCAAATCATTGCTTCCTGATTAACTGAAAGCAAATTTTTTTTAAAGTAAAAACTAAATTTGCTGCGGTATGAGAAGGTGCGTGAATATTTTCAGACTTTATTTTAGTCTTTATTTTAAAGGTTAATATTATAATACCACTAATACTAAAATGATTACGGCATTTTAGAATGACCAAAACAACATTTTAGATGTTCTACAGTGTGCTCAGCCTGCTAGTTTGTCCATTCACACACATTTTTCTCATCACATGATCTCTTATATCAAAATCACAAGCCTTTTTAATGTACATACTGGAATTTGTTCAGTAGAAGCGTTTCCATCATAGTTTATTGCATTTTTTCTTATCGAATAAAAAGCTTATCCAACTCAGTTATGCGCATATGTTTTTTATGAGCATTTTCAAAACATATGCGCATCTTGGCGTTTTCATCAACCGTTTTTATGTGCACATGAAAAGTGTTTCCAGTAAAGTCATTTATATTCATTATTAAATCTCTACTACTACACAGAGCTATAGTTCACTGACACGCTACGCTTATTATTCGCATACAACATAATCATACAATTTTCAGATTGTAGATAAACATTTTGCAATATTGTCAGCTTTTTGAGTGGCATCTCTTTGAACTACAATACTGTAGTAAATGGTGCTAACTAGGGCTGCACAATATATATCGTTTGAGCATCGATATCGCAATGTGATCATTCGCAATATTCACATCGCATGATATGCAATGTTAAGTTTGCAATGTACAATTAGAAAGGTATCATTTGCACATGTTTTTTTATTCCTCTAATTGTATAAGGACTTTAGAAAGAATTCAGGTATAAGAAATTTTTATTTTCTTTTTGACCTTAACAGATTTTATTGAATTATTTTGATCATTCAGTTACTGTACATGAATACTGTTAGGGGACACTATAAAACACTTTATTTTAATTGTATCTTTTTCTTGACTGCATTTATAGGTTCCTAAAATGTTTATAGATTGTTTATTTTATATATATATATATATATATATATATATATATATATATATATATATATATATATATATATATACAGGGCTCGAAATTGCGACCCTTTTGGTCGCATATGCGCCCGAAAATTAATCTATGCGATCTCATAATATATTTGGGCGCATTAGTGCGACTGCTAATAATGGTTGTAGTGCGACCTGTTTGGATTTTTTGTAAAAACGTGCTGAATCGCTCTTCCCTGCCGCTATATTGGTTCATATTAGCTGTCAATCACTCAAGGTATTCCGCTGTCAGATGACAGGGAAGGAGCTTTTATGACCACGGGAAATGCAAACGGCAAAAGAGTAAAAACTTAAAGCACACAGGTTTGCAAACCCCACCTAAAATTGAGGTGCAGATGAGAGCGATCATGACACGTCACGTGGTGAATAATGATCCACCAGCTGAGATCAATCGAGTACGCGCTTCATGGAGAAGGCGCCCGAATCTCCATGCGTTGCATTTACTGCGTGTTCAGCGCAAATGTCCGCTAAAAGTCAAATCTAATACTGTACATATAATCGCCAAAGAAGCTCGTCTTTACTAAGTTTACACTGAAACTGCGTCTCATAACAAACAGCGGTATTCCGACGGTGGTCATCGCAAGAATCTTGCGCTGCCTGCTCATAAATTGGGTCGGCTGACTCGCCAGCATTTCCACAAACACAGAAAAATGAAGATCATCTCAGACTGAACCTTTAAATTGACACAAACTGAAACCAAATCTTTTAAAGAGTGATAGAAGTGAGACTTTACTTTCTTTCTTTTGTCTATTCTTTTTTGAGGTGTATATTATTTTTATTTTTTATTTATTTACTGATGACTGCTTTGCAGCTTTCAGCATTGAATTGAATGATTTATTATAATCTTTTGTTTGTTTTGTAGCAGAAATATTATTTATTAAATTGACATGCATATAAAAACAGCAGTACAAAATAAATATTTCTTACTGCAATGCTTCATTTTTGTTTGATGCAAACTATACAATTATTTTTCATAAAATAACAGACTTTTTACAGCAGATAACCTACATTTATGCACATTCAAGGCAGTATCATAATGAGAAATGTAATTCATTTTTACTATTATTGTCATTTTCATCATCATTAATATTCTATAATTATTAGACATTCATTTTGGAATTATTGCACACAAATATCAATGTCTTCGCAGCATTAGTTAGATAGTTTGTTTCTGGTTTTTGTCAGTCCTATTGATGTTGTTTTAAAATACAATAAATCCCTTAAAAAGCAATTTGCAGCGGTGCTCCATCATTTTTGGTGGGTGCTCCTAAATTTATTTTGGTGCTCCTAAATATTTGAAGTTGGGAGCACCGGTGCTACCAAGTAAAAAAGTTAATTTCGAGCCCTGATATATATATATATATATATATATATATATATATATATATATATATATATATATATATATATATATATATATATATATATATATATTTTATTTTTTTTATATATATAATTATTTTGTGGGGGTTTTCACCTTTATTCAATAGGACAGTAGAGAGTATTGACAGGAAAGCATAGGGAGCAGAGAGAGGGGAAGGATCGCCATAGGACCGCGAGGCGGAATTAAACTCGGGTCGCCATGTTGATCGCACTAACCACTACAACACTGGCATCAACGATTGTTTATTAAATTTTATGGAGATGCAAATAGTCACTGACTAAACAAGTACATGGAAATACAACACATGCAAATACAGAAATGCACTGCAAATAGCACAGAACACAACGAAAATGTGTCAGGGGACCCCTAAAAGTTTAAAGATCGTCAGATTTTATGGGGATGCACTGCAGAATCATCCTAATCGATCTAACAGTATAAATTCTTTCCAATTAGAGATATTAAGTCATCTGGTGAACTTGATGAATACATATTGCAAAATCAAAAATATTACAACGTTAGATTTTTCCAATCCATTGAGGGTTTTATATAAATCCTCCAATAAACCACCTGTAGGACGTACTCTCTCCTTTCCTCATAGAAAGAAAAAAATAATAATTTAAACTTGTCATAGCATTAATAGGCAGCTACTTTCTGATGATTGAAAGTCCTTCTTTTATCTTCAGTTGTACTGTGAGTTTGGATACAAGCATCTGCTAAATGAGTAAATGTAACCCCAATTGGAAACACCATTTAAACTTTTATTACATTCCCATCACCTCGAGTTGGCTAGCTCATGCAAATGAAATGACAAAGGCTGACATGAACTCAAAAATACTAAGTGAATGTTCAATACACCACCACTGAATAAGCTGCCCCAGAACTGAAAGACTCCTAAGATACGTTTTAAAATGACAATACCAAAATACATTTAATTAAATTTTCCATTCAGCTGTAATGCAAAGAAGAGAGATGTAATCTTTGCTATGTTCAACAACCACTCTGGTACTAATAAGCATTAGGACAATTGAGATTAAGGGAAAGGTTTATAATAGAAGACTGGAGCAATGTGAGGGATGACTTGAAAAACGTCTCAATCACAAGATTAAAGCAACCGATTGGATTATTCACAGTCCCATTCACACACTGCCGCAAAGTTACCAGGATACTGAAGTGGGACTGAGAGCTTTTGTGTTGAATGACCTTGGACACCTAAGCTGAATGCAATTAGGATGCAAGGATGAATCGCGAAACGGTCAATGACTCGCGCCTGACACAGACTCCCACCCTCTGAATGTAAATCCTTTGACACTGCATTGACACACGCTGCCTGTAATCTGTGATCACCGCATTAAATAAGATTACCAACCTGCGCACGTAGTAAACATTTTGCAGGGATCTCGGTTTAAAAATTAAATATGAAAAGTGCAATCACTGTGACAAAAGAATAACATAAGATACTAATTTAAAAGAGGTAATCAGCTGGACCAACATTTTTACAGATATTTACAGTTTGTAACTTGGTGTATGTTCTTGTGGACGGTAGCTGCCAATTTCATGGCAAGACAGGCCAGTAGTTGGCGATGTCACTTTGAAAAGAAATGTATATAGTCCAGTTCTTGTTATGGTTGTCAATAGGGCTGCACAATAAGGTTGCACGGTTTACCGGTACTGTGGTAGTATGACAATGGTATGGCTCAAGAGTACTGGCGGTGCCACTGTAGTATCGTCATTAATGGTCTATCAACATGAAAAATATGGAAGCATGTGGAAAAGCCACTAAAATGCTCACAGGTTTGTGCAACATTAGACCATTTCATTTTAATAGTCTGTGGAGCCCTTTAGGGTTGCAAAACTGAGTAGAATTCACGCCTTTTATGGTAGCCTATTGCATGTTTTCTAACACATAAGTTTGAATGGACATCTGAATTGGTTAATTTCTGTTCCTGTTGATATGATTTAGTTGCTACAACAACGAGACAATCTCTTTAAAAGAACGACTCACAAAGTGAAATTTTGAATTACTTTGGATTGTTACCTAATAAGACTGAAAAAAAAAATAGCTGAAAAATCCAAAATAGCAACAGGAAACAGGAAACGTAGAAACAATTTTTGAACCCTTCATATGGCCTAATTTTGTTTGGTATTTGTATCTTTATTTTAATGTATTTTTGTTGGTCAGTTATCTACAAAATAAACAAAAAGAATAAATAAATTTTAGGTGAACTGAAATGCAAATATTACTTTTTGGCCTTAAGAGAATTATTAATTAAATTCAAGTAGGCTTATTATAACATAAAATATAGTATTTCTGACAATTTTGTTTATAATTTCTGTTATGAATTACAGTATCGCAATACTACTTGGCATCGTGATACTTTAGCTGGTATAGTATTGTAAGATGAATTAATGGTATCGCGACAACCCTACTGCACAATATTTCGTCATCATTGATATTGCAGTGTGCGAGTCCACAATAGTCACATCGCAGGGATGTGCAATGTAGTTTGGATTATAGTTGACCAGATATTGCAGTTAATAACATTTTGGAGTGATTTCAACTTTTAACTTTGGAGTGAAAGTTTTTTTTTTTTGCATGCGCGTTTACTAGTTTTTTTTTTTTACTAACGGCCGCGAGTGTTGTGTGTGCTGCTGCACCTCATTTTTTGCTACTGCGTGCTGTGCACTCGCAGTTGAAAAAAAAAGCGTTAAATCAGTCATGTCTTTTTCATTCTCCAATCAAATGAAAGCAGAGGCGGGGTTTCTGTTGAGATGACTTCAGTGTTTGTGTTGCTATTTTGCGTTATCAGGAGCTGTATGAAACAAATCTTGAATATCACAATATTTTTAATTTTATAAATATATTAATATCAACAGCAACACTTGCGCACTTTACGCAGTTGATATGTTGCCTAGTGACATAAAAAGTGCACCGAGATTTTTTTTTCTTGTCAACAAAAACGGCAGTGTACTGGGCCTTGCTTTTTTGGAAGGGAAAAGCGTGACCCCTAAGACCTGTGTAAGCATTTCAGGCTAATTTATGTCATTTGAGCACAGCAAATTAAACGTTTGAAGCTTAAAGATTGTAATTGTAAATTATATAATTATTTACTCAATGAAAACAATACAGTGTTATTATATTATTATATTGTGGTTATTAAATTTGTGTTGTTAAATACTGTTTGACTCCTCAGAAATATCATTTTTTATGATTAATTATCTGTTAGATTTAACTTTGCTTGTCAATTTTTTAACTATATTAAACTTTTATCATATATTACTATATTTTGCAGATATGCTCCCCTACAGAATCATCCAAATCAGTCTAAAATGATGATTTCTTTACAAGCTATTCAAGTCAGCTGGTGACATTGAATTTATATCGCAATATAAAAAATTGCAGTAAATGAAAATAATGCAATGCACTTCTTTCCAATGTCGCGCAGCACTAGTTGTTAAGTCACACATACCAAAGTAATCTCAAGACAATTCATGGCTTTTTAACTTGATGTCTAATTCATATACAATCTTATTATTATATCTCATTCATAAATGTTCATACGAACCGTTCATGCATCCAATGATGGTCATATTTATGGTTGGGTTTATAGGGATGGGCTTTCATTCAAAAAGTTGTACACTTTTGTACACATTACACTGTAAAAATTTAGATGAATTCTACAGTAATTTACCATTACATTAAATAGTTATGTTTTTCCATGAGTTTGGGCTGATGATGTCATTGTTTTTCAGAATACAGTCATTTTGTGGTTCACACAAAGATGATAACCCTCTCATTAAAATGTTCTATTTGCAAAATAATTAGCTTAAAATTAATTTAATATTAGCAACAACAGCAGTAGCATCATAATGTTATCATGAAAGCCACAAACTTCATGGGTTTATTCTTGATTATGTAGTTAAATGAAGTGATAAATAAGGTTTAAGCATAGTGGATAATTGAGCAGTCATAAAAATTGAGGAAATCTGTCGGTATTTTCTATCTCATCACGCTATTTGTAACTTTCCAAGGAGGCACGCGGTGATCATCACCTCAAACCCCTCATGCAATAACAAAGCCAGTGGGGCTGCACGTTTCACACATGTGGGGGTCGCGGTGGAACGAGGTTACTGATGCCTGTGGCAAATTTACAAAATCTGTATTGTCTCTGGACGTAAGTTAAGAAGAGTTTAATAAAATGTGTTCGACAACATAAAACCGACTTTGTTTAAATGTTACTGTGTTACATTCAGTGAGAAACATCAAAGACTTAAACAGCATCACTGACTGAATCAGTAACACAAACAAACAGAAAGATAGCGTGGAACAATGACCAAGTAAAATGCAGCCTCGTATCTAACAATAAACTTGTAACCCAATAATCATGAACTTGACTGAAGTTTATAAATAAAGACGGCAAAAAAAATGCAGATGATCAAGTTAAATTATGTCAATGGGAAGTTTGGGTAAAACCCCATTCGACGCCAGTTCGACGTCAATCTAGAAATAAAAACCGGTCTTGCAAGATTGAATATGTGATGATAAACATACAAACAATGTAACGATTTAACGCGTAAGGTTAGCGTTAATTTCCAGGATTTAAGCTTAAGGCGAAACTAAATGTTACTCCCTTAACGTAAGTTACCCAAGTCACAACGGATTGTAAACAAAGACAAATCTAAAACATTATTGATCACTTAAATGAAGTTACGTTCAATAAAACCTTTCAAACAAACACATTTAATCAAACAAACAAACACCAGATACGTTAAATGTTTTGCTTAGACGTTTGGTTGGACGGCTTGGTTCTGTTATTGTATAAACCAACACTGAATAACCGACTTTTTACCATAATGTAAGTTGACGTCTTATTAAGACACTAATATACAAATTGATCGATTATCACACAATCACTGTCGAGTGGGGACTTGAGTTTGTTTAGTTTCGTTTTAATGAGACTGGCGGAAAGGAAAGGAGGGCCATTCAGCTTTGATCATTTACCTCGATTTCAAAGTCTGGTAAATTGAACGCCGTCCTGAAGAGAGAGCAGAAGTGCGCTATGGCGGGGACTTCCCACCAAGACTGGATCTCCTCCGCTGAAGTTATACATCCCTGGGACATTTTCCTGTTATCCAACGCGTGTCTTACATTAAAAAGTGTGTCTTAGACGAATCCGTCCGGCTTTTCCCTTACATAGAACTTGTTTAACTGAACAGCAAAACTTGTTGTCCTTGCGGCGCAGTAGCCATCGCGACCCGTAGAATCGTTCAATCTGTTTCAATCCGCATTTCACAGGAGAAGAACAGATGGGCAGGGCGATACCATCGGTCGCGGGGAGAGGGGTTTCGGCACATCAAAACAAACATAATATCAACACAAATTTATTTTATATTTCATTGAAGTTGCCTATTGAACGATTTTAAAATATTAGACATTTTAATCACTAGACTACCTTATCGATCCAAAACAAAAGAAACAAAATATATCACACTTATTAAATCTTTGTGGTCAGGTGACTTCCCTCCGCGCGAAGTGGTATGTTCATTTAAAGGGAATGCACACACATTTGAATTTCGTTGAAAGGGAAGTTGCTCAGTTGTTATTACAGGAGAATCATCGCAAGTGATCTTCAAGTGATGTGGACAACAGATAGGATGAAGACATTAATGCATTTAAATGACATTATAGCTTTTTTAAATAAGTTTTAATTGAAAGTAAGTTTTTAGTTGTAGTATTGACAACGCAACTTAGTTGATTGACTATAAGCATGTATAAGTGTTTGCAAGTTACACAAGTTTGTTTGTTTCTGAATAGTGCTGTGGGAAAAGTAATTAAAACACAAAATATCGATGGACCTAACAATTGCCGAAACAAATTTAATAGCAGTGTCAAACGTTTTATCTTACTTTATCTTTAATAACTAATTGCCATTTAAAACGTGGAACTGGCGCCCCCTGTTGACACAAAAGATGGTAATACACAGGGAATACATAACGGACTTTTGAAGACATATTTTAGATGAAGTTAAGCAATACTACGTGCATGTTTGTGTATATGTGTGTGCCAAGTTAATATAGCTATTAAATGTTAGGATATTTACATATTTTAAGGTGCAGGACAAATGAAGCTACTCAATGTATTTTTGTCTAACTTTAGGGACCACTTAAAATTAATAACAAAAAATAAAAAACACAAATTTTACATTCTGAATGCATTAGTAAAACATTTTAATATATTTTGTTATAGCCTAATAATACAATATCATATTTGTTAATGCTGTGTGTGCCTATTTACGTGTGTAGTGTGTCAATGAAAATAATTTTGCATCACTTATTGTTCTAGAAGCATTTTTATTTCAATGCTATCTATTCAACATAACAATACAATTTTTTTTACTTATGTTTGTTTTTTAAAATGAAATTATGTAGGCCTCATCACACGGAGGAGGAAACTTGCAAAAACAATAAATAAATAAATAAATAAATACGCAAATAAATAAATCCATTACATTCCTGCGTAAATAAATAATTATGCAAATTATTAAAAAGATGCAAATTAGTACATAAATTTGAAAATATATCCATAGACTCCTGCATAAAACGATAAATATACGCGCAAAATAATAAATAAATAGTAAATAAATACATAGATTCCTGCATAAAACAATAAATAAATACGCAAATGAATAAATAAATTAGTAAATAAATTCACAGGTTCCCCCATAAATAAAACAATAAATAAATAAATATGCAACTAAATAAATATAAAATTCCACAAATTCCTGCAAAAATAAATATATAAATAATAAATAGTGCAGGCAGAAAAATAAATAAATAAATTACACGAATGTAAACTGAATGTTGATTTCTTATTCCAACTAAATTCATTAATTTTTTTAAATTATTTATCTGCCCACACTATTCATTATTTATATGCTGGAATTTGTGGATATATATATATATATATATATATATATATATATATATATATATATATATATATATATGCAGGACTCAGCATAATTGAGTACATTTGAAAATATATTTAATAATTTTTCTATAACATAAATTTGGGTGTACTATATTAGACTGTTATGGTAAACTATTTTGTTAAATAAGCTCCAGATTTGGCTTCAGTACTGACTAATCTAATGTATATGCACAAATATAGCTAATATTGTATAGCTTTACATTAACAATATTTGTGTATTAATTTTTTGTTTTACTTATGCCTGAATTGATGGATTCATTTACACATGTATGTATTTATTCATTTATTTGCATATTTATTTATTTATTGTTTTGCAGAGTTCCTCCTTCATACATGTGCGTAGTCGGGTTTGTTTGTACACGTGCTTCAAGTGCAGCACAATGTAAATAAATTAAGCTGCTACAAATATAATTTTTTTTCAACTTCAAGAGCCTGTAACTTTAACAAAACTTGAAAATACAAATTTTACATTCTAAATGCATTAGTAAAAAAAATTATTACTATAATAGTGAAATCGTATTTATTAATTCTGTGCGCATATTTATCTAGGCCTATGTTCGCGTGTAGTGTGCCAAGATAATTAAAATTTGACCAACTTAAAAATAATTTTGTTATACAAATTATCCTGGAAACGTTTGTATTCAACTGCAATGTATTTAACATATTACGCTTTTTGTTTTGCTCATTTGCGATTTGAGATTAAGTTATGTAATGACATATGTGCGTATTCGTGTTTGTTTGTGCATGTGTGAATGTGTGTCAAGTTTGATTAGCGGAAAGCCGTGCATTCCCTGTCCATGTCACTGGGAGTCGCCACGCGGGGGAGGGACTTCGCCACAGATGGACAATGCGCGTGTTTGTGCAGCGGCCCCGGAGTGTCGGATCTCCGGCGCTTGACTACGGCTTCTGTACACATTACCAGCGCATTGACGGCTCGATAAAACCGGTCACTGCACCGACAGAGGTAAGAACATGACATTCATCCTCTCAAACTTATGAATCCGTCAAATCTGCCGGGCTTGTGTGTTGTGGAAAGTCTTTTAGGGATGGGGAGGGAGAGTGGGGCCAGATCTCTCACTTGTCTGTGTTTTGGCAGTGGAGGGGTTTTGAATAGAGCAGAGTTGAAAGGAAGCAGTGCTGAAGGGAAAGGCATGCTCAGAATGCCACTGCTGGGCTCCAGAAAAGACAGAGCAAAGAGGCAGAAAGAGGGGATGTGAGTGTGCCGGAGGGAAAGACACTGAGAATGCTACCTCAAATTAGGGGAGAGTTAGTTGAAATGGAGAAGCTTACGTTTAAGACATGTTAAAGGTAAGGGAAAGCAAGAAAATATTGTAGACATTCTGTATATTGGTTAGTTGATACAAATTTTCAAGCTCTTTTAATAGTTTCATGAAGTGTGACTTTCTAGAAAACTCTAAAGTTAAGCCAAATGTAAATGGAAGCAGTTCTGTGCCCTTTATTAGTTGCGAGAATGTAAAAAAAAAGTACAGGACTACTGTATAAATCAAATATTGTAAATATACAACTGAGGTAAAGTTGGTTGTATATTCACACATTCATTCAGTGACAACTTGTGACTCACTCCCTATATTGTTTACCATGGTACTTTGAATATTCAATCTGAAATTGAATGCAAGTATGACATGAAAACAATATTAGCACTATCTATTTGACAACAATGTTTTACAACAATGTTATACTTTCAAAAGTCGTTGGCTGCTAATATGATTTTACTAGTTAGAATATGCGAAAATAGTTTTCTGAAATGATATTATTAAGAAGAAAGACCGAATGTGTGAATATAAAACTACATTTACCTCAATAATATATAAATGTTTACTCAGACATATTTCTGTTGAGGTCTTGTCACACAAACAGTTTTAAAGTAGATTTTTGAATAAGAAAGTACTAATGTACTATTTCATTTACTAATGTTTTTTTGTGCACTGTAAAAAAAAAAGCCCTGGTTGCCTTTATTTAACAAAGCTGAATCGAATGAACCCTATTAGTCCTTTGAACTTGTATTAAAACAGCTTAACTTATGAATTATTATAAAATAGACCATTTTGAGGGATGTAAACAAAAGCAATGGTCCTAGTATTTCCTTTTTTACATGTTTAATTTCTATAGCTTCCGAAAATCCAAAAAGAGCCACAAATTGATAAATAATGTTATGATGGTTGTTTTAACTAGGTTATGATTAAATTACCTCTTGTTACAGTTAAAAATAATTTGATAACAAACAGGAAATGCTATTTTCTCTCAAAAATTGTGTGTAAATTTGCTAAATTACATGGAAATGTAATGACGACTTGCATGAATGTATTTACTAGTAATGAAATAGTATTTTTGTGTAAAACACTCTACTCATTTTTATTTTATTTACAATTATGTACACCAGGGTGTCCGCAGGGTCTTAAAAGGTCTTAGAATGTCTTTAAAGCAAAAGTTTAGGCCTTAAAAAGTCGTAAATTCACTCATTGTGTTGTGGGTCTTAAATCATTTTAAACAGGTCTTCATTTACATCAAGGTAAAGCTACCCTATCAGGCCAGTATATTTACATTTAAGAAGAAATGCAATTCAAAACAGCTGTAAAGACATGTTTAAAGGAAATTTTTCAAATGAAATTCCATAATCGTGGAAAGAAAACTAAAGCAACACATTTTTATAACATTAATACAAATTTGTTTTATTTTATTCTACATTATTTACATTAATACAAATCTATTTACGGACTTAACTGTGCCATTAGAAAAAATCCTTTTTGTTTAAGTCTAAAATTTAATTCATAATGGTCTTAAAAGGGTCCTAAAAAGTCTTAAATTTGAATTGAAAAAACCTGCAGAAACCCTGTTAAACTGAAAAAAGTGGTGTACATAGTTCTCATTCTAAAATTGTAAGTATTTTTACAATTAATTACAAAACACCAAGCAAGTCAAAAAACAAAAAAAAAAAACTTAAATAGTGTTGGTAAAACTACTTTTACAGTAATCCTAGCTTCATTGAGATTTTCTTTAAAACTTCATAAATAAACTTCAACTTATTCAGTCCTCAGCATATATGAGTACACCCTTTCTCCCACAAATTTCTCATTTGAATTCATATTTTTTATAGGATGCTTTACAATAATATATTTGTGCTTATACATTAGATTAGTCAGTACTGAAGCCAAATCTGGAGCTACTCTAACAAAATAACTTACAATAATGGTTCAAAAATTAGTAGCTCAAATTTATGTTACTGAAAAATATTAAATAACATTTTCAAAAGTGGCAAAAATCAAGAAAAACTAAAAATATAGACAATTTAGTTGAAATGTTGTATTTTTTTTGTTGCAATATTTTGCATTACTAAAATATTATTTTAATACATATATCTGTTTCAAGAATTCACACTTAGCTCATCATGATTTATACATAGCTTGTTTGGCATGCTGTCCCAGGAGAGAGCCCTGACCTCAAGGGATCCTTGGGCCCAGGGCTCCCCCCCTTTCGCAGGGCAAGGGGAGAATGAGCTCAGGTCGAACTCAACCTGCTGCTGAGACTAAAGGGAACTTCCTGAGAGTAAGACATTAAAAAAAAAAATTTAGGCTTATTTTCATCTATAACATAGAGCATATTTGGACGGTGGGAGGAAACCGGGGAACCCTCAGGAATGCAAACTCCGCCCAGAAATACCAGATGGCCCGGATATGTATGTCTATACAGTGATTTGGGATCCTTTGATTGGAGGATCGTGATTAGCTAAGTTGGGCCATCTAATATTAAACTGAATTAAATAAATCTGTTTTTTTTTTAAATGCACTTACATATATTACTCATATTCACTGAGAAATGGATAAAAATATTAATTTTCAAAATGGGGTGTACTCATTTATGCTGAACACTGTATATACATTGTATACACTGAAAAAACTATTTGTTATATAATTTTCTCTGAAAAGGTGCTTGTAAATTGTACAACAAACTATAAAGATGCCAACATTCCCAGTTTATTTACTATTTGAAAAATACAATTTCATCACAGCATATTACAGTACAGCATCAGCTACCCAAAACAGCTTGAACTACTTTAAATTTCTTCTTTTTTCATCTCTTATTTATCAAACCACTCCTTTGATAAAACATTAATACTACTACTTGATTACCAATAAAGGGCATAAAGCAATGTTTGAACTGCAGTAGATCTATTAGTCAGAGATGTTGTTGATACTGTGTTGAAGAACAGGAAATCATGCTGATAAGCACCTCGTTCTGTTAGCTCTCTTCTCTAGGTTAATTCAAGGGGTCACAACCTCATTAGCTGCAAGATTAGAGAGACTTTAGAGCCAGGATGTTCTTTGTGTGCACGCTGTAGTACACACCATTCAGAGTGTCTGGTTTTATTTGAAAAACCTATATATATTTATAGAAAACCACAACTGCATTTCTCTTGTGTGTCTTGGTTCATATCAAGTTTCAAGGATCTTTTTTTTTGTGTGTGTGTGAAAGGAAGGGTGTGAAGGTTGGCACTCTCAGTCGGGACTCTACCCCGGTGGGCTGTGGAACGATTTGTGCTGACACCTTTTTTGTAGCAGAAAGAACAGGATTGGAGGAAATCAGCTGAAGTTTGGCCAAAATGGCCGAAAAGAAACTGAGGTAAATCTTTGCTGTTCTCTGGTGATTTGAAGTTTCATCCCAAGCTTTCTGTTGATGTGTTTTGATGCGTGGTTTGTGTGTGTGTTTGTTTCCTGTGTTTTCAGCCTCCCTGCTAAGCTGATTAATGGTGGCGTGGCTGGACTGGTGGGCGTGACCTGTGTGTTTCCCATTGATCTTGCTAAGACCCGCCTACAAAACCAGCAGGGAGCTCGTGTTTATAGTGGAATGTGAGTACAGGATCTTTATGAGCTCCCAAAACGGTGTAGCATTTCATGTCCTTTGTTTTGTTTTGGTGTGTGATTTTAGTAGCAGTTGGCAGGGGCTGCGTTCACATTAGTGCAGTTTTGTTTGAACATGGCATTTTAAAAGGAAAATTCACAAGGAAATGTTCTTGTTGGCAAACAAGTGGCTAATTCATAGAAATTAGGGCTGCACAATATAACTATTTCGATATCTTAATTTGTGCATCCACATAGTTGCATCGCAGGATCTGCAATGTTGAGTCTGGATTATAGTTAATTAGGAGGCACAGTTCAGAACGCATGAAACTGTAGCATTTGTTACTTTAATAAGGATACATTTCGAGTTATTTATACAATGAGGTAGTCTATCCAGTTTTTTTTACATTTAATTATTCAAATTCTATAGCTAAATACTGTTATAGTCCTCAGAAAACTATAAAGCATGTTTATTTGACTTTTATCTTTGCTCTATTGTATTTATCTATGTGTGCAATTTGCTCATTTTTGTTTATGGGTGATTCTCTCATTACAGAAGCATCCTAATTAATCTAAATTAATGAATGCATTCTAAGTAGAGCTATTTCAATCTATCTGGTGATATAGTTTTCACATTGCTATGTATATCACAGAAAATCTAAATATCGCGATGTCAGATTTTTTTCAATATTTTAGAGCACTGGTACAAATTCATGTGATTTAATTCAAATGAAAACATATGCTTTTTAAAAGGAGGTTTGCCCCCAAATACCACCTCTAAACTCAACCTTGATTTCGGGGGATGAATAAATTGTTCTAAAATGTACGAATAAGATCTTACAAATATACAAATTAGCCAGTAAATCTAAAAGTTACGAATTGCTTTGTGATTGTGTTTCCCTTTCCCACTTCATTTCAGAGTACAGTGCTTCCCACAGGTTTGAATTATAGTTACTGTGATAGTCCGATTGAAACACACCTTTTACCCACAGCACATAAATAGTTAAGTATATGCAACAAATAAAGCGTAATTTGATTTTTAACACTATTAATAACTATTCTTATTATTAACTTTTATAAACTTTTTCTTTTCAATAGGTTAAAATTAAAAAGGACTGTTGAAATAAATAAAAAAATCCACTATTTCTCTTTTATGCTATTCAAGAGCCATGTGCACCCCTGCTTTATTGCCATGACATTTTGTACAGTATTGCCAAAGCATTTTAGATATCTATAAAATATGTAACAAATTGACATCAAATTAATAAAATATACAGCAAATGGGAACTAAATGACAGAAAAAAAAAAAAATTCTGCAGCCAATATAGATGTCATTTTGTCCTTTCCGAGTATTTAGTAGCCTAAAGGTTTTCTGAGTCATTTAGAATTAATTATTTAGTCAGCGCCAATAGCTTAGTAGTACTGTGTGCCTACATATAGCACAGAAGTGCTCATGGCGACCCGAGTTTGATTCCCGGCTCGAGGTCCTTGCCGATCCTTCTCATCTCTCTGCTCCCAATGCTGTCCTCTCTAAATCCCCAATGTCCTATGTCATAATAAAGGTGAAAACCCCTAAAAAGAATTATTAAAAAAAAGAATTAATTAATGTCTCTCTTGCTCTCACAGCTGTGCACATAAAATTAACGAAAATGAAAACAAAACAAAAAACAAATCCCGGACATTTTAGTAAGTTTAGAAACCATGGACAGACACAAAAAGGTGTGGATTTGTGGGTCTTGCAGAGCATGTGAGATCAACTGTGGGAGTGCACACAGAACGAGCAGTATGAAATGGGTAAATGAGACAAGAATTTCCACTAAATTGATCACGGATGATTGTTTATATTGGGTTGATACAAAAAGTGTAAAAGGATGATAATAATAGTAAAAAAAAAAAATGTGTCACTAAATATACTTAGGCGGCTGTTAATATACCTGTAAAGTAAAGTCTATGTGTGGGAAGCACTGTAGTAAATCTCCATTCACTCTAAATGACAAAAAAACACATGACCTAAAAGTAGCTATAAAGTCAGACAAAACTGTAGCCACTATAAACAAAATCCCATTATAATATAATGATATACATACACAATTATTAAATTACATTGAGAGAAAAAAAGTCTAGTTTTAGGTTGCTAGTAAGTTATTTAAATATGTTTACATATCACTTTTGTACATACCAAATTGAATTTTTGTTAATTTGTGTTTGAACTCCATCTCATAATGTTTAAGTTTTAAAGGGAACGTATTATGTCCTTTTTTACAAAACGTAAAATAAGTCTCTGATGTCATTGGAGTGCATATGTAAAGTTTCAGCTCAAAATGCCCCACAAGTAAATTTTTATAACCAGGGCTTGACATTAACTTTTTTTGATCACCAGCCACTGTGGCTAGTAGTTTTCCAACGTTACTAGCCACTCGTCATTTTTACTAGCCACAATTTTGTTTTTATGAAAATTAATTTTGTATCCATAAATTTGAATTTGGCACGCTAAAATTATTTGATTTAGATTTTTTGTTACGTCCTTAAGCTTCCTTGTTGATAAAAAAAATAAAATAAAATAAAATAAATAAATATATATATATAAGTAAAAAAAAGCAGGTAAAAAACATTCCATGTGCGACATTGAAAAGATGATAGCATGCACACTGTTAAGCCCATTAATAATCTGTTCAAAGATTGGTTAAAGCGAAAGCGGCAATCGCTGCTGCTTTCAAAAAAATCACAAACAGTTATTTTGTGCTGCTTCTTGATTCTAAGATCACATTTGCACAGATTTTGACAAACAAACATAAACCAAAAATTAGAATGTTTAGCAATGAGTTAGCACTGGCAATTTAAAAGTTATTTTCAACCAGCCAAAGTGGCTAGTGAAGGTGGCAGTCTAACCTGCCACAACTGAAATCGACCCACATTTGGCGAGTTGTCGGGAGTTAATGTCAAGCCCTGTTATAACTCTTTTAAACTGTCCCTTTTAGGCCTTGATCCTAACTATGCCATTTTTGTGACTGTCACTTTAAATTAAAATGAGATTGTGCTTTTTTCAAAAGAGGGCGGAGCTACAAATGCCTGTGTCAAATGCTAATGAGGCAGAGGTTTTCACGAATGAATGGGGTTTTCCTCCTCTGATGGCACGTACAAAGGGAGAATGTCAATCAAAGTGTTTCTGTAGAGTTTTTTTGAGAGTGATTATAAACAATAAAATTAATAAATCTTTACCATTAGAAGCATGATATATATATACAGACTGTTGTCTCACAACTGTTTAAACCCCTTATAAAAGTGATTTTTGCATAATAGGTCCCCTTAAAAACCTGATATATTAAATCTGATAAGCGTAAAACAGTTCTGCATCTTACAAAACAACTGCATAAAATAAGGCAGCACATGTTAGTGATTTTGTCTGGGCGGAGGACTTTTCCTGAATGACTCAGATGATGCAAAACAATTCGAGTCACGTGCTTCTGCATCTTTGATCTCTTTTATGCTCCTGAATGTTTATTCATCCCTTTAATATAAGTAGCTTAATAAAATTGCTCATGCTTGTTTGATACGATTGAGATACAGAGAAGTAGTCTTTGTAGTGATTGTGCGTTAAGAGCTCTTTTCTTCTATGCATACTTATGTAACAAGCGAATACCCAAGTGGTTTGTGGGCAAGAGTTTCTCATGAATTTTGCTAATTTTTATTTAATATTTTACCTAATATGTACTAATTTTGGACCGTTATCATAAGTTATTTCGTTAGATAAGCTCCAGATTTGGTTTCAGTGCTGATTAATCTAATGTATATGCACAAAATAATATTGTAAAGTTTCCTATTGAAAATATGATTTAAATGAGAGATTTTTGTAGGCTGTACATGTAGAGCACTGTATTTCGAAATATTTTTAAGAAACACAGCTTTACAATGATTGTTTCAGAAGATGAATTATGATTCATTATGAACATTTCTGTCTTGTTATAAAGGCTGGACTGTTTGGCAAAGACGATCAAAATGGAGGGCTACTTTGGCATGTATCGAGGTATGAAGTTCAAAGTCAATCGTTCATCTACATATTTACCATCATTAAAAAGATAATTCACTCCTAAGAGGAAATTATGTCAATTTTATTGTCCCTACATTTAAAAAAAATGCTGGGTTAAACATAATTGGTTTGTGTTGGGACAACATAAAGGAATTAAGTTAACACGTTCATTTTTTACTAATTCAAGTAGATTAAACATAGAACAATTAAGTTGTTGCAAAATACCTCTATAATTGTGTTGTTTTAGCTCATTTTAAATAAGAAGTTTGAACAAATAGCAAAATGAGTTTACGTGCTGCTGAAAGTAAACATTGTTTAGAGAAAATGCTACATATAAATGAAATCAGCACATAAAACGCTTAATTTCAAAGGTGATCAAGAAAAAAGTGTGTTCTCTGTCATTGCGGCAGTTTATCGGCAGCAAACTGTATAGGTCTACAGCTTGGAGAATACAAACAGCCAAAAGAGAGGACCACGTAAGCTCTATCAGTGCTCCTATTAGCTGTCACTCAAGAAAGTCTCTCTTTCATTTGCATACAGTTGAAAGTATCTCAACTCTGCCGCATCACTCAATTCGCCAACATCCAGTTAGTCGCTGTCACTAGCGTAGACGGAGGTTACCGAAAGTCGCTCACTGTCCGTTGAAATTAATGTCCGCTTGTCACTTTGCTGCTGCAAGTCACTTGTACACTCAAAAATTATTATTATCTTTTTTTTTGCTTGTTAAAACTACTTAATTAAAATGAGCTGAAACAACACAATTCTTGAGATTTCATTGGGATAACTTATCTTTTTATGTTCAATCTACATAAATTTGTTAAAAGTGTTAAGTTAACCTAATTAATTTGAGCTTTACTGTATGGGGATTTCCTGGGTTACTTCTTTGTGGGTGTTTCTGCTCAAGAGCACCCTCTATTCTTTGGAGGAGATTTACTATTGAACACTTATCTGTGCTTCTGTGACAAGATGCGCATGATAATCACAGCCTTGTTCAAAGTCATTCTTATTTCAATGAATTCCAGCACTTACTTGTTTGTTTACCCACATTTTTCGAATGAAAATATTTGCATACAGGTTTGGAACAACCTAGAATATCTAAGTGACCAGTACCTTTACTTACAGTGTTACGTAAAAGTGTTTAAAAGTGCAATGTGTTGTTTTTGAAATTCTCAGATTTTTACGTCATGGTGTTTCTCTTAGGTGCAGCTGTGAATCTCACACTTGTAACTCCAGAGAAAGCCATCAAACTGGCTGCCAACGACGTCTTCAGGCAGAAGCTCTCCAAAGATGGGTAACTGACACTTTTTAACCACTTTTGTTTTTTGTTTTTTTGTGGGTTCGTTCCGCAAACTTTCTATTACTGTAAATCACCTTCTATTGGACTGACCTGCCTAATGACTGCAGAAGGGATTTTTTATGAAATGAACTCACTCAAGGAGATATTCAGCAAAGCGTCATGTTAAATTAATGTTAAAAATCTTATAAATACATATCTTAAAATGTATGTATTCGTTTTTGTGATTTTTATTTTTATTTTTTATTTTATATATTAATTTAATGTTTTTGCCATGAAAATAGTCATTATTGCTTGTATGGCAGTGAATAAAATATATATAGTATAATATGATCTTTTTATTTATTTATTTTAAAATATTATTACTTTTAAAGCTAACAAACTAATTACTTTTTACAAATAAAGTGGAAAAAAATAATTATTTCAGCATTTTAAATAGTGGTGCTACAATTGTTAAATTCACTTGATTAACTATACAGATTTAAATTGTAAGCGGTAAGTGCTTGATATGTTTCTGATTCACTGAATAAAAATAGCTTATAAAGGCTCCAATATACTCACAATGACAGAAACGCTTTTCTTTTTTGTCAAAAAAATGTAAACACCTGAGCAGTGGTTTACGTTGGTGAAGCATTTAGATGAATATAGTATAAAATAAGTGAAATAAGGTGTGAATTTTCTTTTCAATAATAAAACGAACATGACAACTAAAATGAGAAAATGGACGTTAAGCATGCTTCTGATAAAAGTAATGTTCGTTTGCAAACGTTTTGCATTTCAGCACTTTATTCAAGTAAAAAAAGTAACATCACTTATAAAACAACACTTTATATATTAGTTTACTTTAAAGCAAGCATGTTTACAGTATTAAAATTTAACCGTTCCTTTGGATTCGAATAGCATTTTTGAAAGCTTTTTTTTTGCTGCGTTTATTTTTACTTAAGTTTGCTTTTGGGGAAACTGCTTCAGTCGCCTTTAACCAACTTTATTGTGATTAAAATGATGTCACGCCAGCTTGAAGTATGGACCCTTAGAGGCATTTGTAAAGAAGTCCGATTGCACTGTTTGCAATTATTTATATTCGTCTTTGTATACTCATGATAATACTGCATGGTTTTCATTTTTCTTTGATTGAACTAAAAGAATCAGCTAATTAAAATCATTTGTTCAAGAGTTGGACTGGATTTGTTGTGCTCTATATGTCTGAATGAATAAAAAGAATCAGATAATTAGAATAATTTTTTCAAGAGTTGGAGTGCATAGGTTGCACAAGTCTTGTTGTTAATCCCAGTTGTTGTAGCAACAAATAATAGCTTGACTTCTAGTTAATCATTTGGAAAAGTGGCATAAGGTAGATTTTTCTTATGAATCATCTGTTAATCTTCATCCCAATCATCACAAATACTGCAGAAGACCGACTGGAACCCGCATGGACCCAAGATTCTTTCAGAAATTAGTCAAGTTTGGTGAAAGAAAAAAAATCATGGTTTAGGGTTACATTCAGTATGGTGGTGTGTGAGAGTGCGGCATAGTGGATGGCAACATCAACAACCTGAGGTATCAAGACATTTGTGCTGGCTATTACATTACAAACCACAGAAGAGGGCAAATTCTTCAGCAGGATAGCGCTTCCTCTCATACTTCAGCCACCACATCCAAGTTCCTGGGGGCAAAGAAGGTCAAGGTGCTCCAGGATTGGCCAGCCCAATCACCAGACATAAACATTATTGAGCATTTCTGGGGTAAGATGAAGGAAGAGGCATTGAAGATGAATCCAAACAATCCTGATGAACTCTGGAAGTCCTGCAGAAACGCTTTCTTTGCCATTCCAGATGACTTTATTAACAAGTTATTGGAGTCATTGCAGAGATGTATGGATGCAGTCCTCCAAGCTCATGGGAGTCAAGCACAATATTAATTCATTTTCCACTGCAGCATGCCTTAATATTTTTAAGTCCTATACTGCACATTATTTCTGTTAAGTGACATGAATTTTTTGTCTAAGCAAAGTCAGACCTTGACTGTCCTAATTAAATAATTAAAAAATCAAGGCATATCAAGGATCATATTTTATTTTGGTAAAATAAGCAACTAGTCAGGTGAGGCAGTGGTGCAGTAGGTAGTGCTGTCGCCTCACTGCAAGAAGGTCGCTGGGTCGCGTTTCTGTGTGGAGTTTGCATGTTCTCCCTGCCTTCGCGTGGGTTTCCTCCGGGTGCTCCGGTTTCCCACACAGTCCAAAGACATGTGGTACAGGTGAATTGGGTAGGCTAAATTGTCCGTAGTATATGAGTGTGTGTGTGTGTGGTTGTTTCCCAGAGATGGGTTGCGGCTGGAAGGACATCCGCTGCGTAAAAACTTGCTGGATAAGTTGGGGGTTTATTCCGCTGTGGCGACCCCGGATTAATAAAGGGACTAAGCCGACAAGGAAATGAATGAATGAAAGCAACTAGTCAAGTTATTCATTGTTGTTCCTAAAAAGATTCAGTCTGTCCCATCTGTTGTTCAAAACTTTCACTACAACAGAACACTGTATTGAACTTTCAGTGACTTATTAGAGTTATGTTTTCAGTAATTAGGGTTGTTGCTAAAAGAGATACTGCTGTGGCCTAAAGTTATTTATGTTATTTATCAAATCATCCATTAATTGTATGTTATTGATGTTTACCCCTACTCCAACCCTCACAGTAATGTAAAAGTATTAATTATTGTTGTACAGTGTCACAACAATTATGCTATATTCATGTAAGTATCCACAGCTGTATGCCATGTAGACTTTAAGTGAAATCAGGCCACACTGTTTCAGCTGTACATTTCTGATTCACTAAAAAGAATCGTCTTAATCAGGTGATTTGTCTGGCAGTGAGCTCACATTATGATGCTGGATGAGCATTTTACTAGAGCCATTCATCTTACTCTGCAGGCACAGGATGTCAGCATGATGTCATATTGACATTATATGTACCCCAACGTCATGAGGACGTTGGATTTCGTTTGGAAATAAAAATTGGATTGACGTCAGAACTCATTGTCAGGCCGTCGTCAATGTCCAACCTAAAATCAACCAAAATCAACGTCTAATGATGTTACACCTTGACATTATGTGGATGTTACCACTTTGAGATCTATCAGATGGTGGATTTTGGTCACTTTCTAACACAACCTAAAATCAACCAAATATCAATGTAATTTGACGTCGTTATTGAACATCAAAATAACGTTGTCCTTAGACGCTGGCTCACATAGAATTTTGGTCACCTGACGTCATGACCTAAGTCTAACCTTATATTATATTAACGTCTTATGATGTTGTGTGCCTGCTGGGTATAATCGAAAGTCAGTGATTGCATTTTCTGGTTTAGTTTATGATTTCCATATCAGGAGGGCGACATGGTGGCACATGAGAGAACTAATAAGAAAACATAGTGTTATTTCCCCTTAACAAACACCTTATGCTAACCTTTACATTCAAAATATTCCACAGAGACTTTCAGCTCAGCTGTTGACTAATTTGAACAATTATTTTCAATGATAACGAGCTCATCTGCCCCATCTGTCATTTTATCTGTCACTCCACAGAAAATTACCTCTCTGGGGGGAGATCCTTGCAGGCTGTGGGGCAGGAACCTGTCAGGTGGTAGTCACCACCCCCATGGAAATGCTAAAAATACAACTGCAGGATGCTGGCAGGCTGGGTAAGTGTGTTTATTATGATCCTCGTGCGTGTCGTCCAAGGTATGTAGGTCTTAGGATGCCTTGCTAAGTACAAAGGTTAGCCAGAAATAATAGATGCTGTTTGAATAGAACAATGTCCCTCGAAAGTAAGCTCGGTTTAATTCTACTATGAGGAAGATATGAGTGGTACTTTTTTGTCTTTCCAAGCTGCTCAGCGGACTGTCGCTGCCTCTGCCCCTGCCTCCGGTCCGACCCCCTCCTTGGTTGCCTCGCAGACCGCACATCCAGGCACCAGTGCACCACCTCGCCGTTCAGCAACCCGGATCACAGTGGAGCTTCTAAAGACCCGAGGCCTCCGGGGGCTTTATAAGGGTGCAGGTGCTACGCTGATGAGGTAAGATTCAAGCAGTCAAATAACCTCGATCTCCACTCATGTTCAAGTAGAGTTGTTGCCCTACAGACTTCAGATTCCACTTCAAAACACCTCCCAGTAATTATCAACACTTTTAAAAATATGACATAAAAAGCATGACAACACAGAAAGTGACATTTTTAAATACACAGCCTAAACAATGGCCTGTACTGCTGTCTGTCTTCAGCCAGAATTAAGTTGATCACAAATGTTTAGCATACACCACGACTACAAAGTAGGGGTACTATGTGTATCTACTATACCATATACAATGTAAACGCAAGCCTGATCAGGGTGACCTGTTCCGAGCTCTACTGTACTTTACAGAACTATACCCCTTTGTGGAAATGAGGCATTATTAACCCTGAACACTTTGATTAGCTTTTTGGACATAAATGTTCCCTTTGAGAACCTTTTTTTTTTTCAAGAGAACCTTTACATTCCACAAAAGGTTCTTTACATTGAAAAAAAGGTCCTTAAGTTTATTAAAATGTTTTACACAGTAAGAAACAAATGGTTCATTAAAGAATTGTTCACTGAAAGTTCCTTTGAGGCAGTGGCCCCCAACTTTTTTTTAACGTGGAGTGGTGATGTAAGTAACTTGCTAGGTAAACATCAACCATTTTTTTAGAGAATGACAAGCTGACAATACATTGCTGCAGCTCTGAGACAATTTTTATTTATGGAGAAAATTAAAAAGCATTGTAGTGTTTGGGTGTTCTGTGTTTGTCTGAGATAATTAGTCTACTGAAATGTGTGCATTGATTGGTAAGTTCTTGATACGGGACTCATGGTGCACTCTCTGCTTTCTGAAAAGTTGAGATGGCAAACTTGTGCACGGAAAAGACATGATATGTGAATGGCCCCTAAGGCCGCCGTCATTTGCATTCTCCAGCAGTTATGGCTTATTGCACAGACACGCTGAATTCACTTGATTTGTTGACAAATGGTATGCGGATTCATTCCTTGGCAGTCCGTGGGTCCTTCACTGGGCCTTTTCCCCTTCTCAAAGAAACTTTTCAAAGTTTTTGAAGCTCAAGTGACCGAGATGTATCCGAGAGAATACGGTCATTTCAACATAAATATTTTTAAAAATAAAAGATTGTTCAGACTCGGATGTTACATAAAACGGTAATGTTTAAGGATTTCCTGTGCAACCCAGTGCCAATTGATCCAGTCTGTGGCCCAGGGGTTGGGGATCACTGCTTAAAGGAACCCTAAATGATTTGAAATGGCAGGATCAGAATTCTGAATCAGCTTTGTTTTACTTTCTGGTTATGACAGATCATGAATGTTTCTAAAAACAAACATATACAGGCAACACAAATGCAGTACATATGACTACTGACGATACTTTGAGGTCTTGTATAGTGAGATGATTTGACTGTGCAAGAAAATTAACTATCCGTTTATTTTTGTTAGTTTTTTTAATGGCCTCAAATAAGAAATGTAAAGTGAAAATGACGTTTTTAGTGAATTAACCCCTTTAGATGAATAACTAAGCTTGGCCAATCAGCAATTTAGATCTTTAGCAAACCTTCAGTGATGTGTTGTCTTAACTAACTTAAGTGATTACTCTCTCAGCAAACATGCACCGTTCCAATACAAAAGGATAGCTATACATCGCAGTGACCTCTCACCTTTACTACCGCCTACACACAAATAAACCCCCTCACCTTTCCCGTCATCCCCTCCCCCGCCCTCTGTGATGTAATCCAGCTGAACTGATGTAACCTGCCAGCTGTCAGTTCCGATCGGGTATTCCTAGCTTCTAATGAACCGTAGGCGGAATTCTCTTCTTAATGGAATTCTAATGAGAGCTTAGACTGTTGCCTCACATCCTATACCAATCAAATAACTTGAATTTGAAAAAGTTGGTGGAGCAGCAGTTCAGTAGATCGTCCTTCAACACTGACATTGACAGCGGAATCGGTTTTAATCTAACTAGAACTACAGCAGCATATTAGCAGTACTCTGCTGCCTGTCTGACATTTCAAAAATGTTCCATAATCTGAAGTGTTCTGGCTTTTTATTATTATGTTCGTCCATTTAAAGCAGCTTTGACACAATCTACATTGTGAACAGAGCAATAGAAAGATAAAGATGACTTGACATGGCGTTTTTCAATAGGAAACAAGAGTCTCATTTATAACATTTTGCATACACCGTAAAAAAAAAGCTGGGTTCCACACAATTCCTTCATCTTGCCCAAACACAAATAGATTAATTAACTAAATAGTTTTTTTTACATATTTAAGTGAACTGAACATAACACTCCAATGTTGAAACCTTACTAAAAGCAAACTTACACAAGAATAATTTATTTATGTAGTGAGGATTGTGGTCCATATGCTTATTTAAAATGGCTGTATAAAACTCTCACATGGTGCCCACTGAAGCTAACCAGGGCTGCTCCCAGTCAGTACCTGGATTGGAGACCAGATGGGAAAGCTAGGTTGCTGCCGGAAGTAGTGTTAGTAAAACCAGCAGGGGCGCTCAACCTGCAGGCTATGTGCGTCCCAACACCCCAGTATAGTAAAGGGGACTCTATACTGCAAGGATTGAATCCGTCTTTTGGATGAGACGTTAAACCCAAGTTCTGACTCTCTGTGGTTGTCAAAAATTTTAGGATGTCCTTTAGTTGGGCATCCTGGCCAAATTTGCCCCCTGGCCTCTGTCCATCATGGCCTCCTAACCATCCTCACATCGTATTAGTTTCATTACTTTGTCTCCAATATTATTAGTTTACTTACAGCTGCTCACATTTTTCCATCAAGTTTTTGCACCCTTTGCATGGAATGCGGTATACACACACACACACTTCCAATTCTGTTTTATGCATATGTCATATTTATAATTGAGATCTTTTAACTGGAGGCCAATCAAGCACATTCACATTCACCTGCAAAACCACACTGACAAACTTAGACTTCCCATGAAAACTAATATTCTGCGACCCAATACGCATACTTATACTACGCCCTAAAAGTATGTACTTTTTTGTGAAGCAAAAATATATACTTTAGAGTGTGTAATAGAAAAGTATGCAAGCTTTGGAACATACTACTTCCTCGTTAACAGATCGTTGTGTTGCTAAGCCCTGTTATTCTTCCACATTTCTGTCATATTTAAATTCTCACCTTATTGGAGAAGCAGCAGCAGGATATTCTCCCATTCACGAGTCTTTCATGCAGAGACATCTCCTCAGGTCTTTGAATAATTATGCATTTAGACGTTAATGTCCAAACCCGTCTTTATATAAGGTCGGTATTGTTGTTGCTGTTGAAATATAACACAGAAAATGGCATTTAAATATTTTCCACTTAGCTTGATATTAATTATCAGTCATTCAAACGTTTTTACCACAGCCTCTCTACTTTATTGTTGGTCTCGCGCATCCATCATGTTTGTAGTAAATTTACAGTTTTCATTTCATTATTGCTGCCGTTGTGTCATCCAGGTGGTTGCTGCACACTGGTGGTGGATGAGGAGATCCCCCCCCATTGTGTAAAGCGCTTTAAGTGTCTAGAAAAGCACTATCTAAATGTAAGGAATTATTACTATTATTATTAGTAGTATAAGTTCTAATTGAATTCACGTCCAACGCACAATGTACTGTGGGCAATATCAGCGGTTAGAGTATGGACGACTCTACACTTAAATTTTTTTACTGGGAATGGTAAGCCATCCGGGAACCTTTTACATACTCGTTTTAACATACTACGATTTGGGACATACAAATTCTATTTACAAATGATATTTAGAGTAGTATGCTATTTGGGATGCAGCAATATTCTATTACTCTGTATTGACCCAGCATATAAGCCCTCCATGTCAGTGGAACATTTGCACATTTATCAGTCACTCGTGCTGTTGCTTTGCCGCACCTAATACCATGGAAGCCATTTGCTTCTGCTTCTGTCACTTATGAAAGTCTGATTGTTCCTTTGGTCTTCGAGACTTCCCAGAACCTGTGAACCCCAGCACATATTTCCACTGTGTTTTTGACCTTAGAGGCATCACTTGCACAGAACTGAAGTAGAGCTTTCTCCTTGAGCGATCAAATTGATGCAGCAGAAGACTATGTTCCATGAAAATGGTTTTCTGAAGTTCTCCTGAGCCCATGAGACTTTTTTTAACACCACAGCATGATGTTTTTTACACTGAGTACCATATGAGGGCTCAAAGGTGGATACGCTAAGGTTTCCTGCCTTTCTCTTCACAGACTTCGATTTCTCTGAATTCCCTCAGTCTTTTCACTATATCATTATTGTATTGTGATTTTGTATTGAGTTTGATTTGTTTGACTATTCCATCATATTTTCAAAACACATTTAAGTTTGTCAATGAAAACACTGGAAATCTGGAGAAAAAAAATGTACTCAACAATCAAATCACAGACTTTTGATTTCATCGTATTTCTTGCAAAACATTCAAAGGTTTTTAAAAATGAAGTGGTATTTCCCAGTGTCACGTTTCACAGACTCAAACTAATGATCAATCACGACTGGTCAATAACGTCCTGCAGCGATGTCTACATTTAACAGCTCATTCTCCTGTATTTGTTTCAGGGACGTCCCGTTCTCCATGATCTACTTCCCTCTGTTTGCCAACCTCAATGCTGTGGGCCGGGCAGAGGATTGTAAAGCCCAGGAGCGGGCACCGTTCCTGCAGTCTTTTATGGCCGGCTGCATGGCAGGCTCAGTGGCGGCGGTCGCTGTCACTCCTCTGGACGGTGAGATGAAGGCAAGAGAGGAGTACAGGAACACTGGTGGCTCTCTCTCTCTCTCTCTCTCTCTCCCTCTCTCTCTCTCTCTTTCTCTCTCTCTCTCTCTCTCTCTCTCTCTCTCTCTCTCTCTCTCGTAATAAATGCACACTGATAAATGTCCAACTGAGTTAGTCCAAGCTATCTAAGCTTGTAATCCTGTGCTACATAGAAACTGCTGGGTGGTGTTGGTGGTAGTCATCGATACAAGCTAAAACCAGCGAATATATTTAGCTGTATATATAATGTTTAACAGCACATTAAAATCACGGTTCAACACGGCTTCAGTACAACACAAATAAGCACCAAATAGCCAGTGCCTGCTTTTTCCTGTTTATTTTGACCAGGCTGAGAGGTTTTGTCTCAAAGATACAGAACTGAAGAGCTTCTTGTGGTGTGAAAGTTCAAAGTAAATAAAATAATGAAAAATAAGACTTTATAATTATTAAACTTTTAAAGGTTAAGCTCAGCCCTTTCCTAAAACAACAGTATTAAACAATAATTGTACATTAAATTTGAGATTCAGTTTCGAAACCCAAATCTCTTTTAATGTAAACTCTAGTACTGTGCTCATCCGTAACACCGAGTCAAGTGAACTGTTTAATCCTGTATGTGTGTATAGAGAAGGGTCTTGTGTGTGCATGAGTTGAGAATCATATGTTTCCATTGTTTTTCTATGTAAATGCAGTAGACGGAGATTAGGGCTGTCACGATACTGGAATTTGGTACGAATCGATACTGACATTTTAAAAACATCTATTTCCCGCTAACATTTGAGCTCAACAGAAATTACTGTGATTGGTTGTGAAGGTCATCAGTTCACCAAACCCACCGCTGATTACTGGGTGTAACCACAGATACAGGAACACTGGAGATTTTAAAGCTACGATTCATCAGTGGATCACTCGTATGCTTTCACTCGTATATCACTCAGCTTATTGACAAACCAGCTGATCGACGTGACTTTGAAACGCTTTAGTGTCCCTGTATCTATGTTTACATTCAGTAAACAGCGGTAAACTGATGATCTTCACGGCCAATCACAGTCATTTCTGTTGAGCACATGGACACAATCATAATCAGCGCTGTTTAAGAACATGCTCAGCAGCGCTCAAATGTTCACAGGAAATGGATTTTTAAAAAATTTTAGTATTAATTGGTACCAAATTCCAGTATTGTGACAACACGATAGTTACATGATCATTATACACTCACGTCTTTTGCAGTGCCTCGCACAAGCACGTCGTTTTTAGATGCTGTGTAAAAATTAAACAATTTTTAATTTGATTTAATTTGAACTTTTACTTGCAGCAGCGTTTAATCAATGTCAGTTCCACAGCAGTGGACCAATCAGAAGAACTCTGATGTGGGACTAGTTTTGCTAGCTAGTTGGCACAACAACGACAACATGTCGGAACCACTCCTGATCACTGCGTCTCACATTTTCAGATACAAAGTCAAGTTGTTGCACTGGTCTTTTTTGCTTATTTATAGGAGTGCATGAACCCAACCATGGCCTGTACTGTGATAGTTTGGGATGCATAAATGTTTTGTTACAGCCGAATAAATACATTATATGGTAGGAGGCATGCGTTGACTCAAGGGACTCAGCCTGCGGCCTCAGTACCCCCTAACCAGTCAAGATCTTCAGCCATATCGCACTGCTACGAGTGTGATATTGCATTTATACAACAGTTTGACAGCATAATCATGTATATAAAAAAGAAAACAAAAAGAGTCTTAAAATCCTTTTGTACGAGGAGCTACTTTTATTCTGCCATTCATTCACATCTGCAGCTGACGTCAGTACAGCAGAAAGCGTTGCTAATTTACTAACATCACTTTAGAGCTAGTGTTTCAATGATTCTCAAGCGTAATATCCAAAGTGATGACAAGACAAGTGATTTTGCTCACATTTTAAGATTATAAGGCTGAACCACATGGAATGCCATAAGTTTACAAAGATTTTCCAGAATTTCTGTTGCAATAAGGAGATCACAATAATTATCCCAAAAAAAGCCAAAACAAAGGAAACACTGCCAAATTACTATGGTATAAATACAGCACTACAACATACAAAAGAGAGAGATCGACTTAGTGTCACTTACCTGTTTTAAGTTGATTGATCCGCTTTAATCAGCTTGAAATTTAAAGAGCTTTTCTCTCCTAAGGACTTATTATGCAGTCTCTGTTGCCACCTTGTGGTGGAATGTCAACTGTCTTTGCTCTGCTCAGTATGACAGGCTGATGGCCACGAAACTCCGAAATTATAAAAATAGGCACTATTCTTATAAATAATTTGCATAGTAGCAGTCCAAACAACTATATTCTTGCATAAAAGCCTCAAGTACATTATGTTGTCCAACAGCTGCAGTATTTGTCAAACTGTAGTGAGTTGTTTAGTCCCTTTTTAGTCTTAGTGTGGGCAGAGTAATACACAAGAGTGAAGGGGCTGTACGAGTGCTGACATTGCTTTAATGTCTTATGGCTATCAGCCAATCAGATTTGAGAATCAGACAGAACTGTTATATATTCATTCATTTTCTTGTTGGCTTAATCCCTTTATTAATCCGGGGTCACCACAGCGGAATGAACCGCCAACTTATCCAGCAATTTTTACGCAGCGGATGCCCTTCCAGCCGAAACCCATCTCTGGGAAACATCCACACACACATTAACACACACACTCATACACTACGGACAATTTAGTCTACCCAAGTCACACTGTGGGGGAAACCGGAGCACCCAGAGGAAACCCACACGAAGGCAGGGAGAACATGCAAACTCCACACAGAAACGCCAACTGAGCCGAGGTTCGAACCAGCGACCCAGCAACCTTCTTACTGTGAGGCGACAGCACTACCTACTGCGCCACTGCCTCGCCTACTGTTTAATATATATATATATATATATATATATAATGCAACACATATTTGGGATTTTGGATATAATGGGTCAAATGGGATACAGTGAGATTTCTAAACAATGTTTTTTTTTTTACATTTAAATTACATGCATATTTCATTTATAGCTTCAATTTTTATTTTTATTTTGTTATTAATGTTTTTAATGTATTTATGCTTTTATTTCTATTTAAGTTTTAATAAAATAGTAGTTCTGCAAAGAAGAAATGATTTTTTCTAATACTATTTCATCTAGTAGATTAATCAAACAAATTACCATATATACCTTCAAGAACTGGAAACCCCACAAACAGTTAATACTGTACTATTTTTGTTGACTTCTGAGTACATTTTCACCTAGAAGTCTCCTAACTAGGTCACTCTGTATTTCATAAAGGCCCAGAATAAGTCTTTTGTTTGCGAGTGATTAATTAGTGAACCCCATGTGCTCTGCTTCAATCCTGCTGTGATATTTAGATCCCAAACATTTCATTGGCTTTGAAGAACACACAAAGTCTGCAAAGTTTGCCTCTCAAAGGGTTTTGGTTTACAGCTTGTCTTTTGTATCGTAAGAGACACAATTACTTGTTGCCTTAAATGGCAGTAAAGAGGAAGGTGGACTATTTGGACGGTGGAAACACTGGCAAGCCACTGTGGCGTCTGGGTTTGAAGATTTGGCAGGACTCGCTGCAAACATTACTCTGTTTATAGACTCACACAAAACCTATCACCTACCTTTTCCTATAAGGCATTGTTTATTTTAAAGTCAAAAAGTGGTGATTATGATCTCATACTTTTTTTGTTTTCAGCGTATAAATATATTTTTTAATACAGTTAATTCACAAATAATTTCACAAAAATGGCAAGTAGCAGATCAAATTCAAGTAAAATTGTCAAGTAAAATTATCATACCTGTGGAAATCTATACCTTCACTCACATTACACCCTGCTTTTAAAAGACCTTCAGGATAAAGTTGTAGACAGGCACAGGTTAGGAGAAAAAAAGGAAATATTTCAAAGGAGTATGAGGATTTTCTATAGGCACTGTATAGGTAAGAATGTAGTTATTTATTTGCAAATTTGTGTTGTAACATTAAACAGATCTTGATTTAATAATGTTTGAAAATTTTATTAAAACTGATTAGAGTATAAAACAATTGTGGTTAGTCATGATTGTCTAAATATTCCAAATAGCATTGTAATAAATCTAGTTGTCAAAGTATAAAATTGTAGATGGAGTAAATATAATTAGATTATTATTGTTGGCAACATAGTGGCGCAGTAGGTAGTGCTGTCGCCTCACAGTAAGAAGGTCGCTGGGTTGCTGGTTCGAGCCTCGGCTCATGTTCTCCCTTCATTTGCGTGGGTTTCCTTCTGGTGCTCCGGTTTCCCCCACAGTCCAAAGACATCTGGTAATGGTGAATTGAGTAGGCTAAATTGTCCGTACTGTATGAGTGTGTGTGTGTGTGTGAATGAGTGTGTGTGGATGTTTCCCAGAGATCCCATCTGCTGCGTAAAAACGTGCTGGATAAGTCGGGGGTTGATTCCGCCATTTCATTAACACCTATACCACTGTGGGCTAAACCGGAGCACCTGGAGGAAACCCACGCAAACACGGTGAGAACATGCAAACTCCAAACAGAAATGCCAACTGACCAAGCCGGGCTCAAACCAGCTACCTTTGTTGCTGTGAGGTGATTGTGTTACCCACTGCGCCACCGTGCTGCCCTCATATAGTCTCCTCAACCACAAATAAAGTACTTATATTTGAACATGTACATAATTATGGAGGTTGTGCATCATTGAGGGAATATGTTTGGCAAACTTTTTTTGTTGTTTTTGTTACCGGCCACTTTATTAGGTACACCTGTCTAACTGCTCGATAATGCAAATTGCTAATCACTAATGCCACTCCTGTCAGCTAAGAACAGGAAACTGAGGCTACAGTTCGCACAGGCACAACCAAAAATAGACAATAGAAGATTGGACTATAGAAGATTGCTTGGTCTGAGTCTCGATTTTTGCTGCGACATTCAGATGGTAGGGTCAGAATTTGGTGTCAACCACATGAAAGCATGGATCCACGGTTCAGGCTGCTGGTGGTGTAATGGTGTGGGGGATGTTTCCTTGGCACACTTTGGGCCCATTAGTACCAATTGAGCATTGTGTCAACGCCACAGCCTACCTGAGTATTGTTTCTGACCATGTCCATCCCTTTATGGCCACATTGTACCCATCTTCTGATGTCTACCTCCAGCAGGATAACGCGCCATGTTATAAAACGTGAATCATCTCAGACTGGTTTCTTGAACATGACTCCTGTAAAAAAGTCATGTTATAACTTCTGTAATTTTTTTTATTTTCAATTATTTCTCAAATGAAGTTTAACAGAGCAACACATTTTTCACAGTAGTTTCTATAATATTTGTTTTTCTTGAGAAAGTTTTATTTGTTTTATTTCGGCTAGCTTTATATGTTTTTAAACCCCATTTAGGGTCAATTTTATTAGCCCCCTTAAGTGATATTGTTTTCAGTTGTCTACAGAACAAACCATTGTTATAGACTCCCCAAGTTCAGGACCTTTATGACAATATGCTGACACACAAAATCAGAGATGTATAGTAACGAAGTAGAACTACTTCACTACTGTACTTAAGTACTAAAAGGCAGTATCTGTACTTTACTGGAGTATTATTTTTTTCTCTTACTTTCACTTTTACTTAAGTACATATTTTCCATGAGTTTGATACTTTTACTCCGATAGATTTTTTATGTGCTGCATCGTTACTCGTTACTAGTGGTGTCAAAATGATTGATATCAGTTCAGTAATAATAGGTCATAACCGGTTATTACGTGATGACGTCATTTATCTCCTATGCGCGATGTCGCAATACTATGGCGAAGGACGGAGGCGTGAGGGCGAGGCGGCACAGCATACCGGCCGCTAGTTTACTGTTAGGGAGAAATGTTGTAAAACTTCACCTCTGCCTATCACTCGCTCTCTCACTTTGGACATTTGACCCGCTGGCCAGTTTGTAAGGTAATTTTTCCTCTCTTCTTAGCTGTTAAAGCTGTGGATCCAGACATAAGCGTGCCTCATGTGCAAGCTTTCTCCACTGTGTCTATTACCTGTGATAATCGCGTATTCTTCCCGCCATGGGTGAACAGCGCTTATATTTCTAAAGCCCTTTCTGTTGAGGACAATAACCAATCATAGCCGTGTAAGACCCGCCTGTCAGCGCTCAAAAAGCAGGCGGGATAATATTGACATGAGTTTATTAACTGTAAATGCTCGCGCTGTCTTCTGTGCATGAGTTTAGTTTGATACATCCAGAAAGAGTGAGCAGGTCAAATTAAGGGCACAGTTTGTATATCTGACTGCTGTATTAAAGGACAAATTTTTATTACAAAAAAACCCTTTAACTGTCACACCAAGACAATAGCAATAGAAATTTTTTTGATTGGATTTCTTAACTCCTAATGTCGCTAGTTAACACAATCAGTGCATTTTTATTCAACACATCACATCATTTCTAAAATATCAGCCTCTACCAAATGGTTGAGATGTTGGTTTATGGTAAAAGTACCAGAATTAATAAATATACTACAGAAAATATGAACTGTAAGACCAATTTCATTAAAAACATAATAAAAATAAATAAAAATTATTACTAAATCATAGCCATAAGCCATAAAATATTTCAGATTTTCATTTAACACAGTAATATACACATTTTCCTGTTTTTTACAATAAAATCAAAATCAAGTGAATTAGTGAAGCAGGATTTAGTTTGCTTGTTTAGTTTAGTTTCACGAGTGCTTCCAGAAGACAGAACTCCTGTTTATTGTGGTATTAACCAATCAAACTTCAAAACTCCCAAAGTGTGTGAGTGTGTCTTTGTGTGTGTGTGTGTGAGAGAGTGAATAATGTGTGAGTAAGAGAAAACAACAGTGTGATTGTACCTGTGTGTGCGTCTGTGTGTGTGTGTGTAAGAGAGTGTAAAAACAATTGCAACCTATGTATTGTCCCCACAATTCACAAAAATGTGTGTGTGAGAGAGAGAGATAGAGAGAGAACTGTGTGTGTGAGAGTGTATGAATGTGTGAGAGTGGGGAGAGAGTGTACATTTAGGTGTGTGCAGGGCAGTGTGTGTGTGTGTATGAGAGAGAGAGAGAGAGAGAGAGAGAGAGAGAGAGAGAGAGAGAGAGAGAGAATGTATGTGAGTGAACATGCTGAATTATCTCATCAGTGAAGGCATTTTCTGGTAAAAGGGCCTGACGATGTGAGCTCTTGTACCATAGAAACTATTTACAGAGAAAAACAGTATCGTAAGCCCTGTTTCTTTTCGTTCTGCTTAATCAAGTATTCCAAAAAAGATATTTAAAATAAACAAAACAATTAGTGTATTTTGACTGCTTTCTTTAATAACGACATTACACAATACTTGTACTTTTACTTTCAGTACTTGAGTAGTAAAATTTTTAATAAACTACTTGCAATACTTAAGTACAAAAAATGTTGAATACTTTTGTACTTCCACTTAAGTATGGTGCTTAAAGAGCACTTTTACTTCTACTCAAGTCAATTTTTGATAAAGCACTTGTACTTTTACTTAAGTATGGGTCTCTAGTACTTTATACATCTCTGCACAAAATTAAATCCTGTATTAATGAATATTTTCCTCTTCAGTTATAAAGACTCGTCTACAAACATTACAGAAAGGAGAAGGAGAAGACTCATACAGAGGCATCATTGACTGCGCACAGTAAGTTTTTTTATTGTTTCTATATTTGTCACATATAAACTTCTACCATATTAATATGTCAACCATCTCTCCCTCAGGCGCATTTTAAAGCGTGAAGGGCCCTCAGCGTTCCTCAAGGGAGCGACGTGTCGAGCGCTGGTCATCGCTCCACTTTTTGGCATTGCTCAAGGGGTCTATTTTCTGGGCGTTGGCGAACACCTGATTGGGCTACTGGGATAGCGGCTGATGATGTCATACAGTACTGTTTCTACATGGGCCAAGACATGAAGAAGGAAACATTGATTTATTGAAATGGTAAATACGAAGAGAAATCCACACACCAACCAAAGGACTTTCAGCAACTTTGGGAGAAACACAAGAAAGTTGTGAAACGCAAATCCATTTGTGTAACATAAATACACACTAAACTTATCAAACTAAGTACCTAAACTGTAAACAGGGTTCTTTAGGTAAAACTGGAAGGTTTTTTTGGCCAATGTTGAATTAATGTAGCTTTTGTGTCTAAAGCCCATAGTTCCAATCGGTTTTAAACCAACATTATTAGTGATGATTCAGTCTTAAGTTGTGAACAGGGTCAATGTGTATTTAGATGCGAAAAGAAGACTTGAAGTTTAATTGACTCTGAATCTTTTAAATTTGGCAAGTAACAGATTTAAACAGTAAAAACAAAAACAATTGCTGAAATGTTTTTTAAAACAGATTTTATTAGCCTTAATCCAATACTATTCATAATGATTCATTTATTTGTTGTGATCAAGAATCACATACATTTAGATTGCTGTAATTTAATTTCTAAATGTCTTTGAAAACACAATTAAGATCAATTTTGAACCAACATGATTTCCAAAGGATTCTTTTATCCTTCATGAAAAAGGTCTGTGTGGATTTGCACTGCAGAAAATGACTTGAATCAAGGTTGAGATAAATCTGAATCTTTTACATGTAGGTTTTTGCTCTCTTCCATTGAATCAGACCCTTAAACAGCAATTATATGCAGAAATGTCTTTTAAAGCCTTTAGGTTTAATCAGTTTTAAACCAGCATGATTCAGGAGGATTGATTCATCGGTAATAAAAAGGATCAATGTGTGTTTAGATTGCACAAAAAGACTTGAATCAAAGTTGAAGCGAAACTGAATCTTCTTACTTTTGTCTCTCTCTCTCATTAAATCAGCAACAACTCTTTAACTTAAAGTCAATCGACAAAATTAGTTTTGAACCAAAATTATTCAAAATAATAATTTTACAGAGAACTGAATCAAAGCTGAATCTGAAAGTTCTAATTGTATCTTTTAGCATCTACAATTGATTCCAACACTAAAAAAACTAAACAAAATAAAATTCAATGTCTTTAAATCTATAATTATATTTTGAAACCAACAAGATTCATCATTATTGATTTGTCTGTTATGAACGGTCAATGTGCATTTAGATGATCTTGAATCAAAATGAATCTGAATCTACTAAATCTCTGTTTTGCCATTAAATCAAACCCTTTAAAGGGCAACAGCATATATACAGAGATATCTTTAAAGCCAATCGATACAATCAGTTTTAAACCAGAATGATTCAAAATGATTCATTAATGCACAGAAAAGACTCAATTAGCACTATAGCACTGAGCAGTATAGAGTCCCCTTCACTATACTGGGGTGTTAGGACCTACACAGACCGCAGGTAAAGCACCCCCTGTTGGCCTCACTAACTCCACTTCCGACAGCAATCTAGCTTTCCCAGTTGGTCTCCCAATTAGGCTATGATCGGGTGTAGCCCTGCTCAGCTTCAGTGGGCCACCATTTTAGCATTTATAGTTGATTTCAAAACAACAACAAACAAATAAAGTCTTTAAACCTACAGCATAGTTCTGCTCAATTTAAAACCAACATGATTTATGATTATTAAATATTGTCTGTTATGAACAGGGTCAATGCGCACTTAGATGAGCTTGAATCGAAACGAATCTGAATCTACTAAATCTGTGTTTTGCCATTGAATCAGACCCTTTAAAGAGCAAAAAAAAAAAAAAAAAAACATATTGACATGTAGCCAATCGATACAATCAGTTTTACCAAAATGATTCACTTATTGATGAACAGGGTCAATGTGCACAGGGTCAATGTGCATTTGGATGGCAAAAAAAATCTAAGTTTAGAAGGATCTGAATCTTCTAAATGTATGTTTTGTCACTCTACTGCATTTAATCTGCAAAAAATAAAATAAAAAGCTGAAATGTCTTTCAATCAATAGATACAATCGATTTTATACCAACATAACAAATATATCCATAGAGAGCAACAATGACAAATATTTTAGATTGCAGAAAGAAGCTCTGAATCTGAAAATCTGAATCTTCTAAATGATTTGACTCACTTTTTCAGTGACCATTTACTCAACGTAACTGTGGTCTGTCAGTAAATCTGTTTGTGGAGACACTGCTGGGCTTTGTCTGGAGCCTGGTTGTTATGTAGACTGTATAACGTCAAATTAATTTTTTTAATGCTTCTTTAAATGATTTTGTTGAGTGTGAAATATATTAAAATGCAACAAAGCCTTATCCTTGACACTCGAGTTTTAATCTAAAAAAAAAAATCTTAAAACGTAATTTAATATTAAATCTGCCAGTGGCTGTTGAAAGCACTATATACAGTACACTGGCAGTCAAAACTTTGGGATATACATTAAAAAAATGTTTTAAAAAGATGTCTCTTCTGCTCACCCAGATTAAATTTTCTTGCTCTAAAAGAAAGTCAGAACAGTTCATCTTATCATTCCAGCTTTCTGTATCACACAATCCTTCAGCAATCATTTTAATATGTGCATATGCTGCTTAATTATAAATATAAAAATATAATAAAAGGTCCTCAGTTATTAATAATGGTCATTATTACCAATATTGACGTGGATTTCTGTAACTGTAATTTTCTAATTAATATTTGGTAAAAGTTGTTAATAAATTAAATAATAATTGAATAAAACAGTTGTTTTCAAGAGTTTTCTAGTGTTTTATGGATTCTACTACAGAAATATTAACCAGAAATCCCTATTATCATATATACAGTTGAAGTCAGAGTTATTAGCCCGTCTGTTTATTCTTTTTCCCATTTTCTGTTTAACAGAGAGAAGATTTTTTTCAACACATTTCTAAACAGAATAGTTTTAATAACTAATTTCTAATAACTGATTTATTTTGTCTTTGTCATGATGACAGTACACACTATTTGACTAGATATTTGTCAAGACACTTCTATTCAGCTTAAAGTGACATTTAAAGGCATTAAAGTTAGGGTAATTAGGGAAATCATTGTATAACACTGCTTTGTTCTGTAGACTATCAAAAATACATAGCTTAAGTGGGCTAATAATGTTGACTTTAAAATGGTTTTATAACCTTTATCCTAGCTAAACCCTACAACTTTTTCCAGAGGAAAGAATATTATAGGAATTATTGTGAAAAATCCCTTGCTCCATTAAAATTAATTTGGGAAATATTAGAAAAAGAAGAAAGAAATTTACAGGAGGGCTAATCATTTTGACTTTAAATGCATCTGCATATTCTGCATAATTTCTAAAATGACTATTTGACACTTAAGACTGGGTTAATGATGCAGAAAAATCTTTTTTTTTAATCACAGAAATACAATTTGTAAACCCATTTAAATATAGTCAAATTCTTTAGAATTCTAACATTATTGTGAAAAATATTACTGTTCTTACTTTATACAAAACCAGAAAAACAACAACAAAACAATCTTCATTTTCCAAACATTTGAGTAGCAGTGTTGTTTAGGTAGAACATTTATTTAGCTGATTTGTTTTTTCACATTCTGTAGAAAGAAAGATAAACAAGAGAGTAATGAGATCTTGAATAGTTTAATTTTGAGAGAACCGAGAAAAGAACAAAAAACGTGGGAAACATTTCTGTTTAAAAACACATTACTTTAATAATACCAACAAGATAGAAGCTTATTTATAGAAGCGTATTCCTTGAAGACTTGATTTTTGTGAGAAAAAAGGCTTCTTGTTCATGTCATTCTAAATAATTGTGATAAGAAATCTGTACGTTTGGTATATGCAAGACTGATATAGGTGTCTGTACTTTATTAAATGCGTTCAATTAAGAGCTTTTGTATTTTAAAGTCTGGAGTCTGATTTGATTATGCAAAGCGCTGTTGCACCACAACAAATGATGCTAATTTGCATCTAATATGTTTCATTTTAACAAGAGAGAGGGCATTGTGTTGTTAATGTTTGAGATGTATGTAGTGTTATCTGTACGAATGTCAGTTTTCAGACTTGATGTAGTTAATAAACACAGTTTTGTTTAAACTGTGATGGACACAGACATGCTGTAAATAAACTATTTTTTATTTATTTATCCGTAGTAAAATGCAGTTGCAGTACAATTTAAGGCACAAAAGCATCCATGTTGAATATCATGGATGGACGATCCATGTTAAATATCACCCAATGATATTTTCCCCCCTTTTCTTTTAAGAAAAACCGGCTAGGCTACTAGCTTAGCTAACAACAATTGACACAATGCAAATTCCTAAGTGCTTACAACTCTTTGTTCGTACAAGCTGAGATAAGAAGTCAGGCGTCTACTTTCCCTACCCGTGACATGATATTCAAAGAGAAAGTGCTAAATAAACTCTCAAAGGAGAGGTTTAAGGTAACAAGAGAACACATTTCAGTGTTAACTACTATCTTTGGCCTAAAAATAATAATAAAATAAAACCGAAAGGTACCATTTTTTAAAAGTGAAATAAAAAAAACAGATTTCCACTTTAGCAAATCTGCTGTAACCTTAAAAGACCCATCAAACCTCAGCTCTTCTGAAATGTATTTGTAACAGTCGATTAGTCTGTGAACTTGCGGTTTGGGTTGGCACCAAATAAACTCACTCTGATGTCAGGCATCATCTGTGAAAGCAGAAGAACACAATATAAGAACTCGAATGAAGACCCTAAAAACAAAAAGGTGACTTTTACTCTACCTGTTGTGCTAGAAGGTCTAATCTGCTTTCCAGCGTGTTGGAAGCCTTGATCCTGCCATCAGCATTATAGACTTCAACACCTCCTGAACTGAAGATGCCAAGCACAAACATTTAACGCATTTGGTTATCTATAAAAGAGTGTTTTCTAACTAAACAGAGGTCTGTTTCCTCCTGAAGTTAAAGCATTTTCAATTATCCGATCACAAGTAGGGTTGAGTATCGTTTGTTTTTTAATGATATCAGTGCAAAATTTATACATTTAGGTTAAATTGTATATTGTGGATGGAAACTGTTTTTTTTTTCTTAACGCCAGTCTGCACGAGGAGCGCTTTAAACACTGTTTTAAAACTAAAACGTGCTTATTACACATTTATCAAAAATGATGTTGAGTGACATTAAAGAATGGCTTTTTATTGAGGAAAAACAAAACTTAGAATTGAACCAATATAATAAAAGTTTAAGGTAGACAAATATAAAAATAAAAGTAAACACAACTCAATACAAAAATCACAAACTGTATATATTCACAATAAAACACTAAACCAATATTTGAAGTCTGCATAAACCAATAATTGACACACCTTTACTACAGCAAATGACATATTTCTAATTAAATGGAATATTAAGGGGGTTGGCTTTTATTTTTGAGCTCCCCCTCTCATCTTTTACTCACAGCAAACTAATGGTTTAAGGGGCGTGGCTAAGCATATTTGGCCCAAGCTGTCAAACTGACATCATCCGAGAAAGACTGCTATTCCAGAGCGGAAGCAAGACAATTGATTTTACTTTAAGATTACCTTATTATTAACAGTGTGCGCTAGAAAAATAAACGTATTTAAATTTGATTTCATGCGGACTTTGATACTTAATGGCACTAAACAGCAGGCCAATTATTATTACCATTGAAGTAGTCTGCATTCTTGATTTGCAACAAGCCCACTTCAAATTTCAGCAATTCTTTTGCAGAAATATGGACATATTTGCTTTCTCTGGTAAAAATAAATGACACTCTCTTTAAAAAAACATTAAAGTACACAATATATTTTATATTATATTATATTACATATATAAGGTTGAAGTCAGAATTATTAGCCCCCCTGAATTATTAGCCCCTGTTTTTTTTTTCTTCAATTCCTTTTTAACGGAGAGAAAACATTTTTCAACACATTTCTAAACATAATAGTTTTAATAACTCATTTCTAATAACTGATTTATTTTATCTTTGCCATGATAACAGTAAATAATATTTTACTTTATATTTTTCAAGACACTTCTATCCAGCTTAAAGTGACATTTAAAGGCTTAACTACGTTAATTAGGTTAACTAGGCAGGTTAGGGTAATTAGGCAAGTCATTGTATAACGATGGTTTGTTCTGTAGACTATCGAAATATATAGCCTAAATAACTAATAGATTTGACCTTAAAATGTTTTTTATAAAAATAAAAACTAGCCGAAATAAAGCACATGAAGTCTCCTGAAGAAAAAATATAATACTGTGATACAGACATACTGTGGAAAATTTCCTTGCTCTGTTAAACATCATTTGGGAAATATTTAATAAAGTAAAAAAATAAAAGGGAGCTGATAATTCTGACTTCAACTGTATATGTATTATATTATATATTGGGACTTGAACCAGCGACCTTCTTGTTGTGAGGCGACAGTGCCAAACATTGAGCCTTCATGCCACCTCCACAACAGTTTAGTTTTATCATCATTCCTTCATTTTCTTTTTGGCTTAGTCTCTTTATTAATTGATGTCGCCACAGCGGAATGAACCGCCAACTTTTCCAGCATATGTTTTACGCAGCAGATGCCCTTCCAGCTGCAACCCATCACTGGGAAACATCCATACACACTCCTTCACTTTCATACACTATTGACAATTTAGCCTACCCAATTTACCTGTATGGCATTTCTTTGGACTGTGGGGGAAACCGGAGCACCCAGAGAAAACCCACGCAAACGCGAGGAGAACATGCAAACTCCACAAAGAAACACCAACTGACCCAGCTGAGGCTCGAACTAGCGACCTTCTTGCTGTAAGGGGACAACACTACCTACTGCGCCACTGCGTCACACTTTGTTTTATCTTTTTTTTTAATTATTTCAAAACCAGTAGCTGACATCTATGATTCCTGTCATGAGTACATGTCAGCTCATCACTTAAATTAGGGGTCACCAATCCTGGTCCTGGAGGGCTGGTGTCCCTGCAGGGTTTAGCTCCATCTTGCCTCAACACACCTGCCTGGGTGTTTCAAGTATACCTTGTAAGACCTTGATTAGCTTGTTCAGGTGTGTTTGATTAGGGTTGGAGATAAAATCTGCAGGACACCGGCCCTCCAGGAACAAGTTTGGTGACCACTGACTTAAATTGTTATTTGAAAGCAAGACATCTGAGTAGTGGTCAAAACATTATAGCCCATGTTTACACTTTAACATCACCCACTTGTGATCAGTTTGACACAAATACATCTTAACAGCAGGTGTAAATGGATCTACAGAGTGAAAGTGATCTTACATGTCAGGAGACAGGAAAGTGTTCTCGTCGATGCGAACTTCAATGTTACTCTTTACAGCTTCTTTGTAGATCGGGATGTTTTTCTGAACAGCAGTCTAGAATAAACAGATAATAAACCTCTTTATGAGCTCACAAGTTTTAAGAACTGACATAATTAATATGATGTAAACAGATTGACAGGAAATTGAGCTCACCTGCACCATCGCTACATCTTCCTTTCTACAGCGGATTATAACCCTAGACTCTAGCAGCTGATAAAAACCCTGCAGAGGTTATAAAAAGTACATTTATTACTCTTAATTATTAGTTTCAATAATAAAATCTAAATCATACATCAGCACGATATTGGAAAAAGTCTGATACTGCTGTGTTTTATTTTTCTGTGATAAATACTGCGATATTAATACAGATTTACAAGATAGTTTTAATAGCACTATTTGGTGGTTTTCTGGGGAGTCAAAGTATTCGAGTACAGAAATTGAATAATCAAAATGTAAAAAAAAAAAAACATTTTTTTTTTTTTTTACTATGTTTTTCTTGTTTCTATTCAAAATATTTTAAAAAACATTTTTTTTGCTTGTTTTAGGGAAATGATCTGCCAGTGCTGTAAGTGAAATAATCTTGGTTTTCCTTTGAAATGTAGATGTTTGGACTAGAAACAAGACAAAAAATCTAAGTAAGAAATGATGTTTTGCATAAATCATATACATTTTATATAAAAACAGTGATTAAATACAATTCTGTGGCTCCTGGTCAACTATAATTCAGACTGGTCATTCTATATCTTTGCAAAGTGACTATTGTGGATGTGCACATGGTGTGCAATATTGATGCTGAAACCATAAATTGTGCAGCCCTTTAAGCAATGTGCAATCTATTGCTTTTCTTGCAGTTCCCGGATGTAATATCAAATTTTAACAGTCGAATTTGAGCCACTGAATACTGGTAGCGAATTTTTGAACTGAAATAAAATGAACCGAAAATTGTCTTTTGAATATTATACTTTGCAATTTTAAACAGAACGGAATATTTTGAAATTGAAATCTGGAAGTTGAATATGAAATATGGAATTTAGGTATTGTGTTTTGAATTGAAATATTCACAGCTTAAATAAACAGCCGTGTTAAATTTCAGAACCTAAATTACAAACCCTGGGAATTCAAGTCACTAAAACACAAGCAGCTTGTAATTCAATGTTTTAATGATAATTCAATTAATTCAGCTTTTTATTTCAATACTTTTGGGATTGATTTTGTTCCATAATAAAACACATAATATTTGTATATTAAAAAGAAAATGTATAAACTATAAAAGTTAATAAACATACAAATGACAACTTCAAAATAAAGTGAAACAAATGTTTTTTCTATTCGACATACACAAATGCAAAGCACTAAATACTAAATAATGAATAATACATGCAAATAATGAACGTCTGACAAAACTAATAAAAATGTTTGTATTTAAATATTTCAAAGAAAACAAGTTAATAGAATAAATAACTATGTCAAGATTATGTACATATTATAATATATATATATATATATATATATATATATATATATATATATATATATATATATATAAATATATATATACTTAGCTTTTTTATTTTATTTTATATATATATATATATATATTAAATAAAATAAAAAATACTAAGTTCATGATGAATCTATTTAATAAAATAAAAATTCTAAAACTAAATTATAAATGATATAACGTGTATATAAATATATGAAATAAAGTATTAAATATAAAATCATCCATAATTAAAAAGAATGAATGACTAAAACATTTTTGATTTTCACTATACTGCCGCTAGCAGGATGACGCTCCGAGCGATCGCCCATACTGCCCATGCCTAAATCCGACACTGAAAATACAAGGTGAAGATTTGTGCGACCTCCTTTAGCTTCCCCCGAACTTGAAAATAAAATTGGCTGAATCATAGAGCTGGATTAAGATCGTGGGGGGTCGAATCGAGATTGTGATATTATGATTGACACAATATATACATTTTTTTTTCTTTTTAATAACAAAATAAACCATTTAATATCTTAACCACTTAAACCATTAGTATCTTTCAAAACTATGAAGAGCATCACTAATAGGGGCATCAGCTGACCTGTAACACCAGCCCCTCCAGAAGTGTTTGGTACTGATTTGGGTCTTTGGCAATGGTTGCCAAACGCTCTCGGGCATCATTTAGGAGATCCTGAATTGAAGTAAATGAGAAAGATGAAGGTGAGATCAATATTTTTTTGTAGTTTTACACAAATAAAAAGTATATCAATGTCACTGATCATACCTTAATCATGTCATCACGAGCTTTGAGCACCTTCAGTCTGGCCTGGTTCATCAAATTCGACATCTGACTGTGGATTTGAATGAAGACATCATTAATTAAGCCACTGAAGACATCAGGTAACACATGTGAAGAAGTCAAACGCACATTTTCTTCTGTTGTTCAATCTGTTTCTCTTTCTTCTCATAGTACTCCATTATCTTTAGTCTTTGAGTTTGCACCAGTCGTCCTTTTTCAATGTTAAACTCTTCTTCTGCCTGCAAAATGTAAATAGACAACTTCTATCAAAAGGAAATACTTGAGAAGAGATTAATCACCAAAAATGACTATTTGCTGTTAAATTACTCATCCGAGGGCAACCTTTTTTCTTCAATATAACATTAAAGACGATTTTTGTTGTCCATGGCGATTCATCAGATGCAATTAATTTACTCCCTAATTTAATAACTGCTTTTTAGGCACAAGAAGTTGGGTTGGTTTTCATCAGGATTTGTCGCTGTGGTAACTTACGCTACATGAGTAACCGGCTACAGAGCAGCTTTTATCCTGGGTTAGAGATTGCTAACCTAAACTGGACCAATCAGGTGTAAGCAGGGCTTGACATTAACTTTTTTGATCACCAGCCACTGTGGCTAGTAGATTTCCAACATTACTAGCCACTCGCCATTTTCACTAGCCACACTTTTCTTGTTGGGAAAATATATTTTGCTTAAATTTGACTTTGACATGCTTAAAGATTTGATTTAGATGTTGTGTGTTATGTCCACATGCCTTCTTATTCATTTAACGTGTTGTGTGTATTGTGTATTAGCTTGCTCAGTTTGCATGAGCAAATGGGTTGTGTCACAATGCAATCAGTTTTTATTTCACATGACTTTTCAGGGCTCAAAATTAAGGATTTACCAAATTTATCTCTGACCACACCAAATAAGTATTTATTAGCCACAATTTTTAATTCCTAAAACAAGGAAAATATAGCTTTATAGGTGCAGTTTTTAATTCAACAAAACTTTTCTTTAAAAAAACATTACATTTAAAAAAGAATTATTGTCATGCATCTAAAATATGCACAGTAATCTGTCCTGGCTAAAGGTCCCAGATCACCAGTTAACTACACATAACAGGGAGTAATCTCCCATTAAAGCAATGTTCTTGAATTTTTTTTCTTAATTTTTCAATGTTCATTAAAAAATGATAATTAAACCTAATAACTAAGCAAAAGAAAGCAGGTGAAACAATGTTAAGCCTGTTAATAATGAAAGCCGTGACCGCTGCTGCTTAGAAAAAAATATGTGTATTTTTTTTATCTTGAGCTCTTGAAAGCAGCAGGACTGTGTGTACACGATCATCGCTCTTTGTCCAGTCTATTTCAAAGGGAACCAATAGCACTCGTTGCGCTTCCTCTAGGCAGTAGGCACAGTTGCTTTGCGCAAGTAAACAGGAGCGCACACGCTTTTTTACAATCGCGCGCATCACATCAGCTGTTAGCGCGAGTGATCATGCTCTCATTCTGTATTCACCATTCTTTTGCTCATGCGAACAGTTATTTTTGTCAGTCATGCTGATACTCGATTCTAATATCACATTTGCACGAATATTGAGCCATGCTTATTGTCGAACCCTGCTTTTAAGAAAACTACAATTTAAAAATGATTTCCATCCAGCCAAAGTAGCTAGTGGAGGTGTCTATCTAACCCGCCAGGGCTAAAATCTACCCACGTTTGGTGGGTTGGCGGGTGTTAATGTAAAGCCCTGGGTGTAAGTCATATATGTGATACAATAAAGCCAGTCCCCATACCCATGCATCTTTTTTTTTGCACTAGCTTTTAAAAACATTTTTGTCAAAGTAGTATTTTGTTAGTAATTTATATTTTATATTATATAAATTAATTACTTACACTTTATGTATTCAAAAACTTTTGAATTGTCAAATTACTTATGCCTAATACTAAATTGTCATTTGCATTATAATATTAACATAAATTAGATTGAATTTATAAAGCATTTTAAAGGATTGCCTTATGCTCTATTTGTGAACCTAAAATATTGAAATAAATGTATTACTTGCATTGATATAATAATAATAATAATAATAATAATAATAATAATAATAATAATTTCTTTAAGTTGCCTTCTCAAATTTTTGCACAATCAGCAGTTTATATATGCCTTGTATATGTGGGAATGCATCCCAGAGCAGCTGCTGAAGTGGTTTTCAGTGATATCCGATTATATTCATCTTGAATGCGTTTCAGAGGGCATTTACACCTGCACTTTTCACAATTGGAGCTATCCAAGTGGCCAGGTGTAACTTCATTTTATGAATCACCAAGAACGATCGTTTCTTCTATAATGATTTCCTGAAGAATAAAAGTCACCTAGATCTTAAATGGCCTGAGGTTGAGTAAATGGCAAATATTGAGTGAACTGTCCCTTTAAAAAAAGTTTTGACAAATTCAGAGCATATTTTATTAGAGGCTTGTGACATTTTCAAATGTTCATGCTGCTTTAAAGCTTTGTCCACAATATACAATAGTGAAATGTAAAAATGGTTACTTCAACTATTATAATAACACAATTGTGTCACATATATGCCAAATATACATGGAAAAAATCACAAAGTACAATTAGAAATAGCAAACGTTAGTTAATGCATTAAAATCAACAGTGAGAAACGCCCTCATTAATTACAGTTACTATGTTCATGCAAGTTATACAAATATAAATACTGAATTTTATTGTTTATCAGGGAAATTTAAACAATTATTAAAAAATGAATATAATCCAAGTCAAATACATGCTTTTGTTGTTTTAATCATGAGTTTGGCTACATCAGCTAATGCTGTGCAATGTTAATGAACAATAGGCCTACACACTTTTAATAGCCACAATATTTTCAATCAACATCTCAAGCATGCTGTAGCCTATTATCATTTGGTGCTGTGAAGAAAAGCCACTGCCAATACAACAATCTGAATATTATTACAGATGTTCTAAAAGCTGAAATAATAATTATTTACAGTATTTTTAAGTGCCCATTATTACAATATCCTCCTACATGTTTATTATTGTGATATATTGTGTTGAATATCTGCATGGGACGAAAACCGTGTCCAAGGTATACCGCAGTTTGGAAAAGTCAAGGTTTTAAAACCGTCAAAATTTTCTGCAATACTATTCGTCAAGTATGAGTACTTTTTTTTATTTACATTTTTTTAGTATCTTTAGCAGAAAAGATCTTCAAAGATGCCATTTTGAAGTGTAAATAAATCTGTGTTTTTGAAACAAATGAAGACAACAGAAGTTAATACTTCATTTGATTTATTTAGCCTGGCATGTTTACTGCTCTAAAATATTATAAATGTTCTCCAAATTAAAATATATTGTGTTCAAAGGGGGAAAGGGTTTTATTTTTTACCCAGATATTTAAAAAGAATATATTTTAGAGCAGTAATCTTACAACTGTGATACCGTGAAACTGTGATATATATATCTAAGGTTATCATAGCGTCATAATTTTATACCGGCCCATGCCTAATCTGCACATGTCTGTATTTTACCTTTGCATCAATTTCTTCAGCCTTCTCACTGGCTTCCTGATCAATGAAGGCCATCATGTGTTTGATCTGGAGATACACAAAGAATTATGGTCAATAACAAATAATTAAAATGTAATTATCGTGATGAAAATGCAGGATGTAGGACAACTGAAGGACGAAGATGCCATCTTTTAGTTTTATAATTCGCAGCATACAACATTCACAAAATATGAAATAATACATTGATAATAATGCATTTGTGCACAGCAAAGTGAATGGGATATACGGACACGTCTAGCTACAAGATAAATGATATAACATTTGATTTTAAGGCACCTTTGAAAACACATTACAAAATGTAATCTTCATACTGTATTTAAAACATGAAACTAACTACTTTTGCATTTAAAACATTAGTATTGTTTTGTTTCAACAATAATAATAAACATGTCTGCATTTTTTTTTACAACTATTAAAAAGATAAAAAGAAATGTCATCGATCGCTTACAGAACAAAACTTTTTTTCAGAACTATAATCCAGAATGTGTGTGTGTGTGTGTGTGTGTGTGTGTGTGTGTGTGTGTGTGTGTGTGTGTGTGTGTGTGTGTGTGTGAGTGTGTGTGTGTGTGTGTGTGTGTGTGAATTACAAGTAGTTTAATTAAAAATGTAATTTAGTTTTTTAACCCAGAATTGCCCCAAAAAACTGTTTGCAAATTAAGAAATGTGTATTAATTTAACGAAATAACAACTAAACAAAACTGCTCAGAAATGTTTTTGCAGAAATGCTTATTTTTAGATGTTTTATGCAGCAGTTTCAATAGAGGTAAATATTTGTGCTTATTAAAAAAAGAAATCAGTCCCAAAAGTAACTAAATATATTTTACAACTATTTGACACCTAAAGGTGCTCCATATGAACAGTTTATCTGCAAAAACATTATCCATTTATGTAATTTTCAGATCATGTATGATGTGTATTGAAGTACAATTGCAATAAAAATTATATTCATTATTTTGTATCATTTATGTTTTACGTTAAGCTTCTGAAATGTGTCTGTGTATGTTTTACATTGAGCACTAAAGAGTACAACTGTAAAAAAAATCTGCTTCTGAAAAATACAAAAAAAAGTGGTAGTCTGTTTTTGAAAATGAAATCTTCATATACTGTATACTTGAGTAGAAATAAACCTGAAAACAAAACGTGTAACATTTTATAAACGGTCATATCTCCATACAAGATAAACAAAATATGACAAGTTAAAAGGATATAGAAAGTTACAGGCTTGTAGCCAGCCTGGTGAAAAGGGTGGGGGGTTTTCTCAAAAAGTGAACCTTTTTGGAGTTATTCGCTTCATTTTCTTTTTAATTATAAGAAGATTAGGGTTAGGGTGAATAGTGAAATTTTAAGCATTATTTTAGCTGAATTAACTTGTTGGATGGTCGTCATAAACACACTTTTTAATGTACAATTTTTTTTAGAATAAAGTAATATGAATTGAAAAAAATACCTATTTGTAAAATTACAAATTTATTACATCATATATCATTAGAAAAAAAATTATCTGTTAAAGTTTAAAATTAATGACTGTAGCCTATTGTCATTTATTAGGCAAATAACAAACTGGCCCGCACATTCAACATTCCTCAGTCAGAATGTGGTGTTTTAAATATTGAACAAATAAAACATAATAATAAAACAACAATAATAATAATAATAATGTAGAGCATGACGATTTTCTAGCCTGTTTTGTAAAAAAATAGTACATTTGAAAATGCATGGATAACAACAATAGCCAACTTATTATTATAATTTACTTTAATATGGTCTACGTTTGGTGCATCACACCTTTTTATTGGTCATATTTTTTCTTTCAAGAGTAAGGTCCAAGATTTAGTTTAGTTTATTTCTTGTAAAATGCAGTGCAGTGTAGGTCAGTGAAAGATGACTTCACTTACGTCAGATTCCGCTTGGTCTTAACGCATTTGATGGGTTATTTTCATAATTTATGATGGCATAACAGTCAAAATAGGACAAATGAGCTCATCTATGGGGCAAATTCTGGGAGTGGGTCTTTCGAACCACACGAACCCCCCTGGCTACCGGCCTGAGTTAAGAAAAATTAACTACTAACGTTATATCTGTTACAACTATTGCTGTTTTTATAAGTACCTTTATCAAACTTACACGGTACATTATTTCCATATTTTGTGTCTCTATTCCAGTCATTGTATTCTAAAGGTGCACGAGCCCAATAACAAAATAGTATTCTATACTTAGCTCTTCTGAAATATGATAGTTAATAACTTCAATTAATAGTTAACAACTTGTTAATAGTTTACTCACCTGTTTCTGTACGGCGGCATCGCTGAGCGCCATGGCTGATGTTTTGAAGGCAGTTGCGGATATCTGAAGAGAGATTTGCCGCGGCAAAGCCTGAAAACTAACTTTGAAACTACTATACTAAACTAATAACTACTTTATTAATATTAGCAAAACCTACACTAAACTACAGTTCCTCCAAACCAAGCGTCAGCTGACAAGGAAGAGCAGCGTCATGTGACTAAAAGCGTCACGACGCTCCACCCATTTCATTTACTTTTCTGTCACTCAAAACATTCATTCATTCATTCATTTTCTTTTCGGATTAGTCACTGTATTTTTTAGGGGTCGCCACAGTGGAATGAACCACCAACTTATCCAGCACACGGTTTACGCAGCGGATGCACTTCCAACCACAACCCAACACTGGGAAACACTCACACACTCTTTCACACACTCACATACACTAAGGGCGGCCAATTTTGGACTTGCAGTTTAGACTTTGGGGAAATCGGAGCACCCGGAAAAACCCCACGAGAACATGCAAACTCCACACAGCTGCCTGCTGACCCAGCCAAGGCTCAAACGAGCGACCTTCTTGCTGTGAGTCTTCACTCAAAATATTAAAATATAATGTTTTGCGTTTAGTAGTTTATTATTATTACATTATATTTTTTTATTTGTTTAACGTGCCACTAAAACGCCGTCGTATATTACTGAATTGAATATTCAAATGTGAAAAACTTCTAGGCTATTAAACACGAAGATTAATATTAAAATAGAAAGTTATAATGAGGTGACAAGAATGCCAAACGTAACTATGTACAATAGCCTACGTTTTCCCTTATAGACATAAAGTTATGTATGACTATTTAAAGGCTAACATTACATAATCAATGTTATTTACTCGTATAATGCAACCTTCCAATTAAATTAAAGCTGTTTAAAAGTTAAAAGTTTTATTTAAAAGTTAGACACTGACAGTTAGCATCACAATTGTTCATTTTGGCCCTCAGCTTGGGCATTGCTGACCTTCAAGACTCCGTGTTTACTTTGATTTGTAAGAACTATGAAGTAGCTTGTTATTATTTATTTTTATTTTGTAGTCAATGAGAAACACAAACCAACGCACACCTGGCAATAAATACACATTCAAAAGTAGGTTGCATCATGGTGAAAAGAGTCACATTAACCTGCATCAGCACTAATATTACTGAGAACTCAACACATGTGTCTGAGATTATAAAAGCTGATCTCAATGAAAACTCCAGACAGTGGAGATCATTTCTACAACTGGAGAACATGAGACTTTGTATAGCAGTCTTTGTGCTTTTGGTGGCTGTTCATTGTGAGGAGCTCTTTAATGGGTAGGTTCAGATATTTATAATCATATACAGTATGCCAACTTTGCTATTCATTTAAAATGATAAATCTGGCATTTTATTTTTGACAGAGATCAAGTTCTCAGAATCCATGCAGAATCTAAAGACCACATCCAAGTCTTGAAGGAGCTGGAGAAGGATTCAGGGGTATGATGGTTTAGCTTTCAGCTCATAACAGATGTGACAGTAATACTAATTATAATATCTTACAGCTGGATTTCTGGACTCATGGCTTCTCTACTGAACGTCCTGTTGATGTCCGTGTGCCTCATGCCAGTCTGTATGCCGTCAAAGATTTCCTGAAGGAAAACAACATCTCTTTCTCTGTCATGATCAACAATGTTCAGGTGAGTTACAGATTATTATCAATACACAGTTTATATATGAAAATGAACCACTTCATAATCATATTAATTTCAATATAGGGTAATTCTGTGAAAAATCAACCTAACTTTCTTGAGCTTATTTTCTTCTGCAAAAAAGAACAAAAAATGTGATGAAAGCCAAAATATTAGAGAGAAGTGAGAAGTTTTATAATTCAATATTATTGGAACGGAAAAAAAATGAAAGATCCAAAAGAAAAGTTTGTTAATAAAGTAAAATCTATTGGTATGTTTGCAGAGCAACAAAGCATTTAAAACAGAAATGTTCTCTCTTTTTTTTTTCTTTTTTTTTTTTTTGACCAATGTGACACCAAAAGTCTAAAGTTTTACTCACCTTTAGGCCATCCAAGATGTAGTTGACATCTAATAGTGTTGTAAATGATATTCAGTATCTTGTAAAACTAATAGCTTTGGTTCATAAGACCGCAGTTTATTATCAGAATCTAAATATTTACATTTTCAACTCTCAAAATACCAGAATCTGTAGACAGTATGTAAAAAAAGTATGAGCTATCTCTATAAGGAAGTGTTTACTAGGACTAGACAAAATCTGCAGACATTTTTTGCTATTTTGTGAATAAAAATCTGCTGATTCATGCGAAATGATTTTGGGAGTATCGTAACTAAAAACAGAAAATATTACTTTACAAAATGTAGTGTAAATAAATCATATGAACATCTTCAAATTAGTCAATAATATTACTGAAATTAATTAAAAAACTGAATAAATATACATTTACACACATTTACATAATAACTAAATAGACTCGATGGGCTAAGAACTTGCGGATTTCTGCGTGTACAGATTCTGTGGAGGCCTAGTTATGACATGCCAGTTTAAAGAAATATCAATACACACATTTCTCTGTGTTTCAGGAGCTTTTGGACAGGGAGAGAGCAGAGATGGTTAGTAACACGGAGATGGAGCGCAACACCAAGAGCTTCAACTTTGCTGCTTATCATGATCTGGATACTGTAAGTACATGCATTGACTGTTTCAAAAAAATCACATAGAACATTTATAACATAAACATGATACAGAAGGTATTAAGTACATCCAGGTAGTTGTTCTTGCAGAGTATAGTCAGAAAGACTTATCAGCAGTTGTATAAGATTAAGGGCCTACTCACACTATGCCATCCGTACCGTGCCCAGGCCCGTTTCTCGGATCGTTTGAGAAGTGTGAGTGCGCTGAATCGGGTTTAAGCACGTTTCACTTGGCCGGCCCTGGCCCGCTTGGAGGAGGTGGGCCTGAGCGCGGTTCACTTGGGCTTTCAGCCCGAAACTGAAAGCGAGATATGACTTCATATGGATTTATTAATCATTCTTACTGTTCAGTGAACGCAAACTGACGTAGTTTATTAAAGATGCAAACCCCTCACTGCACGACAGCTGCACACCTTCAGCAGACCTCCTCATTCCTGCAGCACGAGGGCATGATGATTATGAGTGCCAAAAGTGGCGGTTCTGTTCGGCGAAATATCTGACGGCGTGTCACCGCAACTGAAACGATATAACTAGAGAAATCTCCACTGCGCTGCTGAGTGAGAGAGCGCTTCTCACTGAACAGCGCAGCATCGATGACGTAAGCGTGCCGAGGCCCGATTGTGGTGTGAGTGCGGGCTGTCGGGGGAGACGGGAGGGGGGACAAACGTGCTTTTGCCCGGTTCGAGGCAACTGTACCTAGTGTGAGTACAGCCTATAGGGCTTTATTAAGGAAAAACCACCTGGATATACTTTATCCTGTTTATTACATGGCTACTTATTACAACACATGAAAAAATTAGATAATAGTTTATGAACTCTTTAATTAAACACAAAGCTGACATAAACAAAAAATGGCTGAATAGAGCTGACTGAGCATACACTAAGCTACATAATATTCAGTCACAAGATGGTGCTAAACAGTTAAAAGCCTGACAGACAAGTATATAAATATAGATGTAAATAATGGTCAAGATGATTTTAAGTACCCAGGATGAGCCTTTGTTATAATTTCAGTGGTTGTTATCTGGGAATATCATACTTGGAAAGTACCGACTGACCAATCACAATCAATAAAGCTGCGTTTACACTGGACTTTTCTCCCCATAGACTTCCATTCATACGCACGTGCAGACCGGAAAGTTTTGCAGTTTGCTGCATTGCAAAGTTGAAGCTTGTTGAACTCTGATCTTTGAAATGGCACCACTTGATTGCATGAGACCAATCAAGGATCAAAACATGACCTCTCTGGACAGAAATTTAAAATATGGACCAATTGCTGGCTTTTTAAAATGTCTAATCATCTTGTTTAATCCCGCCCCTTTTCGCAGCGCCGAGCAACAGAATTTCGCAAGCTCAAACTCGAGTGTGACAGCAGCTTCATTCCAGGAAGCTGTGCAATAAGCATTCATAACCAAACATCTAAATATTTTTTTGTCAGATTTACAGTTTTATGGACACCCTTGTTGCGAGTCACTCTAATCTGATCTCGAAAGTGAAGATTGGCAGCACCTATGAGAACCGTCCCATGTATGTCCTGAAGGTAAACAGATTGTATGATTACAAAAAGCAGATTGATTTCTGTGTGCTGCTGTTTGATTTGTTTTATACTCATGATGTATCCAGTTCAGCACTGGTGGAGAGAATAAACCTGCGATCTGGATTGATGCTGGGATTCATGCCAGAGAGTGGGTTTCTCATGCATCTGCTGTGTGGATCGCTGACAGGGTGAGTGAGATTGTGTAAGAATTTAGTGTTTGGTTGACTCTGTTCTTATAACACATTTAGAGCCATTTTCTTTTACAATGGTATTTTTGTTACAATTTCTTTTCAAATTTTTAGAGTTATCTTTTACAATAAACATGAGTGCAGGGGTCACCAACCGTGTTCCTGGAGAGCTACCGTCCAGCAGATTTCAGTTGCAACCCTGACCAAACACACCTGTGTGTGATTATCAAGTGCTGCTTCAGGTTTTACCTAATTGTTTCAGGTGTGCTTGATCAGGGTTGGAGCTGAACTCTGCAAGAAGGTAGCTCTTTAGGAAGAGGGTTGGCAACTGATGGAGTGTTTTTCTTTTCTCTGATAGAAAAGATGATATCCGATTGTTAGTTTAATAAGTTAACTTTCCATTTTCACATGTTCTAACTTTAAAACAAAAGCAATTATTTTGTTTAACAATATTGCTTAAGATGGCAAATGGTGAGTAAAAATTACCTTTTATTTTATTTAAAAAAAAAGCATGTTTGGCAGCATTGTGTCACGTCAGCTCACTCACAAACGTACAGGATCGCAGGAGTTATCAAGAACACTTATTTATTCACAAAACATCGCACTTATTACATGGACCACCGGCATCACTGGGGTGGTTGACAATTCAATAACGGCTTAAAGATAAAAACAAAACACAGGAGAATAAATACACAAGACACAATGAACTGAATACACAGGGGTGAGACACAGGTGGAACTAATAATCATCAAGAAATAGCGAGGAAACAGAACAAATGGGTCACATGATATAAACAAACACACATGGAATCAAACACGAGACATCGCATGACACAACAGAACACAGACACACCAGACAAGAGACACATTGAACTTTTTAGTAATATATTTTATTATTTTATTTGCATCAAATGGAGATTGTGTGTCCTTTTTATTTCATCAGAGACATTAAATATTTTTTATTTTATCAGGGGTCGCCACAGCGGAATGATTCGCCAACTAATCCAGTATATGTTTTACACTACAGCCAATTTAGCTTATTCAGTTTACATATACCATATTAATTTAATGCAGCAATAAAATTGTATAGCAAGTACTTTAATTTCTATTCACTTGAAAATAATTGTATTTTTTTATTTTTTAGAAGAGACTTGCTTTAACGAGATAACTTTTAAAAAATTCTTATTTTCTGGGAGTCGCTTGTAGAAACATTGAATATTTTAAAATTTTATTTAATGTAATTTAATTGAGTTTAATTTAAATAATTTTATCCAAAGAGGACAACAACAACAGCAAAAATTAAAGCTCTGTAATGCCTAATCATTTGAATATTATTTTATTTTATTTTGTATGTGCAGAACTGCAGGACAGTAGTTTATTGCAGCATTCGGATGTCTTGAATTCAAAATAGAAGATTTAGTTTTTGAACATTAGGCCAATGTGCTGAAAAAACAAGCATTGACTCTCAGCTCAGAGCAAATCTGAAAAATGAAATACAGTGCTTAGCATAGTTGAGTACACTCTATTTAGAAAATGAATAATTGTATTCATTTCTCTGTGAATACAAGCAATGTATTATGGTGCATTTAAACAAAACTGATTTATTAAACAGATATATTTATTAAAATAATATTTTAGTCACACATTTTTAGAAATGAAAAAAAAAATACAACAACATTATAAACAACAACATTTCAACAAAATTGTATATATTTTTAGTTACTCTTGATTTTGCTGTATCTGCTTGATTTTATTTAATATTTTCCCCTAACATATAAATTTGGACTAATTATTGAACCATTATTGTAAGTTATTTTGTTAGATTAGCTCCAGATTTGGCTTCAGCACTGACTAAACTAATGTATATGTATATGCACCCATATATTATTGTAAGATTTGTGAGGTGTGTACTTATATATCCTGAGCACTCTATTGCTGTGATTGGATGATTGTTCTGAGATTATTGGATAAAATCTACATAGCATGTACAACAGAGACTTTTTAAAATTCTGAACTGCTCTTCTTGTCCCTCCAGATTGCCACAGACTTTAAGGAAAACCGTGCTCTTGCTCGCAATGTCCTTAGTAAAATGGACATTTACTTGATGATTGTGGCCAATCCTGATGGATACGTCTTCTCCCACCTCACCGTCCGGGTAAGCTATCATTCACTTGTCGCATAGCACAGAAATAAAAGTTTCACAGTATTTCTAATGACATTACAAACTAATGACCCCTTAGCCGTTTCACCGTTTGTGGCGTAAGAGCCGGTCTGTGACCTCTAACCCAAACTGCCCTGGTGTCGACCTCAACAGAAACTTTGATGCTGAATTTAGTGGTACGTTCAACTTCATACTGATATTTTTGACACATTAGAAGGTATTTACAATACAATACAATTATGTAATTGGCAAAATCTTTTATGAAACACAGCTTGCATTGTGTTGAAGGTACACATTGTATCAGTTCTTTCATTCTCTGGGAACCAAACCCATAACATTTAAGGTGCTAGTGCCAAACTCTACTGTTTAAGCCAGGGATGGGCAAACTTGATCCTCAAGGGCCGGTGTCCCTGCAGAGTTTTGTTCCAACACTAGTCAAACACACCTGAACATGCTAATCAGTGTCTTTAAGATCACAAGAACTCTATAAGCAGGTGTGTTTGATTAGGGTTGGAGCTAAACTGTGCAGGACACCGGCCCTCCAGGACCGAGTTTGCCCACCCCTGGTTTAAGCTAAAGGAGAGATTAAATTTGTTATTTAATTAATTATGACTGGCCTGCCGGTGTGCTTATTTGCCACAATTACAATCTATACTTAACCTGAACTAATTCTGACAAACTATACATCATAGCAAAGATTTGAGTGTACCTTTGATCATATTTGATCATGGTTTTATAGCAAATATTATGTAGTGATAATAATTTATTAATTTGTGACTAAGAAAAGGTAGCAAAAAATTTAAAAAGAAAAATACACAAAGAGTTTATTTTGAAAAGCCAATATAACCCACTTACTTAATCTTAACTTAAACCTCAGTTTTTAGGTTAATAATTCAAATTAAATATATTTATTTTGGATTTGTCAAAAATTTTTAAAAATAGAATTGAAAATGATTATGTCGCTAAGTGGCTGTTGTTGGTATAGCAGCTCACAAATTTATTTTTTTTTTGTGATTTTGAATAAAATACATGATTTATTGTAGTACTTTTTAGTACACTAAGCTTAAAAAGCTAGAATGTTTAGTTATTTAGTTTTTTAAATTGCAGCCTCTGCTGTATGTCATCAGAGGGGAAAGCCTATGTGATGATATCTCAATCATTAGAATAGGAAGTTATTTTTTTTTTAATATGCCACTATGCTAATACATGGGCATCTCATTTGAATTTAAAGCGACAGTCATCTAAATGGCACAATTAGGATCAAAGATTAAACGGGGCATTTTCAAACTGATATGAAACATTACTTGTTGGGTATTTTGAGCTGAAACTTCACATACAAACCCTAGGGACATCAGATATCAGACTTATTTTAAGTCTTGTAAAAAGAGGGGCATAAGAGGTCCCCTTTGAAATTAGACCAGAAAGAAGATTACATTGAAAAGCATTACTGAATTATATAAAGTTGAATATTGATATTACCTTTGCAGACCTACAGTGAAAGTCAGAATTATTAGCCCCCTTTGCATTTCCCTTTGTTTTTTAAATATTTCCCAAATGATGTTTACCAACGCAAGGAAATTTTCACAGTATGATTGCTAATATTTTTTTCTCTGGAGAAAGTCTTTTTTTTTGTTTGAGAAATTTGTTTTATTTTGGAAATAAAAATAAGAATAAAAGCAGTTTTAATTAAAAAAAAACATTTTAAGGTAAAAACAAACCATCGTTATACAATAACTTGCTTAATTACCTTAACCTGCCTAGTTTACCTAAATAACTTAGTTAATTCTTTAAATGTCACTTTAAGCTGTATAGAAGTGTCTAAAAATATCTAGTCAAATATTATTTACTGTCATCATGGCAAAGATAAAATAAATCAGCTATTAGAAATGATTTATTAAAACTATAATGTTTAGAAATGTGTTGAAAAAAAAACTTCTCTCCGTTTAACAGAAATTGGGGGGGGGGGATAAACAGGGGGGCTAATAATCCAGGGGGCTAATAATTCTGACTTCAATTGTACACTCAAAAATGGATGTGAAGGTTAACAGATGAACAATATCTCTCTTCAGGTCCTGGAGCCAGTGATGACCCATGTGCTGAAGACTATCGCGGCCCTTCTGCTCATTCAGAGATTGAAGTGACGAACATTGCGGATTTCATTTTGAGCCACGGCAACTTCAAATCCTTCATGACCCTCCATGCTTATTCTCAGCTTCTAATGTATCCCTACGGCTACACCGGCTCAAATGCTCCTGACCAGCCTGACCTTGTAAGCAAAATTTTAACCACAAACCTCTGGTTTTCCTCTCATTCTGCTGAATATCTCTTTGTATGTCTTTTCAAGCATGATGTGGCCACTCAGGCGAACAAAGCCCTCAATTCTTGGCATGGCACCATTTATAAAGTTGGAAGCATCTTCCACACTATTGGTAAGTGGACTGTGGAAGTGGACTGGTTTTTGACACATTTTAAGCATTTTCCATTAAACTGAAATGACCTGTAAATAGCTGTAATACAAAAGCACCTGTAAATCAAACATAAATAATGAACTGAAGCCATTATTAATGTTCAATAATTCTAAATGCTTAAATGTAAAAGAGAACATCTGATTCTGTGGTTTGTTAAACTTTTTAAACAGTGTTGATGATAACAGAGTTGACATACCCCACCATTTTGTGCACAAAATAAATTTTTTGAACACTGAAAATACAAATAATAGAAAATGTTTCATTTAAATCTTTTTTCAACTTGCTAGACACACAAAAAAGATGAAAATGAGACATAATGTTTCATAATTGAAGCTAAATGTATGATTCAGGAGGTGAAGACACAAAAAAAAGTTTAAGTGTTTAAGGTAACATTTTTTTCCATTACATTTATTAGCCTGAAATACACATACAAACATTTTTTTTTTGGAGATAACCTGATATATATAGTGTTAATATTCAAAATTGGTACATTTAAGTTTTAGTTGTGTTTGCGTGGGTTTCCTCCGGGTGCTCCGGTTTCCCCCACAGTTCAAAGACATGCGGTACAGGTGAATTGGGTAGGCTAAATTGTCCGAAGTGTATGAATGTGAATGAGTGTGTGTGGATGTTTTCCAGAGATGGATTGCTGCTGGAAGGGCATCAGCTGCATAAAACATATCCTGGATAAGTTGGCGGTTCATTCAGTTGTGGCGACCCCAGAAGTTTTTAGTGTTTTTTTTTTTTTTTAAATAATAAAAGGTTTATCTCAAAGGTGCAAAATCCTCCCGCTATTCTCAATCATCCATATTGTGCAGTTCATCTATATTTTATTACGATCCGTATTTAATCAAGTTTGCATTTGTCTACGTGATTGTTGTTTTGTTTATTGGGTGTACTAGAAAAAGTTAACATGCAGGTTAACAAGGCTGTATAAAATGCAGGGATCCACACAATTAATTTTATTTTAATAAAGTTAACATTATTTTTTTATTTATTTAAGTGGATTAAACATAATCAAGTTGTCCCAAAAAACCTAAAGAATTGTTTTGTTTTAGCTAATTTTAAATAATTAGTTTAAACAAACAGCAAACATAATCTTTTGAGTCATTATTAAAGCTCCTGTATCTCTATTCCAAAGCCTTGCCTTCTTTGCCTTTGAGCATCATTGTGGAAAATCCTGTAATTTTAAATAAGATTTCAAATAATTCTGGTTATCAAACTGTTTCAAGAGTTCACACTTAGCTGATGATTGACTTTACAGCTTGTTTGGCATGCTATCCAGGGAGAGAGCCCTGAGCTCATAAGATCCTCGAGCCCTAGGCTCCCTCCTGTTTGCAAGGCGAGAGTGGAATTTGAGCTCAGGTAGATCTCGAGAACTCCACTGCTAGTAACTAATGAACAGATAGTGACTGCTCTTAAGAAATAACCAATAACTAGGAGCATGTGTATGGTGCCAATTTGGATTAGTCAATCAACTTAGGTTGCATGTTTTTTAACGGTCAGAGGAAACCGGAGAACCCTGGGGTAAACCCACGTGGGCACGGGGAGAACATGTAAACTCAACACAAAACCATCGGCTGGATTGGTAAGGACTAAAACCAGTGACGTTCTAGTCACATGGTGGCCCCACTGAGCCTAGGAAAGGAGAAGTAGGGGTGGAAGGGGGATTCTTCAAAACGAAGTTGGCTGTGATATGGAACTTATGGTATTTATTGGAATTTTCTGATTGGTGAATCATGAATTGAATAATGCGGGGCCGGCTGCAATCAATCATAAGCACGTGAACCTTTCGAAATTAGTTTGTAAATAAACTTCACTTAATTTTCCATTTTTCGTTTTTGTAACTAGATTAATAATTTCTGCTAATTACAAATTTCCCTTTCTTTCTTTCTTTCTTTCTTTCTTTCTTTCTTTCTTTCTTTCTTTCTTTCTTTCTTTCTTTCTTTCTTTCTTTCTTTCTTTCTTTCTTTCTTTCTTTCTTTCTTTCTCTTAATCTCCCCCCCCACCAATTATGCCGTGACCACCACTTTGGGAACCACTGCTTTATGTGTCAAACTTTTAAAAAGTGCTATTTGAACTTACACAAGAACGTAACCTATACATTTCATTTCAGAGCAAGCTAGTGGTGCAAGTGTGGACTGGGCTTACCAACATGGCATCAAATATTGCTTCGCTTTTGAGCTGCGTGACACTGGTGAATATGGATTCCTCCTGCCCGCTGACCAGATCGTTTCCACTGCAAGGGAGACATGGTTTGCTCTCAGATACATAATGCAATATGTTTCTGATCATCCTTATTGAGATAAAGCTACAATAAAGTTTCCATAGAGATAAAACTGAACATAAAGCAAATGTCATTTCATATTTTATTGTTTTGTACAACATGACCTGATTATGTGAATCTGCAATAATTCAACCATTGTGTAATGATGCAGGTGTGGCAACAGAGACAGAGTTCCACATGCAGCTTTATTTACTGAGTGGTCAGGCAGGCAGGGGTCAACACAGAAACAAAACAATAATAGCAAAGGCAATCCAAAAAGAGTAGTCCAAGAAACAGGCAAAGGTCAGGGTACGAATGTGTCTGTAAATCTTAAATAGTCTAAGCATCATTGAGGATGATGTGTGTTAAATCAAGGGGTGATGTAGAACTGGTGTGTGAGTGCTTGGCATGTCTGTTGCTCGGTAGACTGGCAGATGTGTAATTCTCAAGCAATTTGCACATCCATTAATAAAAAAAAAATCTATCAAATAAGCTTTATTTTCTGATAATCTGTTTAGATTTTTGGGGGTAAAATAAACAAGAAGATTTTAAACTTAAAAAACTTAGTTGGATTAAAAAATGGTAAAACTCAACCATTTAATGGAGCTGTAAATGAGCCTATTTTCTAAAATGTGGAGTGTGTCTTTAAAATGCTGTGTTTATAAAAATCACTTTTAAAAAATTAATTTTCAGTATGCCCAACATGTCAAAGTCTTCTTACAAAGTTCTTATGATACTTATGAATCCAGCAACCTTTCTACAACTTTCTCAACAAAACACTTCTTTTTAAAAAGTACAACTAAATATACAATTCTGTCATCATTTACTCACCCTTTACTTCTTTCAACCCTTGATGAGTTTCGTTCTTCTTTTAAACACAAAAGAAGAAATTTTGAAGAAAGCCGAAAACCTGTAACCATCGACTTCCAAAGTAAAAAATATAAATACGATATTAGTCAATGGTTACAGGTTTTCAGCTTTCTCCAAAATATCTTCTTTTGTGTTTAACAGAAGAAAGAAAACTCACAAAGTTTTGAAACCACCTGAGAGTGAGCAATTTTGTGAAAAAATTAATTTGCATTTTTGGGTGACCTATCCCTTTATTGAATATTTTCAGTCCAATCTTAATCTTTTGAAGTTTTTGCAGCTAAATTTAGATCTTCTGAGAAACACACTGCAATGTTCACCTGGAAAGTATTGTGAAAGGCTGGTTGTTTCTGAAAAAGTCACATTAACTTCCATGAGCACTGATATACCTGAGAACTCGACATGTGTTTCGGCAAGTATAAGAGCAGCTCTCAATGAAACATCCAGACAGTAGAGATCACTTTTACAACTGGAGAACATGAGACTTTTTATTGCAGTCTTTGCACTTCTGGTGGCTGTTCACTGTAAGGAGCTCTTTAATGGGTAAGTTCAGGTACTTGTTATCATATATGACAACTTTGTTACTCAATCAAAATGACAAATCTGGGCTTTAAATCCTGACAGAGACCAAGTTCTCAGAATTCATGCAGAATCTGAAGACCACATTCATATTTTGAAGGAGCTGGATGAGGATTCAGGGGTATGGAGAATTTCTGTTTTAAGTTGAGCACCTAAAATCAAATATTTTATATATTATATTTGACCCTACAGCTGGATTTCTGGACTCATGGCTTCTCAACTGAGCGTCCTGTTGATGTCCGTGTGCCTCATGCCAGTCTGTATGCTGTTAAAGATTTCCTGAAGGAAAACAACATCCCTTTTACTGTCATGATCAACAATGTGCAGGTGAGCCACACTGAAAACAAACTAAAATTTTGCTAAAAAAGCAGAAAAAAGTCTATTATAATATTATTACGATGTACAGTTGGAGTCAGAATTATTAGCCCCCTTTGAATTATTAGCCTCCTGTTTATTTCTTTCCCCAAGTTCTGTTTAACGGAGGGAAGATTTTTCAACACATTTCTAAACATAATAGTTTTAAAAACTCATTTCTAATAACAGATTCATTTTATCTTTGTCATGATGACAGTAAATAATATTTGACTAGACACTTTCATACAGCTTAAAGTGACATTTAAAGGCTTAACTAGGTTATTAAGGTTAACTGGGCAGGTTAGGGTAATTAGCTATTGTATAACAATGGTTTGTTATAGCTTATATATAGCTTAGGGGCTAATAATTTTGTAAATAAAACAAATAAGACTTTCTCTAGAAGAAAAAATATTATCAGACATACTGTGAAAAACTCATTGCTCTGTTAAACATAATTTGGAAAAGATTTAAAAAAGAAAAAAAATTCTAAGGAAAGCTAATAATTCTGACTTCAGCTGTATGTATAATCATTATTATCTATTTTGTTATTCTAATTATCTCAAATATTTTTTACTTCTAAATAAAATGAATGGTAAATAATGTTTAATAAAACAAAAATAAACTGAAAATATAATATCCATCTGAATAAAAAAAAAACATTTATAAAAACTACAGTGACTACATATTTTTTTATCATATTTTTACATATTTTTGAACAAGCTATAAAATTAACAAAAATGTTAAATTTGTAAAAATGTATTACAATATTTATTTAATTATAGAAATACAAATACTGACTATTGTATCAATAGCTGAAGCTATTGGCTAATATTGATATTAATGATACATTTTGTCCAGCGATGCAGTGGCGCAGTAAGTAGTGCTGTCGCGTCACAGCAAGAAGGTCGCTGGTTCGAATCTTGGCTCAGTTGGCATTTCTGTGTGGAGTTTGCATGTTCTCCCTGCCTTTGCGTGGGTTTCCTCCGGGTGCTCCGGTTTCCCCCACAGTCCAAAAACATGTGGTACAGGTGAATTGGGTAGGCTAAATTGTCTGTAGTGTATGAGTGTGTGTATGAGTGTATGTGTGGATGTTTTCCAGAGATGGGTTGCGGCTGGAAGGGCATCCGCTGCGTAAAAAACTTGCTGGATAAGTTGGCTGTTCATTCCGCTGTGGCGACCCAAGATTAATAAAGGGACTAAGCCGACAAGAAAATAAATGATACATTTTGTCCATGATTTGAGATTAAGATTAAAAGAATAAGTAATTGATTAGCTTGCTCAGTATTAAAATATGAATTTGTTATGCTAATATCACTTGAAATTTCATGGCAAATAATTTAGATTTAACCCCCTAAAAACCTACTACATTACCCTATTGTAACGAAGCAAAAGTTGTGAATAGACTAGCAGATCCAATTGCAGTTTATTTGAATCAAGGTCGTACAGGCAAAGGTCATAAACAGGAGCAAAGCAATATTATAAGGGTAATCCAATAAATGTAGGCGAGAGGTTAAACTAGACGGCAATGGGTCAAAATGAGGAAAAAGTCAAGAATCAAAACAATGGGGAAATTTAACAAGGAAAAGCTTTGTAAAGTTCATTAAGAAACAAGACTCAGCAATGTGTGAATGAATGTGAGGGGTATATAGTCCTTGTAATCAGTGTAGATAAGCAGCAGCTGTGTCAGTGTGTAAGTGTCCGGACTATTGTCAGCTGCTGTAGGAGTTGATGAGCGCATGGAGTTCTGGGAGTTGTAGTTCATTCAGTAGTAATCTGCGATAGAAAAAACCTTGCTGGGGATTGCAACACACTACAGAAAGTAATCGCCAGCGGAGACAACACCACTGGCAATCACAACACCTATATATTTTTTCCTATAAAAACTTGTAATACTTCACAAGTCACTGGATTTCAGTGTGTTCTGAATTATTATTTTTATCCCACAATGCAATCTGTTATGTTGTTTTTGGAACTTAATTGTTAATGTGTCCTGATTTTTATTGTTACATAACATTAAGATGTTAATCAAAATAAAATCTAAAATATGTCTGCATTTAAGGACCTTTTGGATGAGCAGAAGGCAGAGATGGTCAGCAATGCAGTGACTGAACGCGACGCCAAGATCTTCGACTTTGCTGCTTATCATGACCTGGACACTGTAAATACTTACACTATGCATGCATTACATGAGACTGATTTCATATTATTAATCCTAACAAACATTTGTTTATTCTCATCAGATCTATAGTTTTATGGACACCCTTGTTGCAAGTCACCCTAACCTCATCTCCAAAATAAATATCGGCAACTCCTACGAGAACCGTCCCATGTACGCCCTGAAGGTACAGAATCTGTCAGAGCAGATTATAGGATCGCAAACTCATATGTGTTTGGTTTTTTTCATGAAGTTGTTGTATTGATTCCAGTTCAGCACGGGTGGTGAGAACCGACCGGCTATCTGGATTGATGCTGGTATTCATGCCAGAGAGTGGGTGACTCAGGCTTCTGCTGTTTGGATCGCCAACAAGGTAAATGAGATGAATGAAAAAAGCTAAAACTCTTTTCATATTGTGAGCTTATCATGCTTTTTTCTCTTTAGATGGCTTTAGACTATGGCGTCGATCCCTCCGTGACCTCTCTTCTGGGGCAGATGGATGTCTACTTGATGATTGTGACTAACCCTGATGGATATTCTTTTACTCACACTGATGTAGGTCAACAAAAAATATTTTCTTTTATTTTTTTTGCAACAATCACGGCTGTCTTTAGATTGTTCGATATACTAAATACTCTCTACTTGTCAGAGAAAAATGTAACTTCTACTGCAGTTTTGAATTTGAATTGTTATATTGTATTTCACAGACATCTTGACTGTTTAGTTTTTCCAATTTGTAATTTAAACAATATAAACATTAATTTTTGATTATTTTTGTTAAAACTTTTTGTATACTTGTGTTGGATTTTAGGGTATTTTGAAGTAGCATATTTTAATAATAGTGTTTTAGTTAACAACCCTATACTAGTACATTTTTGTGTAAAAAGATCAATTTCTACAATGATCGAATATATTTTTAAATAACAATATGGGAAAAAGAAATGGGAAAATTAAATAATTTACATTTATATTGACATTGTATGCAATCTAAGTACATTATTTTAGCATTAATGCTATAAAAATCTTCATTTGATTTTTTTTTTTTAAATATGCATGTATATAAACCTGAAGACAAGTATTAAATACAAATTTGACTACTTTCTGAAATAAAAGCAAATAGGCATCAGACAATAAAGTGTCTACATTTTTTATATTGTTCTAGAAATCAAGTAATGTAGGGGTACAAAAATAAAGCAAATCTGCAGTTGTTTATATGATATTTCCTTTAAATGTATATTTTTAGGAGTTTTAGGAGTCTTTTATCGCATCTATAAGTCTTAAAGCATATTTAGGAGAATTACTGAGAACATTTATGTTTTGCATTCAGAACCGCATGTGGCGTAAAACTCGCTCTGTGAACCCTGGCTCCTCCTGCCGTGGTACTGATCCAAACAGGAACTGGGATGCTGGTTTTGGAGGTATGTGGATAGCTGACAGTGTTACTGTAGCATTATGTGAACTGCAGCCAGCAACTTAACGTGCCAAAAACATTTTTCATATAAAAGTCAGTCTATTGACTTGCATACACAACCATAGAAAGTCTCATTTTGAAATTATGAATTTCAAGCTGTTTACATATGGAGCCAGATCAATAAAATAATACATTTACAAAATAAAATTCATACATGCACAACACAATTCACATTTACAAAATACAAATCATAGATTCATATCACAATTCATAATTACACAAATCCAATTCATAAGTTCAAAACAGTTCATAGTATACACAAATCCCATTCGTAAATTCAAACACAATTCATAATATACACAAATCCCACTCGTAAGTAAAAAAAAAAAACAAGATACGTAATATACACAAATCCCATTCATAAATTCTAAACATGATTCATAAATACGTAAATCCAATTTGTAAGTTCAAAACACTATTCATAAACACACAAATCTAATTCATAAATTTAAAACACTATTTATAAAAAAATCCAATTTGTAAGTTCAAAACAATTTATATAATATACACAAATTCAATTTATAAGTTCAAAACACAATTCAAAAATACACAAATCCAATTCATAAATTCAAAATAGGATTCAAAAATACACAAATCCAATTCGATAGTTAAAAACTGGAATCATAAATACACAAATCCAATTCATAAGTTCAAAACAAGATCCAAAAATAGACAAAAATCAATCCATAAGTTCAAAACACGATTCAAAAATACACAAATCCAATTCGTTAGTTCAAAACTCGAATCATAAATACACAAATCCACTTTGTAAGTTCAAATTACGATTTAAAAATTCACAAATCCAATTTGAAAGTTAAAAAAACGATTCATAAATATACAAATCCAATTTATAAGTAAAAAAAAGATTCATAAATACACAAATCCGCTTTGTAAGTTCAAAACACGATTAAAAAATACAGAAATCCAATCCATAAGTTCAAAACACGATTCAAAAATACACAAATCCAATTTGTAAGTTCAAAACTTGAATCATAAATACAGAAATCCACTTTGTAAGTTCAAATTACGATTTAAAAATTCACAAATCCAATTTGAAAAAACGATTCATAAATATACAAATCCAACTCATAAGTTAAAAAAAGATTCATAAATACACAAATCTGCTTTGTAAGTTCAAAACACGATTCAAAAATACACAAATCCAATCCATAAGTTCAAAACACGATTCAAAAATACACAAATCCAATTCGTAAGTTCAAAACTCGAATCATAAATACACAAATCCACTTTGTAAGTTCAAATTACGATTTAAAAATTCACAAATCCAATTTGAAAGTTCAAAAAATGATGTAAAAATACACTAATCTAATTCTTAAGTTAAAAAATTATTCATAAATACACAAATCCAATTTGTAAGTTCAAAACACGATTCAAAAATGCACAAATCCAATTCGTAAGTTAAAAAAACGATTCATACATAAACAAATCCAATTTGTAATTTCAAGACACAATTCATAAACACACAAATCCAATTTGAAAGTTAAAAACATGATTCAAAAATACACAAATCTAATTCGTAAGTTAAAAAAATTATTCATAAATACACAAATCCAATTGGTAAGTTCAAAAAACGATTCAAAAGTACACAAATCCAATTCAAAAGGTCAAAACACGATTTAAAAACACACAAATCCAATTTGTAAGTTCAAAAATTTAATCAAAAATACACAAATGCAAATCGGAAGTAAATAAAAAAACAATTCATAAATATAGAAATCCAATTCATAAGTTTAAAACGCTATTCATGAATACACAAATCTAATTCGTAAGTTCAAAACATGATTCAAAAATACATAAATCCAATTTGTAAGTTAAAAAAATGATTTATACATAAACAAATCCAATTCGTAAGTTCAAAACACGATTTAAAAACACACAAATCGAATTCGTAAGTTCAAAACACGATTCATAAATACACAAATCCAATTTATTTAGCAAAAATATTTATGATTTTTACTTGTGAGTTCCCAAATTGTGTGTTGAATTTATGATTTGTTTTTTGATTTTACAAATTGGATTTTGTAAATGTGAGTTTAGTTGTGGATGTATGAAATTTTTTTGTAAAAATTTTATTTTTGAGATTGTTCTGGCTCCATATTTACGCTTTCATAATAACAAACTATTGATACATGTAAATTCTCACTATTCACCATATTACTCACACCACCATCATATTACTTATATAACTATGCATTTTCCCAGGCCCTGGAGCCAGCAAGAATCCCTGTTCTGACTCTTACCACGGTCCCTATGCCCACTCCGAGGTGGAAGTGAAAAATGTTGTGGACCTCATTAAGGGTCACGGCAACTTCAAATCCTTCATCTCCATCCATTCTTACTCCCAACTCCTAATGTATCCCTATGGCTACACATGCACAAACATTCCTGACCAGTCTGAACTGGTAAGCCAATTTATATCTATATCCTTTTAATATTTTTATACTCTGATTTATCATACAACTCCAAATCAGAAAACATTGGGACATTCTGTAAAATGTCACGGTCATTACAATCAAAATTTGTCTATGCTTACAAAAGTTTTTACAAATTCAATGAATCAGATATACTGTACTTGATTTAATTGCATTTGACAAAACGTTATCAGAACCGGTGTTGCCTATAATCTCAGTTTGAGCTATCATATCATGATGCTATACAATAAATGTAATGTCTGTTTGTTTTTGTGTATTATAGCATGCTGTAGGCACAGCTGCCATTAAAGAACTCATGTCCCTCTATAACACCAAATACCAAGTCGGCAGCATCTGCAAGATTATCTGTGAGTAGATTTCATACTCCTTTTTAAGGCCCATTTGTACGCATATCTGATTGTGAAAATTGTCCTGTTACATTTCAGACCAAGCAAGTGGTGGAAGCATTGACTGGACCTACAACATTGGCATCAAATATTCATTTGCCTTCGAATTGCGTGACACTGGGTTATACGGTTTCCTACTGCCTGCCAACCAGATCATTCCCACCGCTGAGGAGACCTGGCTTGGACTCAAGAACATTATGGAATATGTTCGTGATCACCCTTATTGAGAGAAATGTGAAAATGTATTGATGCTCTTTAATAAAGGCTGCAGACCCCCCATTGTAGAGGTGGTTATTGTATTAACAGTTACATTTACATTTAATCGTTTGGCAGATTATTTGATGTTAATGATTTATCCCAAGACGACTTACAGTACAAATGAGAACAACAAAAATGTGAGTGTGTGTGTTTGTGTGTGTGTGTGTGTGTGTGTATGTGTGATAGAGAGATCATTCCTATGATGACAGTTTTGTCATTCCATTGATCTATTTTGCCTCCCTTATAATTAGTCATGTTTTTATTTGTAATAAAAGTAATGCATCTGTGGTTTTGGCACATTTACTTCATTACAAATACCATTGATAAGGTATGATTAGTGTAATAAAACCAATGTTAATTTGATTACCATAGTTTAGTACAAAAATGTGTTTCATCTGTAGTAAACTATGTCAAACCATGTCTTTTATTTAATATTAGTCTACTCCTATAATGATAATTTTGTCATCTATTTAACTATTTTGCCTCCCTTCTTATAATTAGTCATGATTTTATTTATACAAAATGTATAGCAACTGTGGTTTTGGCGCATTTACTACAAATACCATGGTTAAAGTATGATTAGTGTAACGAAACCCAGGTTAATTTGATTCATAGTTAAAGTACAAAAATTGTGTAAAACCAACTATGGTTAATTTATGTAGCTGATAAATATCATTACAGCAACGTTTTGTTTTTATACATTTTTTAAATAATTGGTTATTACATCAATATTTGAGTCCTCAAGCTCATTAATACACCATTTATAAAAATTATGATTTTGTTTTATTAAAGCATTTCTCTAATTATATTGACATTTAGTTATACATTTTGATAAATTTTTAATAACAATAAAAATATAAATTGTTTTACGAAGAATTAAATCCATACAGGCCTAAAGACTTTATTTGTGTTGAGGTGATCAGCAGGGCGCAGTTTCCCGCCTTCACTTTTCTGTCAGTAACTTTCCTGAAGTAAACGACGTTGTCCGTTTCATCAACAAACCTGAACATGGGTTTCTTAAAACAATTAGACGTCGAAAATTTCAAGTCCTGGAGAGGAAAACAAACTATCGGCCCATTTAAAAGGTTCAATTGCATAATTGGCACCAACGGATCAGGTAAGTCTATAATTAAGCTGATTTTGCTAAACCGTTCTCCATAATATCATGCTAACTTAGCTAAAAATGGCATTACCTAAAAAGTGTTCTGTATTAACGTTACATACGTTTTAAATAAATTACTCAGTACATCTGAGAATATAGTGTCATTATCACTATATTAATGTGTTTTACATCTTTGTAACATAAGATTTTAAATGGAAAAGGAGACAGCTAAGTTAAGTATGTTAACTGCTAACGTACCGTGGGGATAATGCTGCCAAAACGTGTTGAATTATTAACAGACATCTTATTGTTGACATCTATTAACGGTAAACGTTATTGTCAGTATTATTGGCCTACTTAATGTTTTTTTAGGGTTAAGTTAGCTACCGAGCAAATCACACTACTGGTAAGTAAATCAGCTCTTGGGAAAAATGTTATATGGAAAAATAATTTCATTTTCGCAGGAAAGCTAATAATTTTGCCTTTAACTGTATGTAATATACCATGTAATCTTTTTATACCAACAATGACAACAAATACATGCCTCATGTAGATGTTCTGCATGCTTGTAGGTGTATAATCAGTGTTGATTAAAATTATTGACACAGTCTTGATTGTTGCTTGAAGGCAAATCTAATGTCATGGATGCTCTTGGATTTGTGATGGGAGAAAGAGCAGCTAATCTCCGCGTTAAACACACCAGAGATCTCATCCACGGTGCCCACATTGGCAACCCGGTGTCCACTTTTGCCAGCGTGACCATGATCTACTGTGGAGACAATGATGAGGAAATGACCTTCAGTAGACGCATTTCAGGTGCATGTTGTTTGGTTTTTCTTAAAGTGTATAATTGAATTGAACTGAACTGAAACATTATCTGTCGATAATATTTACAGGGTTCCCACAGGTCATGCAATTTCTACTATATGCTATTTTAAAGGGTCTATTCTAGACATTGAAAGTCAGGGACATTTTTTTGTCTTTTCTTCAAAATCCTCCTGGTGCTCTGGTTTCCCCCATAATCCAAAGACATGCGCTATACACTCACTGGCCACTTTTTTAGGTACACCTGTCCAATTGCTCTTTAATGCATATTTCTAATCAGCCAATCACATGGCAGCAGCATAGTGCATTTGGCCATGTACACATGGTTAAAAAGATCTGCCACAGTTCAAACAGAGCATCAAAATTGGGAGGAAAGGTGATTCAAGTGACTTTGAGCGTAGCATGGTTGTTAGTGCCAGACGGGCTGGTCAGAGTATTTCAGAAACTGCTGATCTATTGGGATTTTCATGCACAACCATGGTCCGGAAAATAGTAAATATCCAGTGAGCAGCAGTTCTGTGGGTTCAAATATCTTGTCGTTGTTGATGCAAGAAACTCAAATAACCACTCATTACAACCGAGGCATGCAGAAGAGCATCTCTGAAAGCAAAACAAGTCCAACCGTGAGGCCGATGGGCTACAGCAGCAGAAGACCACAACAGGTGCCACTCCTGTCAGCTAAGAACAGAAAACTGAGGCTACAATTTGCACAGGCTGACCAGAATTGTACAATAGAAGATTGGAAAAACGTTGACTGATTTCTGCTGTGACATTCAGATGGTAGGGTCAGAATTTGGCATCAACAACATGAAAGTATGGATCCATCCTGCCTTATATCAACAGTTCAGGATGGTGGTGGTGGTTTAATGGTGTAGAGCATATTTTTTGGCAAACTTTGGGCCCATTAGTACCAATTGAGCATCGTGTTAACGCCATAGCCTACCTGAGAATTGTTGTTAACCATGTCTATTCCTTTATGACCACAGTGTACCCATCATCTGTTGGCTACTTCCAGTAGGATAACGGGTCATAAAGTGCGAATCATCTCAGACTGGTTTCTTGAACATTACAATCAGTTCACTGTACTCAAATGGCCTCCACAATCACCAGATTCCAATCCAATAGAGCTATCAAGCGGCAAATATTCTATCATGTCAATATAGACCAAAATCTCTGAGGAATATTTCAAGTACCTTGCTAAATCTAGGATTAAGACAGTTCTAAAGATAAAAGGGGGTCCAACCCAGTACTAGTAAGGTGTACCTAATAAAGGGACCGGTGAGTGTAGGTGAATTGGGTAAACAAAATTGTCCGTAGTGTATAAGTAAGTGTGTGACTGTAAAGGTTTCCCAGTACTGGGTTGCGGCTGGAAGGGCATCAGCTGGGTAAAACATATGCTGGAACAGTTTGCTGTTCATACCACTGTGGCGACCTCAGATAGATAAGGGACTAAACCGAAGGAAAAGAAATGAATGTATTTGTTTTACAGGGGAGTCTTCCGAGTATCTTGTGAATGGTAAACATGTCACTTTGGCGAAGTACACTGGAGAGCTGCAGAAGATCGGCATCGTGGTGAAAGCCAAGAATTGTCTTGTGTATCAGGTGGTTTAGTAATTAAATGGGCAGCATTTCTAAATCACAATTAGCAGCATTTGGTGGTTATTATATTTATGCTCTATATTTATTAATTTGCGATCTTAGGGTGCTGTAGAGTCAATCGCCATGATGAATGCAAAAGAACGAACAAAGATGTTTGAACGAATCAGTGGCTCTGGAGATCTGAATATTGAATACTTTACCAAGCTGGCGGTCCTGCAGAAAGCCAAAGAGGACACCCAGTTCCACTTTAACAGGAAGAAAGCGGCTACAGCTGAGAAGAAACAAGTCTTTAAAGATAAGACAGAGGTATTACACTGAAACCTGTAACAGATGTTGTAATTGTTTAGATGTAATGCAGAATATCTTAACTAATATCTTTGTTTTGATTTGTCAGGCGCAAAGATATCAGTCGCTGGTGGATGATCTCAGAGAATGCAAACTTCAACTGACCCTCTTTCAGCTCTTTCACAACGAGAAAAGCATTGATGCACAGTCAGCTTCATTGGGGGACATGCAGGCAGCCGCAGCGCAGCAGAAGATCAGCCTGGACGCCTGGGAACAAACTGTAAAGACCCAGAAGAAAGAACATGGGCGTCTGAACAGAGAACTTCAGCAGCTGGAGAAGGAGATCAGGTCAGTCACACTGACTGCTAATGTTGGTGAAATCACACAAATTACAAAACGTTAAAATAAAAAAATAATTTAATTTAATGTATCATATGTAGACAAGAAAATGTTATTAAAATTCTTAAATAATTCAGTGTATATATAAACGATTTTATAATTCTTTATGTACATATGCATACATATCACAATTTAGACACAGACATAAAAATACATTTAGTTTTATTTCTGAATATTTAAAAGTTTTAGGATTATTAACTATTGACTAAAAATAAACTTTTTTAACATGCAAATACACACATGTAAAATATACATGCATTTTATTTTATTTATTTATACAGAAAAATGATATTTAAAAGTATTAAAAGCATTCTCCTTCAGCTTAAATCTTTATCAGAGGTCACTAATGAACCACCAACTATTCTGAGATATATTTTATGCAACCTACTGTAGTATTGGGAGTCACCCTTACACTCTCACATACTACAGCCAATATAAATGATATATATATATATATATATATAACAGCCATAAGTGTTCATTTTTTAAATTGGAAGCGGAATAATTAATCTTCCAATTCATGTATTCTTTGTTATGATCAAAATATTAAGAAGTCATCTTTAAACTGTGTGAAGTGCTTCACAATTGTAACGTAGGGCCACTGGACTACAGAGTTGAGGATAAAAATGCAATTTATTAAACAGAATGGTCAGGCAGGCAACATTCAAACAGCATTCATCAGTGTAAACCAGAAGTAAGCAAGGCAAGGATCAAAGCACAGAGGGACAAGGCCAGGAAACCGCTTTGTAATGTTATAGAAAAACAGTGAACAAGACTCAGCGGTGTTTGTGAAAATGAGAGGTGGCTTTATAGTCCATATATGCATTGATCATGAGTTTCAGCTGTTTGTATTAATGTGCGTGTGTAAGTGTCTGAATTATTGTCAGCTGGAGCGGGTGTTGATTGGCGCACAGCATCATGGTAGTTGTAGTTCTCCAGTGATCTGCAACCGCTAGATCGCTGGTGATCATGACAACAATGCACATTACCTTAATACACTTTTTAAATGTTCTATTTTGAATGAAAAATAGATAATTCTTTTCTATTAAAATATATGAATAAAGCATATTTAATAAATTATGTGCATGTTAATGTGTCTGTTGAAATCATGTAAATAATTAAAATATAATAAAAAGAATACCATGAAAAAAACTCTGCATAATGTTCCTCCAGATCTCAGGAGCAGATTCTGAATCAACAGAGGCCTCAGTACATCAAAGCTAAAGTGAACACCTCCCACCATGAGCAGAAAGTGCAGGAGGCTCACAGATCTCTTCAAAAGAACCAGAATCTACAGGCCAAGAAGGGGCAGGAGCTTGAGGAGCTGAAGAGAGAACTGACTGAGCTGGAGAGAGCCTGGAAGACCTCAGAGAGGCAGATGGAGGAGGAGGAGGCTCGAAGAGGAGCAGGAGTACAGCTGCAGGAGAGCCAGGTTAAAATAAGTGTTTAATGAACATTCGTTTTATAAACACAAGCATGTAAAATGCAATGTGAAATAAAAACTGCAGAAATAAACAAGAAGGACAAAATTTTATCATCTGATTGAGTAATCAAAAGTGGCCTTGCTGTTTTTTTCTAGTGATGGGATTATATTAGCAGAATAAATAATTTTAAGTGTCAATAATAGGGCAATGTTAAGCTGATGTTATATTATGTTTGTCTGTGCAGTTGGAGCGTTATAAGGAACTCAAAGAGTTAGCTAGAAGGAACGGAGCCATTTTAAACCAAAGCGCAGAAAAGTTGCACTGGGAGGTAAAAGCGGACCGTGAGAAGCTCCAGTTTGACCTGAGGAGGAAAAGTGAGATTCAGGTTGGCTTAGATCTTCATGATTGCTGTTTTACTTTATATTTTTATTTAAAATACATTAAAAACATTGACTCAATATGACGTCATGTTGACATCCTGTGCCTGCAGGGTATACTGTATTGTCCCCAGTAGCGAAATTTGGCTTGCACCCTAGACCCCCATTTGCATGCACTGAATAAACAACAACATACTGTAACAACTCTAATCAAACAGTAAATTACATTTACATTTACAGCATGCACAGGATGTCAACATCACGTCAGACTGTGCAACCTTATGTCCAACCTAAAATCAACCAAATATCAACCTCTAATGATGTACCAGCTTGATGTGTGGACGTTACCACTATGATGTCTGTCAGACATTGGGTTTTGGTTGCGACCTAAAATCAACCAAATATCAATGTCAGTTGACTTTATTATTGGACGTCAAAATAACGTTGTCCTTAGACGCTGATTAGACATTGAATTTTGGACACCTGACATTGTGACCTAAATCTTACCTAATATTAATGTCTTTGACATTGTATGCCTGTTGGGTCTAATCGACTTACGTAAAAAAAGATTTCTTAAAACAATTTTATCTGCAAACAGGAAGTCTATATTGTCTATCAGAGGGCAGTAAATCATACTCGGAGAATAAGCTATGTGAGGAGTCAAATTATATTTTAGAATTATTACGTAAATGTTGTTTTGCAGGGAAATATCAAACATAGTCAAACTCATCTGGAGGATATCAGCAGAAGGGCAGAGAAACTGGAGGAATATGTCAACACTACAACGTATGACTCCTTCATAAAACTCTGCAGAAGAGCTGAAATATTGGATATGAATAACATTGTGTTTTTTTTTTAATTTGAGATTGCATGAGTTATTTTATATTTAATTTAAATGATTTAGTCAAATATTACTCATCATTTTCTGAAGCCAAACTCTTGAGGAGCAGCGTCAGCAGGAGGAGCAGCTGTCAGAGGAGCTGGCAAAAGGCCTTGTGCGAATGGAGGAGGTGAATGTGGAGCTCGCACAAGTGCTGACCAAGCTGCAGAACGCCCGTCTGGACAGCCAAGAGAACCGACGACAGCAGAAACGAGACGAAGTGCTGGAAAGCCTCAGGAGACTCTACCCTGATACTGTGGTACTGTCACAATCAGCTTATACAGCCAATGTTTAAATAACATTAATGTCTGCATCTGAATTCAAATTGACAAAATTTAGTTTGTTAGCTATAGACCATTTTTAGAATGCCAAATTAGCCATTATGCTTTTTGTGTATGCGTAAGGAAGATGCTAAGAACTTCTGTTTGGCAGCTTGGTGTGTATAAACACTCAGATACGGACAGCTTTGAAATGATAGTTTAATTTATTTTACATGCTATTAACATTTTTAAACTAATACTGCTGTCGATCAGGGCCACCTCATGGACTGATCATTTTAAAAAAGCTTAATGGGATGAGAACAATTGCTGCAAGGCATTTTTCCGTCATTGTCATGGCATCTTGTGCCGTTTAAATAAGGCCTCGTCATCACTACAGTGAACATTTTCTCTTTCTTTCAAATATATAACCAACCCAAACAAATGTATTTCAGCAAAATGTTTGACACATGTATCCTACTGTACTGTCCCACTAACACATTGATTGAAAAAGTGTGCCATTTTGAAATTACAGAAAAACAATTACTGTGGTAAATACTACACAATACAAACTAACTAAATGAATCATAACTGCTCTCAATTAGAATCAACATGCAAATCAGTCAGAATATTATCAGTAACACTTTTATTGGTAATTTTTGGAACTTGTATGGCATACCTACATACCTTACATACATGCTAGTTTTATGCCATTAATATGGTTTACTCTTTATAATGCAGTAAGATAGGGTGTGTGTGTGTGTGTGTGTGTGTGTGCATTGAAAAGCCACGGAGTAGATTTCAACAGCTGACAGGTCGGGAACACTGACGCTATATTTCAGCATCTGATCTGATGGCAGATACTGAATTAGGAGAGCATTTTTCTCTCGCACTTGAACCGCATCTGACAGAAGTATAACAGCTGTAACACATGTTTTTCTTTCAAAATAAAGTTTTGCTTTACAAAAACACTTCATAAGCCACTGAAAACAGTATTGACACCCAGTTGAGAAACGCTGCTCTGGCTGATGACAATAACGAAGTTCTAAGCACTCTACCGGAAGACGCTGTTACTATGACGGCCTCCATACAGAATCAAAAATTTCTTAATTTAGCTATTCTCATATTCGTGTTGGGCTTGGGGCAAATATATTCATGCTTGTTCATAAGTATTAGCACCTCAGTTCACTTTTGCTGACCCAGGGCAAATATGCATTGATTCAATAAATCATGGACTGTTTTGCTTGAGGTAAAATTTATCTTGAACTTGTGTGCTTTTTCTGTGCAAGTCTGTATGAAATGCTGCACTAATAAAAGAGCATAAATGTGCAGATGGTAAACATGTAGGATTTAGTTAAATAGTACAGTAAATTTTCAGTTTTCAGACTTTCATCTAACCTTATTATTTACACCAAGTACAATTTTTTTTAATCTGTAATTTTGTGATATTAAAGCGAAAGCTGTTACCAAGGTAAATATATTTTCAGATTATTACAGTTAAGGGGGGTAAGATTGCCGAATCACAATGCACCATGAATTTTGACATGCATGTCAGCTATGGTCTGTGGCGTTCAGCTACGACTCAGGATGTTGTTTAAATTTCTAAATTTGTAGCGGTCTGCATTCCCGCAGCTGTCCCGCAGGAGCCGCAGGACCTGACCAGATTTCTGCGGTGCGGGAATAAATTTCCAAATAAAGCGCGGGAGCGGTCGGTAACAGGTTTAATTTGGGACGGGAACGGGCCGTCTACCAATACCACTCCCAACTTCCGAGCGAGCACGTGTATGTATGTGTGTAAATGAAATAGCGGGATGCTGTGTTTAGCTTGTTTGTTGCTGTGAGTGTGTGTATGTGTGTGTGCGCACGCGAATGAGAGAGGGAGAGAGCTTGGCTTGTGTGTGTGCTTGGTGCTTGTGTGTGTGTGTGTTTATACAGACAGCTTGTTATAGGCTGTCTGGACTCTTTATAGCTGGTTGGTTTCGGTTTTGTTCTTACCCCCCGGGATCGGGGGGTAGAAAACGGGGCGGATCAGGCAGCGGGACAACAAATGCTGAATGTTAGCGGGAGCGGTCGGGTTCGGGCTAAAACCTGGCGGGTGCGGGCGGAAGCGCGATTCAAAATTTAGTCCCACGCAGATCTCTAGTGGGATGCCCCTCAGGGCTTAATTTGTGCCGGAACACGCTGGATCCGGATCCGGCACCTCTGAAATCTGATCCGGAACCTGATTTTACCGATCCCCCTCTTCAACCACCCTCCTCCCCCTTTCTGCGACTCCCCAACCCTCTTCAGTTTCGTCTGCAACAACCCCCCGCTCTTCACTTTCGTACTTTGTCTGCAACACCCCTCTGCCATCCAGCGCTCCCACCCTCCTCTCCACTTTCGTGCGTGATACCTCTCCATCCTCTGGTAACATGCCAGATCCGTTACCCCGATCTATGCTGGGACCTTGCAATTTACAAATTAAGCACCATCTATTATTTAAATTAACTTGAAGTTGAATAACTTTAATAATCATCTTAAAGTTGTTGAAGATCTTGCAAGTGTGCTTGAGTGAATGTGCCCATGTTGTGTGTTAACTTCCAGAGTCATATGCACAGTGCATTAGGTGTGTAATCCCCCCGTAGGGATGCAGCGAAATGAAAACTGGATACACTTTGCTGTTAGCAAGTTTTTTGAGCTGACTTGCTTTTCTGGTGAGCATGTGTTGTTCATTCGTATGTATATATACATAGTATATGGGTACATGAGTGGATTATACTCGGAGCATAATATTGAGCTATTTTGAACTTTGACCACAGTGCGTGTGCAAGCTAGTCAACAGTGCGCTCCTAAATCACCCTTGCACGGTTCATGCCATTGAAATTTTTTGCCATTGAAACGGGTTTCAAAACACAGTGCTTTATCACTTAGATTGTAACACCTGCTTCACACATTCCCTTATTATAGTATTATGTATCTTGTGACCAGCAACTCAACACTTCTGGATTTTTATCTTCAGTATGGTCGTCTGGTGGAGCTGTGCCAGCCCATCCACAAGAAATACCAACTTGCAGTCACAAAGGTGTTTGGCAAGAACATGAACGCTATCGTTGTGACGTCTGCTTATGTGGCCCATGATTGCATTCGATATCTGAAAGAGGAAAGAGCCGAACCAGAGACTTTTCTTCCTATTGACTATATAGATGTGAGTGAAACATCAAGGTCTTTCTCAAATCATTATTCTTTTTTTATTTACTAAGTACTTTTAAATATGTTTTCGTGTGGTTATCAATGTCTTCTCTGTACGTGCATCAGGTGCCCATTCTGAATGAGCGTCTGAGGGAGGTGCAGGGAGCCAAGATGGTGGTGGATGTGGTTCAGTGTTCACAAAACGCCCCTCAGCTGAAGAGGGTGATCCAGTATGTGTGTGGAAACTCACTGGTCTGTGAGACTCTGAAAGATGCCCGTCGGATCGCCTTTGATGGTCCTGAGCGTCTTCAGGTGAGGTGGCACACAGGTGCATTGAAAGATATTATTTTAGTCAGCGCCATTAGCCTCATGTGAAGTGACTGACATATAGCATGTCGGGAGTCCCGAATTGAAGTCTCTCCAACTCCAAATGCAAAAAAAGCAAAATGTTACTATTATTTCTGGCCAATTTGATTGCTTGTTTTTCATCCCGATCACTATGTAACATGTCTCATTTAGACGGTGGCTCTTGATGGCACCTTGTTTCGGAAGTCTGGGGTGATTTCTGGGGGTTCTTCGGACCTGAGCAAGAAAGCTCGACGCTGGGAAGAGAAAGATATGAACAAACTTAAGGAGGAGAAGGATAAGCTGTCATCTGAGATGCGTGTAAGTGTGCTAGAATAGGGTCCAATGATGTCTGTATTACAGATATAAATGAACAGAATCAAAGAATCCAGTTATAAATATTAAAATGACTGTATAATGTCATAGATTTTGGATAAATAAATCAAAAATAGGACTTTACATTTAAGTATGAAAACAGACATGATCAGACCAAACTGTTCTGATTTTCATTTATTTAAAAGAAACATAAGGTATTAAGACTTGAATGACTTTCACACCTCTAGATTGATTGTTTTGTTCTGAAACAGTGATTAAAAATTGTTACAATGTGCACTTTGTTCTTTGTGCGGTTCGCTTTTCACACGGCAAAGTTTCTAAATGGAGCAAAATAGCTAAAACAAGCCATGTGCGAGTAAACTCTCCTCACATTGGTCAGAGTTCCACGTTTTTTTTTTGCAGAGTTCCTTTCAGCTGTTATGTGTCCTTATTTTAATTTATGATGATTTTGAATGGAGACACCCAAAGACATAGTCAGCAAATATAAATCAGAGATAACACTTTCTCATACATAGCCGTTGGCTAGAATTATGCATTATATGCTTTACAATATAGAGAGAAATAAATAACAGACAAACCAAGACTGCAGTTAGTTAAATTTTCTTTGCTGGATTCACATGTGCCAAAGGAACCGCGCTAATTGGGGGAAACTTGCCAGGTTCCGAAACAAAAGTTTAGATGTGAAAGCACCCTAAATTATGACAAAATGCAATTTTTTGGGTGAACTCTCCCTTTAAGTGATGTCTCTCACTGAAATATGTTGTAAAAAACACTTAGAACATGTACATTAAAAAGTCCACATTTATTTTGGACCCTGGGGGTTTCATAATTTCAGGTGTACAGGGCATTCTAGTGCTTTCCACAGATTTGAAATGGTAGCCGGATTGAAAAACACCATTTATCCACATCACATAAATAGTTAACTATATGCGACAAATAAAACAGGATTTTATTTTTAATGATAATGGTATTTATTACGACACTGTTTCTTTTCAGTGGGTTAAAGTAAAAAGAATAGACTATTTAAAAAAGAGTGAAATAAAAAAGAAATACTTTTATGCTATTCAGGAGCCATGTGCACCCACTGACAGGTAAAATCTGCTTTTCTCTTTCAAGTTCAAAGCAAATTTGAATGCCAAAGCATTTTAGATATGTGTTCAAAATAGACTATATAATAAATTAACATCATCAACCTAATAAAATAATCAGCAAAAGAGAAATAAATGTCAGAAAAGTTAATAGAAACAGACAAAATAGATTTTTGTAAATAAGGCAAATGTGTTGATTAACCATTACTAATGGTGTACATATGTTGTGCAGCCAGTTTAGACCAACCATTTCGTCCTCTCCAAGTATATAGTAAAGTTTTTCTGATTTGTTTAGATTAATGAATCTGTTATTTACTTCTTTTCTCTACTTAAAAAGTAATGCAAAAACACATATGAGCTATAGAATGTGAAAAACAAAAGTTGAATTCCGGACATTTTAGGGGATTTATAAACCCGGGCTGGACAAATTTTTTAAGTCCCAAAATATGCTCGTCCCTGTGAGTATGAAGAGCTGATGTGAAACTGATGTGAAAAGATGTGAAACTTGTCTGGTAAAACTGATAAAACAAAACTTAATCGATCACGGATGTTTGGTATTATTGAATGGATACAAAAAGTGTAAAAGGGTGTAATAATAGTAAAAATGTGTCACTAAATATATTTGGGTGGTCGTTAATATACCTAGGCGGCCTGCCCAAGTAAAGTATATGTGTGAGAAGCACTGCATTCATTGTGGTTGATGTCAAATGGTTGCACTTGATCAGCTACTGGCACTACCTGCTACTATTTTTAAGGAATAAAACCACCACAAGCTTGTATTTAGTATTTATGGAAGATTGGGGACCAGTGAGGGGTACCTAGCATAAAAATCATGTAGTATTATTTATTTTTTTTATCAGATTTCATCCTGCTTTACAGAACTTGAGTTGACATGTGCTGACGTGGATGCTATTTTTGTTATCTATAAAGATATCTCCATAGTTACTTTTGCTGTAAACAGGCCTTTATTACTTTCACATTATCATCTCATGATGTATGCTAATGTTGTTGATTTAAATGCAGGCCTTAATGAAGCTGAAGCGTAAGGAAGTGGACTTGAAGCAGATCAGGGCTCAGTCTCAGGGAAACCAGACTCGCCTTAAATACGCTAACACGGAACTAGACTCCATACGCAAGAAGAGCATCCCTGCTGCTCAGATCGTAAGTCAACCAATCCTTCTGTCTTTATTGTTTCTGTCTTTCCCCTGCTCCTTCACTGTAGCTTCATGGATTTAAATTGACATTTGTGTGTGCACTTCAGGAGATTTCCAAACTCAGGAGTGAGCTCTCCAACCTTGAGGCCCAGATTGAGATACAGACTGGGAACCTGGAACTGAAGGATAGTGAGATGAAGGCTGTCAAAGACAAAATTCATCAGGTCAGTTGAATTTAAGTTGAACATTGTCATTTTTTTAAAGAGCATGAAAATATTTCAAAAAATGACCTTTAATCATGAAATCAATGCTTATTTTAGGTTAATCAAATTAAACTTTTGCAGTATTTTAACATCCATTTATTACTTACTGTATATAAAAGCAAAATGCATTACTTTTATAACATGCTAGTATGTATATTTATAATGGTCTTTAAGTTAATGCTGTCATTTTAGCTTTTTTTTTTAAAGAATTCTAAATTGTTAACCAAATTTATATCAAATATTGGACAGCTGTTTTCAGCTATCACAATATAAATTATTGAGCAAAAGATTTGCTTATGAGAACAGTTTCTGAAGAATAATTTTACACCGAGGACTGAACTAATAGCTGTTGAAAAATAAGGTTTGGCATCACAGGAATGCATTTTAAAAATATGTAAATATTTAAATATGTTTTTTTATATTAATTGGAATAATATTTAACTGTATAAAAGTTTGTACTGTAATTTTACAAAATAAATCAGATTTGTTAAGCTAATAATATTTTTTTACTTAAATATTTGCCTGAATAAATATTTTTGATAGCTACAGTGAGGAAATAAGTATTGAACGTGTCATGTTTTTCCTGGAAATAATAATTCTAAAGGAGCTGTTGACATGGAATTGATTTTGATAAATCCATGCCATTCAAATATAAAAATAAAACAAAACAAAAAACCTGAAAGATTATTTGTGTAATAAACAGTGATATTTCCCAGAGATGGGTTGCGGCTGGAAGGGCATCCGCTGCGTAAAAACTTGCTGGATAAGTTGGCGGTTCATTCCGCTGTGGCGACCCCGGATTAATAAAGGGACTAAGCCGACAAGAAAATGAATGAATGAATGAATCAACAGTGTTAATTTTGTTGACAAAGTCATCATTTTCTTGACGAACAAGTTGCTACTGACAAAAATAAATGTGAGAATATGATTGAGGGACGCAGCTATAAGATGCCTCATATGGAGAATGAAGTCACATGAATTGCTCAGGTGTGCGTTTTTCACAAACTTTTTTTTTTTTTTCCAAAAGTATTTTTATTGAACATATTAGATATGAAACATACATTACAAAATAGGTTTTCAAATTTTTTTTTTTTTTACACAACAAACAAACAAAACCTGCCGCACATACATTTAGGTTCTAGAAAAAATATATAAATAATATTAAGAAAAAATACAAATAAATAGTAATAATAAGTAAAGCATATGTTACTCTCATAAATAAGGGGAGAAAAAAGAAAATACAAAAAATTGAAGAGAAAAAAAAAAAAAAAAGACAACAATAAACAAACAAGGAAAGGTTCTACTCTTCTAAAATGACTGAGGGGTCCATCTTTTTTACGTGATCTAAAACAGGTTTCCAGGTGAGAAAAAACATATCAGTACAGCCTCCTAAAGTGTATCGTATTTTTTCTAAGGTCAGGTGGTGTAGAAGTTCCATAAGCCATTGCTTAAAGGTTGGAGGAAGTTTTTCCTTCCATTTCAGCAATATTAATCTTCTAGCTAAAAGCGTAGAAAAGGCAATCACATTTATCTTGCTTTTGTTAAAACATAAGGACTTTGGTGTGATTCCAAAAATTGAAATTATGGCCTCAGGTTCTACATATGTATTTAATGCGTCCGAGAGGAATTTAAATATTAGCTGCCAGAATTTCTTTAATTTTGAACAAGCCCAAAACATATGAGATAAAGTAGCTGGCTCAATGTTACACCGGTCACAGTTAGGGTCTATATTTGGTTTAAATTTGGCTAGTTTCACTTTGGACCAATGTAATCTATGTACTACTTTAAATTGTATAACTCATGTTATGTTTTAAACAAATTGAAGATGAGTGGATATTGTCTAAAACGGATTGCCACTTTTCTTCTGATAGTTCTATCTCTAGCTCCACCTCCCATTTTCTTTTTAATTTTACTAGGGGTTCCAGATTGTGGGAATTAATTATAGAATATATTTTGCCAATAAGTCCTTTTGAGTATGGGCTTAGCTCCATAATAGAGTCAAGCAGGGAGGGGGGAGGCAGAGATGGATAGTGACTCATTGAGGAGGACACAAAACTTCGCAGCTGGAGGTATCTAAAGAGGTGGGAATTTGAAATTTGAAACTTAACTTTTACTTGTTGGAATGAAGCAAATTGCCCATCAATAAACATATCTTTTAATATCTTAAGACCTTTCATAGACCAGATGTCAAAAGTTTTGTCTATAGTAGAGGGGGTGAACATATGATTTCTTGCTATGGGGGCATAGGCTGATAGTCCTTTAAGTGCAAAACTTCTTCTAAATTGTGCCCATATTTTGAGTGAGTGTTTGACAACTGGGTTTAAAGAGTATTTAGATAAAGGTTCAGGTGTCGGAAAATTTGAGCATAGCAGAGCATGGAGAGAGGTTGAGAAATTTGATGTGTTTTCTAAAGATAACCAATTAGGGCCACTGTCATATGATGGATTTGACCAGTATAGCATTGCTCGAATATTAGCTGCCCAGTAATACTGCTGAATGTTGGGTAATGACAATCCTCCATGGTCTCTGTGTTGTTGTAAAATATTTTTACGGATACGTGCATTTTTTCCATTCCATATAAAAGATGATATTAATTTATCTAAAAGTAAGAAAAATGATTTTGTTAAGAATACGGGTATGCACTGAAAAAGATATAAACATCTGGGTAATATATTCATTTTTATAGTGTTTATTCTACCTCCCAGTGACAATGGTAACGGATTCCAACGTTCAAGGTCTTTTTTTATGGAATCTATCAGTGGAGGGAAATTAACTTTGTACAAATGTTTGTATTTATTAGTAATCCATATACCTAAATATTTGAATTTGTCTTTAGTTATTTTAAATGGTAGTGAGGTAAAAATAATCTTTCTGCCAGCATTATTAATGGGCATAAGCTCACATGTTTTTCACAAACTTTAACAGAGTGTAAAAATCTTGATAGTTCTGTGGGTCTCGTATATCAAACCTGATCTTTAATTTGTATTTTCTATCGGATTCAAGTCAGGTGATTGGCTGGGCCATTCTGCAGCTTGATTTTCTTTCTTTTAAAACATTTGAGTTTCCTTGACTGTGTTTTGGATCATTGTCTTGCTGAAATGTCCACCCTGGTTTTATTTTTATCATCCTGATATTGTAGATGTTGGACTAAAGCATCTAATATTGATTTAAAATGACGAAGGGCAGAGGGTTGCTGAAGAACTACTGAGAGATTTCAGCTGCTGTCTTCGCTGCCTTTCTACACCTCCCTTTTTTCATGTGTTCAATAATTTTTCCTTGCGTCACTTCATTTTGTTACACATAACTTAATTTGTAATTCATTTTTTTCTTTACATATATGAATTTCTGTGGTTGTTACCAACATCCGGCAAAAATCTCAAGTCAACAGCACCTTTAGAAATATGTTTTCTGAGAAAAATGGTTATGTGTTCAATACTTATTTTCCCTGCTGTATGTTCTTATTTGTGACTTTAATCTCTAATTTTTAAAAATCAGACATTAAACGGTCATTAGTTCTCCTGCTCAGTTGATTTTACACATTTTAGATGGAGGATTTGGTGTTTGCGGACTTCTGTGCAGAGATCGGTGTGGCAAACATTCGTGAGTATGAGCAGGATTATCTCCGACTGCAGCAGGAGCTTGAGAAGAAGCGGTAAGACCTACACACATACTGCTGTGTCTGACCACAGTCAGCAGTTATTAAGCAATGACTACCATGTTTTTAAATCACCACTTAGGATTCAAACTGAGATTTAAGTTTTATATTATATATCTGTGTTTATTGGATTTATGATAACAATATCTGATTACTCTAACCGATGCTCTTGTGTAGGGGAAGGGAAATGGGACATTAAAATAAAGAATAGAGAAAAGATTTATTTTAAAAAACTGAGATTCAGAATGAACATAAACTGGTGCTAATTGCGAACTAAATTTGACTAATTATTGTCCTGATTGTCCAGCCTGCAGTTCGAGTCCCAGCAAACCCGTCTAAGTACACAGCTCGAGTACGAACAAGCCCAGCTGGAGAAACTTGTCAAACTGATGAAGAAGATAGAAGAGACCATAGAGAAAGAGAAGAACATCATTATCAGCCTAAAAGAGGCAAACTCACCTCACTTTTGTTTTTGATCAGGAAATGATGGGCTCTGGTTTTGCAATATTTTAGAATAGTTACCTTAAATCCAAATCTAAAAGTGTACACACATTTGTACTGGTTTTAAATACCAGCTATATTTGAACATGTGCAGGACCGAAAAGTAATATTTTTAAAAATAAATGTTATATAATGATATAATGATATATATTTTTATTTTTATTATTGCTCATATTTTATGCCACTTTTAAACCAGTAATAGTTGAGCGATGTAGAGACATTTGATGATTAAAAAACTTTAGTTGAACACACTCTGCCTCTCTCGCGCATTGATGTCAGCAGAGATCAGCGCCTCATAGACAGGACAGAGCAAAAAAACAAGCGGAGGTAATGTTAGAGTTAAAGATACATGGCGAAGGCAGAGAAATCTGCGACCCTAGTCATCCAAGGTGCGGAGCATTTCACACTAAACAAAAAAATGTGTGTTAACGGCCAAATATGCTAAATTGATGACAGGAGCACCACAGCAGAGATCCAACTCCTGAAACGCAAACATATTGGAGTTTTTGATGATGAAAAAGGAAGCAACAGCAGGGTAAATTACTACAGAATCCTACTTTTGTTCCGTTTTAAAGTGGGAATCGTCCCTGGTGCTGGTGTTTACTTGTTAGCCAGATTGACAAGCATGACGTGAAAAATTCTAACTGAACTTTGGCGTGTTGGCTGGCACTAAAGAAAGAGAAAGAGAGAAAGACGTGTCATATTATCACAATTAAGCAGAAATTTTAACCACCCAATGCTTATTTTATATTTTAGACATGTAAATACACACAAGTACTATTAAAACAAAACATTTAGATGCCACAAGAAATACAAGATACACAGAAGAAAGTATATGAAAGTCTAACAATCCATTTATATATCATTTGCCGATGTGTATTATTCATATCAGATGCATGTAGTGAAAGTAACAATAAAGTTCAATCTATTCTTTTCCCAGCTGGCCAGCCACTTGCTTGCATGCATTTTGGGAGTAACCAACAAATTTACACGCTGATTCCTGCGCGTTCTGCTTTTATGAATGAGGCATGCCATGAGTAAATATGGTGATCCCCATCTCATGTTATAGATTTCAGAAAACAAGCAATAATTTCTTATGCTACTTAATGTGTCTAGCATGTATCTTGATTTAAGATATTTTTGATATTTGGACAAAACTACTAAGTTATTTCCTATTTTATTTTATTATAATAACAGCTCATGGATATTCAAGGACAACATGTCTGTGCACTTTCTAAAGATTTTACACTTATGTTTTTGATTAAAGGATGTTGGAAATGGATGCTTTTCTTTTTTTATCTGATTCATTGATTAATAAAAAAAAAAATTGACGGAATAATCAGTTATTAAAATAATCGTTAGTTGCAGCCCTAGATATTTTTTAACAGTTCTAGTATTTGTTTAGGCCTTGGTTTTGTGCTTTTTTGTTGTTATATTAATGTAGTACTGTTGAGTCATTTTTGCAGTTTGTTTTATAGGGGGAAGACAACATTTTAATAGCTGTGGAGCAGACCCAATCCAATCTGCTCAAACTGAACAACCAGCATTCAGAAAAGACTCATTTAGTCAACAATGCCAAGACAGAGCTTGACAAAGCTCTTACAGGCCTCCAGGAGAGAAACAAGTGGGTATCTCAGCATTGGCAAAGAGAAGATTATGAATTTTTATTTCTTTTAATGATCACTTTTTATTTCTTGTGCTTGACCTCAGGGTGCTGATGAAGCTTCAGAAGCAAACAATCTCCACTGATGCGGCTCTAGAGCACCTGAGACTGACTAAACACAACTTGCTATTAACCTGTAAAATAGACGGCCTCCCGCTGACGCTGATCTCAGGAGCACTGGATGACATCAGTGAAATACAGGTGCAAACAGAGGGTCACATCTGCTCCAAATAAGATTATTTCCCTTACATATTTATCTTAAGTGTCATCTAACATAATTACAGCTGGACTCAGAGTCTCAGAGCGTCAGCACACTGGACATTTTTGAACGAGAGGCGCAGATGGTGTTTGATTTTTCTGCATTGGACAACAGCCTTAAGGTAGAATTTGAGGTCTCTCTCAGATTCATTCTTATGTTGTTGAAGTGTTTTTGATGCATTATGTGTCTATAGATGCTCACTGAAGAGAGTGAGGTGGAGGCTATGCTGGAGAAGCTTAAAGAGGGTGTCTCTTCTCTGGAGTCCATGATCATGATGTCCAGAGCTCCAAACCTCAAAGCTCTAGAGAAGATCAGAGAGGTGAAGGACAGCTACCGGGAGGTTCTGGATGGTATGGGACAAATATACACTTTAAATATCATGGTGTAGACCAGGGGTTCCCAAAACTTTTCAGCCTGCAACCCCTGAAATAACAATGCCAGTGACTCGCGACTCCCAAATTCCTCTTAGGTGGAATATATGCAAATTAAATATGCAAACGTTGCTCAAACCACAATAGGCCTATATAAACACGAGGATATAGACAACACAAAAAAATGCAACAGTCCAACAACCATATCCTTTTTATAGTCATTTATTAATTCATTTAAATGAATATTAACCTCAAGTAATGCGACTGGTGGACACAATGTTTTCAGCACAAGTCTATTGGTTTAATTTTGGAGACTGCCACTCAGAGATCATTATCAATGCTCAGTTGTGGCCTGTATGTATTTTTAATGTATTTGTTTGCCATAAAGGTTTCAGAAATTTTAACCTGGTGCCATAAAATCAATCTACTGCTAATCTAACATAAACACACCAATCCTATAAAAAATAATTTAAAGGCTGATGGTTTTTTATTTGCGTGTTGTTGTTATTTTTATCTTCTGTGGGTTATGGATAATAGACCAATGGCCTGTTTTCATTGAGTGGTAGGGTTCGAACCGAACTATACCGTACCACTTTTTTGGCACCCTTTTGAAAGGGTACCAAACACGAGAAAGGGTACCAAAAGGCAGAGCTAGACGCGCAGCTGAATGCTATTGGTTTACAGAGATACGTCATTCGCTTATGCAATAAGCCAGAATGAAAACAAAGGAAGCACCATGTTCTAAATACACAGCTGAGAGATTACAGCGTAATTATATATAATAACGAGCCATGGTCGACCCCAGCTCAAACAAACCATGTCGTCGTCTTGATGAGCAGCCAATGTTTTTTACAAGCTGAAGCGCAAGCGGTTTCGCTTTTTTGCTTGCGCTCGCCGCGTGTCTATATCTGAAATTACAAACTTCTTGAGCTCATGATAATAACATGCGCTTGATTATTGACTTGCTTTTAAAACCAGATCCTGTCAGAAGATGACAAAAGCGAGAATGAAGCGCGAAAAAACAAAGGAGGAGCCGGAAAAAAGGAGCACGTTATTTTTTCAGCAAATGTAAACAAACTGCCATATTTAACTATTATTATCACCTTTTGGACTATTATGAACTCAGAATGATGGAATTGCTCTCTAACAGAGGCTACATGTGCTGCTGAAGATTACAGACACAGATGAGAGGTTTGCACTGACTGAGGACTATATATTGTGTTGCTTTTGAACCTAAATAAGGACTAAATGTATGCTGTGTGTAGTTCTTCTGTAGTTGGTAACATATCAGACTTTAAGGGTCTGTATGTGTTCATATACGTTGCATTTATTTATTTATTTTATATGATTGCAGACGTTACAGTAGGCTTTGATCTGCAGTTATAATGAAATCTAGTCCATAGAAAAGTTAGTAATAAACATTTATACAGAAGTATTTATTGTTTATAAAGCATCTGTTTTGTGAGAGGTGCTTCCCATATGATATGTAAGCTACCCGTACAGCTTTAATGTGGACATTTTCTCGAGTGAAAATGACGTCGACTGAAACTTTTTGTCATACACCATGCCCACCAAAAGGGTACTCTTGGTAGTGGAATTGCAAGCCTGATAAAGGTGACCCGCACCGACCTCAACCGTACTATACTGTACCACTCACAAGTGACCCCCTGTCATTGTCTCGTGATCCCCCAGGAGTTCCTGACCCCCACTTCGGAAACCCGTGGTGTAGACTAATTAGAGAATTGCAGTCGCTGTTAGTCTTTCTGGATGGTATATTTCTGCTGTATATAATCTGAAGTAACACTGCGACTCTTTTAGAATTGAGAGACTTGAGTTTGTTCAACTGTTCTCTCTGTTTTAGAGAAAAATATTAGAAACTAATGAAAAATTGGTTAAATTGATGGAAGATCAGTAAGATCAAAATGCTTACACTGCAAAAAATCTAGGTAAGAAAAGCATTTTTTTGTAGTGTACCTCAGGTGCAGTGTATAAACATTTTACTTTTCTAGGGTGGAACAAACGTGTTTAGTTATGATTAGTTTCATTTTCAATTCAATTATTTCGGTTCTGTAGCAGCACAGTGAACTCTGTCGGCTCACAGCAAGAAGGTCACTGGTTCAAGTCCTGGCTGTACCATTTGGCATTTCTGTGTGTGTGCATGTTCTCCTCGTGTTCGTGTGGGTTTCCTCCAGGTGCTCCGGTGTTCCCCCATAGTCCAAAGAAGAGTGTGTGAATGTAAGTTCATGTGAGAGTTCACAGCACTTGGTTGCAGCTTGAAGGGCATCCGCTGTGTAAAACATATGCTGGATAAGTCGGTGGTTCATTCCGCTGTGGTGACCCCTGATAAATAAGGGACTAAGCCAAAGGAAAATGAATGAATGAATGAATAATTTGGTTCTCACTACCATTATTTTACAAATTAAATATTACTAAAAGAGGTTTAGGCCGAAGCCTTGTTTATTTTGCACACCCTTTATATATAATTCAGTGTTTCCTCTAGGATTTTTTCCAGGCCTTTTTTTTACACAGATCTACAAACTACCTGTGGCGTTATTTCAAAGACAAATGTCGTGAGCGCATTATTAGAAGTCGAGATCGCATTTATGTAGTTGCCTACGAGCATGCGAATCTCTGTGCTTGCGCGTCGATATCCTCTGCTCGTGCACAAAACTTCTTGCACTCCCCCTCAAATATAAGCCGCTTCAAGAGCGCGCAGATCTTCTTGTGCGCTCTCAAACAAACGCTGCTGAGTGCGATTTAGTGCGTTTATGTAATGAGTATGTTTCCAGCATTTATTAGATTTGCTAGGAATATTTATGAATGTCTCCAATAGACCTACAGAGTAGCCTTAATGCATCCTGAAGTAGAGTGAAACGGCTATACGTCGTGTTTGCTGGCCTCACGCATCACACACCTGTCAGCCAGTCAGTCAACACATAACCTTAAAGGGTAAACAAATTACGCACAGCACTACTACGGATACAAAAAAGTTTGAGCTATAATAATTCACTTACCCTTTAATACGTTTTGGTACGATTATCACCCGCTATTGAAAAAATAAAGTGTTTTGAATGAGAAGCTGTAATGTAGCTGTGGCGGGATGAATTGTGGCGGGGCGCCCCGCCATAGAAGACTGAATGTAGCGGAAACCATGCAATTATCTGATGAACGACATTTGCTAATACATTGATGATACTGAATAAACAAAATTACATTAAACATGAAAATTCTGAATGAACAAAATACACTGAACAAATAACATTCACATTTAGTTTTTTAATACAGAGTCATAAACTTTATCACCTTATATTTATACATTTTTTTAAATTTGCAATTGAATTCAAATTGTTTCATTTCTTATGACATTTATCATATATTTACCCTTTCAACAGATATACATCTACTTTTACGTTATTTCTTACCCTTGCTTTACTTAAACATGAATTTATCTTAAAGTTTACTGACTTTTTGTTGAACACTATTTTAAAAGACTATTACTTAAAATACTATTTAAAAGTAAGGTATTAAAAGCTTTGTACAACGTTTGCATTCTAGATAAATTAGAAAATAAAAAAATAATCTTAAATAATATCTTTGACACCCAAAAATTCTATTAATTAATTGTTATTATACTATTATTCTTTTTAATCTTCCTTTGCTGACTTTTGATTTAAATGGCTGTATAATGTAAATTATTTTCTTTTTAATAGTGAAGTGTTTTGGTAATTAGCTGAAAGGTTATTTTTTCATTATTATTTCAGGTATTTACTTTATATGAACTGATGAAAACATTATTTGTGTGTGTGGTTTTAATTATTAGCTCTAATAACTCTCATTTGGGCTTTAAGTTTGTTGTTGTAACACATTCATCTGCCACATAAAACATTGATCATGCTTGTATGTTTTTACTCTTCTACACTCTTAAACCCTATGGACATCAGCGTTCGATATAAGCACAATCACCACCAAGAAGCGCAATCAAGAGTTTGAGCAGGTGAAGGCCAAACGCTTCCATCTCTTCAGCCAGTGCTTTGAACACGTGTCTGTTGTTATCGACCAGATCTACAAGAAACTCTGCAGAAACGCCAGCGCTCAGGTTTACTTTTCAGCCTTTATCACTGATCATTCACTTGTTGTATTGTTGTATGAAACCATGTTTGTATACACATGCTCCAGGCCATTCTCAGTGCTGAAAATCCAAACGAGCCCTACCTGGACGGCATCAACTATAACTGTGTAGCTCCTGGGAAACGATTCATGGCTATGGACAACTTGTCAGGAGGAGAGAAGGCCATCGCTGCTCTTGCTTTGGTCTTTGCCATTCACAGGTATAATAAATGTGACGTAACATCTAACTGTAGATAAAACTGCATGTGATATAACTGTCAATGTAATCATCATTTCTTCATAGCTTTCGTCCTGCTCCCTTCTTTGTGCTGGATGAGGTGGATGCCGCTTTGGACAACACAAACATTGGCAAGGTCAGACCAGCTTCAATTACAACCACGCTGTTTTGAAATCCCACTCTCTTCCATGATAAAACATTTCAGCATCACTGTAGGTTACGGGATTTTTCCGGATGATGTCGAGAGAGAGCTGTCAGATCATTGTGATCTCCCTAAAGGAGGAGTTCTACTCACGGGCGGATGCTCTTCTTGGAGTCTATTCAATGGTAAATTCCATACAGATTGTCTGTATTACATCAGTCTCGTTATTCATGCAGTTTAGAGACCCCATAAAATCTAAATTAGAGTAAATAGTTTTCACACCAAATCAGATGAATTACTTTCTTTACAGTATACAATATCAGACCCAGTTTGTCTGAATTTTAAAGTACTCCATTATGCTTTTTCCAATATAAACTTTCATGCGGTGTGTAATGTAACTGTTGTGAAGGTACGCCATCACATCTATAAAGTGATTGTGCAATGTGCATACAAACTTGCATGTATAAATTGATCAGGCATACAAAATGTTGCATTTATAAGCTGATCGTATGTGCACAATTTTATATGTATAAACTGGTCATACTTACAAAATCTTGCACTTATAAATTGATCATGTATTTAAAATCTTGCATTTATAAATTGATCATATTTACAAAATCTTGCACTTATAAATTAATCATACATATACAATATTGATCTGAGATCATATGTGGAAAAAATGCTTTTATAAACTGATAATACATGCAAAATATTGCTCTTATCTGACCCCCTAGTTTTTTTTTTTATTGTTTTTATGATTTTTTGCGATAAAAAGGATTTCGTGGTGGTAATTCCCAGAAATTTGCGGACAATTTTGTGATTAAAATATAAACAGTATATATTATATTTATATATATTTTATTTAATATAATATTTTTTAAATATGATATATACCCTTTAGTTTTTTGCGTTTCCGCGATCGCTGAATCCAACGCAAAATCAACAAAAAGTTGCAATTTTTTGCGATCCTTCGCAAAATGTTTAATTTAAACACAAAATAATAAAAAAAAAAATGTAAATGATCTCATAAAACAGTGGTTCTCAAACTTTTTTCATCAAGTACCACCTCAGAAAAAAATTGTCTCTCCAAGTACCACCAAAATGAGCGGTATTGAAATACAGTAGCTTAGTGGGCCCAGAAAAGCAGCTATAACTCTGCACAGTTAAAAAAACATGGCAGATAAACTCAGAAATATAGGTTAAATCTCATGTATGGCATATTATATACATAATTTTTGATAAATTTTTAAATATATGTGGCATGTACATGACATATTTCATTCCTCCGCGTACCACTAGAAGGAAGCCCGCGTACCACTAGTGGTACACGTACCACAGTTTGAGAACCACTGTCATAAAACATTCAATTTCAAACCATATAATTCAATTATCTTTATTTCAGTTTGCAATTAGTTGTTTTATGATACGTAATGACGCTGCATGACATCTTACCTGCTCCCTCACAATCATTACATTACATGACTGTGGGGGAAAATGTTTTGCAGCCTTTGCAGTAAGCAGATGCGGATGAAGTGCAAGTGATTTACATGTGAAGTCAATGCAAAGATTGGATTAAACATCCTGTGGCGCAAATTGAGTGTTTTGTGTGGTTCAGGCTACAAAATAAAGTGGGAACAAACATCTTACAAACACAAGCAGTTTACAATGATGGAGATGGTTCAAGGATGAAGACCACTGGACGTGACCGATTTGAAGGAAATTATTTGTGCTTTACATGTACGAATGATATTATGGTGTGAATTAAAACGATAAATGTTTTCATTTAACTTTTTCCCTGGAGTTCATCAACAGAGTATTTTATGTGCATATCCAAAATGGTGGATGGAAACATAACTAATGTTAAAATTGCACACCTTGTAGTCAGTTAAAAAAATGGTCAATTATATATATTATATAATAAATATATATATATATATATATATCCTCTCTTCATTAAACAGGAATTGGGGAAAAATAATAAAGTGGTCTGATAATTCAGGGAGGCTAATAATTCTAACTTCAACTGTATATATATATATATATATATGTGTGTGTGTGTGTGTGTGTGTGTGTGTGTGTGTGTGTTTTAATCACAAAATTGTCGCCAAACTTCTGGGAATTGACACCACAAAATCAGACATTTTTATCGTAAAAAAATCACAAAGAAAATCTTGAAAAACTAAGGAGGTGATTTATATAAAATCTTGTATTTATAAACTAATCATACATACAAAGTCTTGCCCTTATAAATTGATCATATGTATAAAATCATGCATCTAGAATCTGATGTTAAATGTTACGTCTTGTAAAAACTTGTTAAGTCTTGCAAAATCTTATATCTCAAATATAAACTGATTATACAGTACATGCAAGATCTTGCATCTATGAAATGATTGCGCATCAGTGTAAACTTTTGCATTTAGGGATGAATTTATGAATAAGTACTCATGTATTTGAAAAAACCCTAAAAAGCTTCAAAATAAGCATTTGCAAATTCAAGTTCATTAATGAGGTCTCTAATTCATTTCGCATCTTTTTTTTTTTTTTATTACAGTTTGATGAATGCATGTTCAGCCGTCTTCTGACTCTGGACCTCACCCCGTACCCACTGAAAGACGAAAACGCCACAGACAGAGAGAAAGACAAATGATGCCTGAATGACAGAAAATGAAGAATAAAATGTTCACCGTTCAAGAGAAAACCAATTAAAAATCTCCAAAACACATTAAACTGTTAACTTCAAAAGAGTGACTATACTTTATCAATTAATGAAGAAGATTCAGCTGTTTAAAAAACAAAGCTACATTACATTTTGTGTTGAATGTGTTTCAGAGATTGTTCTGTGTTGTAAATCTTAAAAGTGTTTGTGTTATTGTTGAACGCAGGTTTGTTTTTGTTCGATGTGGAAATACTTTTAATACATTTTTATCGTTTGCATTTGGGAAGAGTTCTGTCATTCCTCATCAGTAGTTGTGCAAACCGTGCTCTTTGGCCTGTCTCTCTGTCAGCAGGGTGGGGTTTCAGCAGATCACCAGCCTCTGTTACACCATTCTCTCTGCTTCTCTCCTCAAACTTTTCTTTTCTCTGCAACTCCAATGGCGTCTTACACGGTTGTCATCGTCCCTCTCAGGAACAGTCCTACCAGTTTGGATGCATTGCGTTTCTTCCTATGGGTTAGTGTTTATTTTGTTTATTTTATTGTGTGTTTGCTTATTAATAACGCTAGTTTTACCAATTATACTTTAACTAATCGAGTTGAAGTGATTCAGATATTACTGAACTGACCAAAAAAGTGACACTGACATCAATGACATTTTAATGGTATATTTTAGATAATAACTGTTTGTATTACTTTTGAGTCTATTCTTATATGCGCAGATGTCAACTATCACAGTCCATCACCACATTCCCGTCCAGCACAGAAGGGAATGCTCAAAGTTCACAGCTACTTAACACACACATTGTGATCTATTTTTATTTTCTGTACTCCGCAATCATGGTCTTTTAACACACTAATTAGGTTAAGAGAGTAAAGCACAAACGTTCAATAAATAAATGGTTTGTTTTGCAGGTGAAGAAACTGAAGGACTTGGAGCGGGAAAAGGATCTCCTGTGGATGGGATTACAGGCTTTAGAGCAGGTGCGGGAGACGTTATGCTTGAACCTTGAGGAAAAAATGCAAGCACGAGACAGGTCCAGCAAAAAGGAGATGAGAAACGTGAGTTGTGTGTTTGTGTATTTACAGTACTGTGCAAGTCTTAGGCCACTAGTGTTTTCACCCCCATCAAGTTGGTTATCTCTATATTTTTTTTGTAGCATGTCAGTTTGAAATATTTACATTTCCAATCATTATTTTTTGTCATTATTTGTACAGAACAATTCTACAGTGAGATTATTGTCTGCACAATGAGTCTGACAACAGCCAGTGCTCCACACAGAGATCAGATCTGCTCTTCTGATTAATGACATGAAGAAACAGAATGAACTAAGACAAACTAAATCCAGAAGAACTTTGGCAACATCTCTAAGATGCTTCAAAAACATAACAAAAATATAGGAATAGAAATAACCATCTTTAAACCATCTTTTTTGGTGAAAATACTGGGGGCTTTTTGCATAGTACTGTATGTGTTTGTGGCTGCTTGTATTTCTCATATTTTCTGTATTTCAGGCGTTTCCAGATTCTCTCCTGTTGTCTCAGATCCACAGAGTGAATAAGACCTTGAAGAAACTGCTGTGTGACTACAGGAATCACACTGATCCTGCAATAGAAGGTACTTTTTCTAGCAAAGATAGACTGCATATTGATGTAAAATCATTACAGGATTCATTTAGTTCACCCTTTATTTGTCATTTGGCAAAACTACTAAAGCGTGTTGAAAGCAGTTTATTTTTTGGATCAGGTTCTGAGGTGAAGCAGCCCTCTCCTGTCTGTTCTGAAGAAAGTGCTTGTTTTTGATTAACTGTTTTGCTTGTAATGTTTTTTTTTGTCATTGGCTGCTTGTGATTTACAAATTTTCTGTACAATAAAGAAAACAAATATGCTTGACTGCATTTGTTGAATGTTGTATTCAAGAATGCAATGCAGTGAAAAGTGACTACAGTTGGAAATCAGTTTTTGTGTGTGTGTGTGTGTGTGTGTGTGTGTGTGTGTGTGTGTGTGTGTGTGTGTGTGTGTGCATGTGTGTGTGTGTGTATATATTTTAGCAACATTGTGCCATTTTTTCCCTGGATATCTGTCCCTCTGTCTATCATGTGTGTTTGTGTAGAAAAATATATTTGAACATTTCTAGTTATTCTACATTTCTTTGTTTTATTCTGTAAACTACTAATGACATTTCTTCTAAGTTTAAAGTAAAAAATGTCAGTTAGATATTTTTCTGCTAAAGGTTTGTAAATATTTGACATATAATAAAATTTAGCATGGGCGTATGCTTTATATGTATCAATAGATACTGGTCAAAATTTTTCGTTATTTTAACATAAATATGGTGACTTATCAGTAAGCTGAATGGAACATGATTTCACTTATATTTTGAGGTTGTATATTCACATTAAGTATTTGGACATTAAAATATTTTTTGTTCTGTTTATCATTATTTCTATGTATATCGAATCTTTTTTTGCAAATTTTATTTGATGCTGTGATGTCTGGTCTTTCTGACAGTTTTAGCACAGATGAGCGGAATAAACAGTCAGATTTTCAGATAATTTAATGCTCTGGTTTTCCTCTCAGTCTAAAGACATGTGGTACAGGTGACTGAAAAAGCTAAATTGGCCGTAGTGTATCTGTGTGTATGCAGAAGTTTGTGGGTGCTTCCCAGTATTGGGTTGTGGCTGGAAGGGCATCCGCTGCATTGGATAAGTTGTCGGTTCATTCCGATGTGGCGACCCCAGATAAATCCTAGGGATTAAGGCAAAAAGAAAATGAATGAATAGTTTATTGTTAAGTAATTCAGTACTTTTTTGATAGAACTTTCTTAGCCACCAAATCCTGTGAGTTCACCGGCAAACAAATCTCAAACACTAAAGCTGTCAAATCGAAATTGATCTAATCTGAATCAAATTCTGACTTTTTTATTTTTCAGTGCGGATATTTTTCGCATGCGACATATGTCAGGACTTTTATTTTGTAGAATGGTTTCATTGTCTTCTTCCTGGCGCTGAGTTCAAGCGTCGGTTATAGATGAAAGTTAAAAGCACGCGCGTAAAAAATGAAATCAAACTAGTTTTAAAATGATGTTACGGAGAGTCAGCAGCTCGAGCAGCGGGAAGAGCTGCAATAAACCCAGGAGGAGGAGCAGCTCTGTGGGCTTCGACGAGTTCGGCTTTGCTTTCAGTAAGAAAAGAGACAAAAAACTCCAGCAAAGATGCCATGACTACAGGTAGATGCGGAACTTAATCACTTCATACAGGTTACTCTTGTGTTTATGCTAATGTCAGTGATGCTTTATAGTTAATAACTAGCACTTAAATGTTTGTGTGTTCATTTTTAAGACGAGGCAAGATACTTAATATCTTATTATGTTTGTAACAGGTCAACGGTTATTAATGAGCCCTTAATGGTTTGTGTGTTCACTTTCAAGACGAGACAGCTTCATTTAATAAATGTGTCCATGCTAGTAATCAATACGCTAATTGTTCACAACAACACCCTAATGTTACATGAGGCATTATACAATGTTTTCAAGCTATTCAGAGAGAATTTGGGCTTGTTTTTTTTTCCTAAATTTTTTTAGTCGAATGATTAGAAACATCCATATATATATATATATTGGTGTTTATTTTATGAATATTAGTAATGGATTAAAATCTTTTCTGATATAACTGGGGGGCGGGATCCAGTGTGTAGACCTGAGGACAGGTGTGACGTGCTCTGATTTTCTGGTTCTGGTCAGAATCCTGGCCTCCTGGCCGCAGCGTTCTAGATGAGCTGCAACTGTCTGACTGTCTTTTTGGGAAGGCCAGTGAGGAGTCCATTACAGTAATCCACCCTGCTGGTGATGATAACACAAAAGCATGAAGTCCTCACTGGAAACAAAGCATATAATTCTTGCAATGTTTGATCGTATGCTGATTATACTATACTTATTGCTTTGACCTTTGACATGATTACTGAAGCTCAGATCTGACTCCAAAATTACACCAAGATTCTTGACCTTATTTTTTGTTGTTTGAGCCTTAGAGGTAGGGTAAGCAGAGGGTATCTCTGTTCCTATATATATATGTGTGTGTATGTATGTATGTATATATATATATGTATATATATATATGTATGTATATATATATATATATATATATATATTTATAAATAAATATGACTACCTTATTCACATGCAGGGTCTTGCCTTAAAATATTGTTTTGTGGTTTAGGATTCAATTAATTTGTAACTTGAAATATAATTTGAATTAAAAATGAATTAAAACATTTTACATCTGTTTTGATCAGTTATCCTCAGCCTAATCCAGTTAAAGTGAAAGAGCTGTGTGAGTTTCTTAGTTACTGGAATGGATCCAGTTTCATTTGCAGAAGTCAGGTGAGCATGTCTCTTTGTATATTGCTCATTTAAAATGATTTCTGCAATTTAATGTGTATTTATTGAATGTGTCTTCCCTCTTCAATATCAGATCGAGAGATTTATTCGTATTGGTATTCCTCCAGCAATTCGTGGACGAGTTTGGAGATGCCTGCTAAACATTGACAGTCTCCGAGCTACCAGTTGTTTTAATTATGAGGTGCAAATCTATGAAAATGTGTTTGTATTATTACCCTAACTCAAAATATGATCAGTTTTTTACTCGCACTGTCAATTACGATGTGTTTTAGGATTGTCAATCTGAGATTCGCAGGCCTCTAGTTGATCTAGGAGTCAGTGAATACAGTATCATCTCTTCTATCGACTCTTTAGTGGACACAGAGAATGAGATCAGCAGCGGACAAGCATCCTCTCCCCAAGTCGCTGACCTGACGCTCTTCAAACAGATCGCTCTCGACCTGCGTGAGTTGTCCATTTTGATGACCAATGAAATTGCAAGATATTTCGCTTTTGTGTTTATTTTAACATTTTTGTTTATCTTAATTTCAATTATATATATATATATATATATATATATATATATATATATATATATATATATATATATATATATAATGTATATATGCATGCGTGTGTTTATAGGTATGTATGTGTGTATGTATGTGTGTGTATATATATATATATATATGTATATGTGTGTGTATGTATGTGTGTATATTTATATATAATTTATATAATCTAATTTGTACAATTTAATGCGATTGGCTCATCACCCAATTATGGTTTGGGGTTGAGTGCCACGCCTCCTTTTTAAAATCATACATTTTCGTGCGACTGAACTCGTACGAGTTTGTACGAATTAGCTATTCAATTGAAGGAACGTAAAATACTTGCGTTTCCTCGTGAGATCAGGCTGGCGGACATGGTTTGCTTAAACTAAGCGTTCTAAAGTATGGCTGTATTTTACAAGCAAGGATTCTGACACAGTAACGTGAAGCAGACGCTTTACAAAAAGTTGCGTGTAGGGGGAAACATGTCAAACTTATGAAATGTGAGGGCTCATGGAAGTAGCTTAAAGGGTCACGAAACACCAAAACACATTTTTTGAGCTGTTGACAGTCGTATATGTGTCCCACACTGCTAAAAACACTATGAGGACACCTATATTTCACTAAAAAGTGTAAATTGGTTGTTTTTGCGTTATTTCAAGCAAATTCGTACTTCCTGTTTGAAACGAATTTTTTAAGCTGAGTCACGGTCATGACATAATAGCGTGTATTCCAGCGTGCAGACTGGGGGTCTGAGCCAGAGTGAGTCTTATTACGTCTTACAGTGTGATGCATTAATGCATGAGTATGGCTTGGTTCAAACCAATCAGCGCACTCTATTGTGCAACTTCATTAATATTCATTAGTGTCACCGTGTTTACACCACAGAGACGCCACGTTGTGTTGGCAAAACAAGCGTGAAGTGTTGCTTTTATAGTTTGCTGCCATTAAGTTTCGTTTTCATTTTCTCTCTGTGAGAGCTCAGACTCACGTGTGGATTAACAGTGTACGCGACGCTCGACAACAATAACTTGCGTGTCTAAGGAGGAACATTGTTTACCTGAGAGCTGTTCTCATCTGCAAACGCTGAGATCCGGATTCGCTTGTAGTATTCTCTTCATAAAGTCGCGGCTTTAGTTGCTGGGGATTGTCATGTCTCTACAGATTTGGTAAGTGAGCGACCAGTGCTCTTTGTTTATTCAGTTTGTTCGTATCGAATTAAGTTAACTATTGCACTGAGTGCAGAAATGTTAGCACCGCATTTTGTGACCGGAAAATGCTGAGTTTTTTTTCTCTCATTCGCCGTGCGGTATCAAACATTGCATGAAAAATACACGATTAGAGCAGATCCTCGAATCAAATATCGCGTTTGTCGCGAGGGGCATGAATGAATTCCCTGAATGAAAGAGCCAAACTGCAGTTAAAGTCCAACATTTAATAATTTGGCAAATAATTCCACTACAGATGTCCTTGTAGGTTAAACACCATCACTTTCTCCTGTGTGTATTTTGACTGAAACTCGCGCGTGCCCAAATAGACACTCCCACACCATCCCACTTTAGTTCCTTCGACACTACCCCCTAAACAGAGCTGGACACGCCCACTTTTCTGACTTTTTCCAAAGTAGAGGTGTGAAAACACCCTGCTGAAACGAGGGGGTTTCATGGCCCTTTAAAGGCAGAGAATAGGGCTGTCTTTGACAGCTTGCAACTTCATCTGCCACTTTCACTACAGTACATTTACATGGACATCATTACTTTGCTTTTATGATTAGGATAATACTGATTAAGAGTCTTCCATGTAAGCAGCGATTTTTGATTACCTCAAAGGATCAGGTGAGGCCCGAAATGCTGAGGTTTTTCTTTCCAATCGCCATGAAATGCCAAATTCCATTAAAACATCCTGAATGAAAATCTGCTGAATGAGAGTGAACTGCTGAACTGCAGTTAAAGTCTAAAGATTAAAAATG